ATTTTATTCAAAAAAAAAAAAATTATCTTGGTATAAGTTAGAGGTTGGTCAAACTATAACCCTAGTATCTTTTGTTAAAAAAATAGAATATGTGACTTAACAAGTGACAGTTGTTAGATATATTTAATATGTGAGTCTACATATCTTAATAAATCGTATATTATGTATTATCTACAAGATTTTGATTCTATTAAAGTAGATTTTATAAAAATAAATTATTCAGATTTACAACATTTCATAAAAATATAATAAACTATACCATTCATGAATGAAAAGGTGTGGTTTTTCAAAACTTTCTATTATAAGTATCATCTAAGTCATGTCAACAATTTCATAATTTAATCTTCCATATTTAAAGATGATAAACAAATTGTGCATAAGAACTTGAATTACTAAAGTTATGTGTTTTTGTTCTCCTTAAAATCTAATTTCCATCCACTTTTGGTCACAGTTTTTTCAATGTGAAAATTTTGCCTTTATAAAATTTTAATAGTTCAAAATTAAACAATTTTATTCATTGCTAATATAATAAAAAATACAACATGTATATATTCTTTAATGATAGCAATGTCAATTATTTCTTTGAGTAAAATATTAATAAGATATATTAACATTTTTATTAACAGTTAGTTATATATTAACACGCAAATTAAAATTATGACACGAAAATCAAATATTTCAAAATTGATAAACTAAAAAAGAATATAAATAGTAAATTAAAAATAGTGTCAATATTGACAGCTTAAAAGGTCAAAAAGTTAATAATTATGAAAACATTTTGTATGGTGGATATTCCATGACTGTTCACCAATTGGATGCAATAGATAAATTATATTTGAGGTTTTGAATTTAATTTTGATTTGTTTTAAAGTGTGATTTTTTTTAGAATTTTAATAAAATATAACTGAATAGAATCTCCCTCTAACTTATACAAAAGTTTTCAAGAAGAAACACCAACACACGAATCCATACCAAAGAAACATGTTTATTAAAACGATACAAGAAAGAACAAATACAAAACAATACCTACAATCAAACAAAACATACCAATTGTAAGAAACAATATGAAAAACTCGAAAATTAAAATTCTTTAATAACTTAAATTTGTCATCAAAATCGATTATATTAAAAAAAAATTAACCAAACAATTAGTTTATAATTTATTAATAAGTATCTCCTTATAGTTTTTTTCCTCGAATGTAGCAAATATTTTTTAGGTTTAAAAAATTTATTTTTATGTCTTTTATTGTTAACCTTAGATATAACTAGGTAGAGGATATTCAAAGATGTTAAAATAAGTTTAAATTATAAGTTAACCTCGAAAATAGATTACATTGAATAAAAAAAATAAATTATCTTCTAAATTAAATTGAAATTATTTTAACTTAATTTATTTAAATCATAATCTAAGTTACACTAATTCGTAATTTATGAATTCATCAATTTTATAAAATAATAAAATATTATTTAAATAAAAATATAAGTGATATTATTTTATTTATATATATAATATAAAAAAATTGATAAAAAAATTTCTTTATTATAAGAATAAATATTAAAATAAGTTTTTAATAATCACTTATTCTAATTTAATTATTAAGATTAATAATTATATTATATAAATAAATTACTAAAAAAATAATATTATTTATGGAAAATGAATTGTTGTTATTTGACTAAAGGAGGAGTGAGTGAGTGAGTGAGTGCGGTTTTTGATTAGAATATGAATGTTTGCTTAAGATATTACAAGGTTAACCAGGACCCTTCTTTTCAACCATCTGCTGAATCTTCCACAATAATAATAACAATAATTCTTCAACTTCAACTATATTTAAGGGGCACACGTATGAGAATATAAGTTAAGTGGTGGGATCCAAATAATATTCTTAACCATGTTGAAGCCTTAAAACGGACTTTTATGCTGATATGTTTAATAGCACTCTCTTTTTCTGTTGACCCATTTTTTTCTTCCATTGGAAACTTCTCCTTTCTCATGCATACTTTCTTTCTAGGGAACATGCGGAAGAGTGTTTGCAAAATATTTGAAGACTCAAATGAGATACAACCCACGCGCTCTGTGGAAACATTTGCTAGTGAGGCTTATGTTAGGTTTGTTTGGTCACTTTATTTTTGTTAACAACCTTTGCTTTACTTTTATTTTTTATTTTATTCATTTTTTGTACTAATTGAGTTTGGATTCTTCTGGGTTTTAGTGCAGTTGATGTGTGTGTATATATACCCTACCCAAAATAATAATAATAAATATTTATTATTATTTAAAAAAAAAAAGAAAAAAAACTCTTCCAAGTTAAAAAAAAGTGAAGATTTTCCGTACGAATTTTGAAGGTGTTTGATGAAGAATAAAGATTGCTCATTAAGTCAAAGCCACTGGATCTCCACTCTTTTCGCCTTGTCATCCATCACCCTTTCTCCACTAAACTGTACAAAATTAGGGTTAAGAAATCCTCTGATTTATCATAGTATTTGTTTCACAATTCTTCTTCTTTAATTTAGCCTTGTCATTCTCAAACAAGTGGGAGATTCTTAGAGTTAACAACTTCAAATACACACATAATTAGTAAATATTTTGTATGTTATTTTGGGATTAAATATATTAAATTAATATTTCAAACTAATCTATTTGAGTGATACTGGACTTAATATTAAAATAAGGTGTGGAAGTTTGAGTATTGTAAATGGAAAAAAAATATTATTAGGAAGGGAGATCTAGATAACAATGATGAGTCAGATTCTCCCATCGAAAATAAATATTAGCAAAGTGGATGGATATTTTGTACCAATAATATAATTATAAAAAAAACTTAAAAAATATTGATTTAATTAATGAAAATATAACCTAAATTATCAATAGATGCAATGGATTTTTTTATAATTTAAAAACTGAATTTAATTGAGAAAATACCTTTGATTGAAAATAGCTTCTTAATGTAATTTTTTATTAAATGGAAGAAAAGAAATCCTCTTTCCATTTTGAAGTTTGATAATATGTAATATAATATAAGGGATTTTAGTGTTGGAGAATGATTTAGTGGAAGCCCGTTAGGCAGTGAAGCACTTTAATATGTAATTACTCGAGCCAAGTGTTGAAGAAAGTTGCTTAGGCCATAAACTCAAGTTCTTTTGTTGTATATGTAACTTCATCTCTTTCTTCACGTTTTGTGTTCTTATTTTGCATTTCATTAGATCTTCTTTTGTGGTGGGTGCCCAGTTTTTATCAATTTGCAATGAATGTGAGTGAGACTGTGTGCCAAGAATTGTGTTCTTCTCAACAATTTCTATCAATCATATATGCAACAGTTTCTAATTTTTTTAGAAACTGCCAGACTTCAAAATTATTAATATGTGAGTGGTAGTGGAGTTGGTGTCTTTAAACAAATTTTTAGGTTTGAGTGGCAAATAGAAAAAAGAATTAAAACTGCAAAAATGATTTCATTAAATATGATTAGTCAATTTTTTTTTTAATTCATTACCAAAATTGTTTGTACGATTCAATTTGTTTAATGCCATTTGTACAATTCAGATTATTACATTCAAAACAGTAGTGTAAAAGTATTTTGTAATGTAAATATGTGTATAATCATAAATATAATTTTATATTTTGTTATTAATTAATTGTCAGTAAAAAAATTGATAGATCATAAACTCAAAAGTAAATCATGAGATATTGCTGTGTTTTTTTTAAGTATTTAGGTAGGGGAGATTCCGTAAAAAGCCTGTTTCAGAGGTTCATTCATATAAAAATACAGAATTTTAACATCTTCACAAAATAGGTTCATTCATATCAAAATTTCACAACATGTTTGGAAATACATTCCTAGGCAAGTAAATGACGTTCATCGAGTGAAAAATGTGAAAGCTACAACTGGAAGCTTCCATCTGGATGTGCTAAATAACCACGTTGATGCAGGACCAAACACGTACTATTTCGCCTCAAAACTACACCCTCAGCTCCAATCGCACATAAACACTAGCAAAAACCTACATTATCAGCCCACCCTAACGTTAGAATGCAACTCAAATTGTCTTGCAATATACATGAGTAATGGCACAAATAAAACCGAGTATCAATCAAATGAAAATGTCACCAAAATTCAAACTTTGGGCTTATACTCCCAGAAGTACATGGTGCTGAAAAGCAACAAGCAGTGAATTCTACGCTTGATTAATTTCCCCAGTCATAACAGTGTTGCAAATAAGGACTTTGTGATAATTTTGTACAGGTGAATTCAAATGCTACAATTTCAACCACATCTTTCATTCTACATAAGTAACACCCCCGTAAAAAAGAGAAATGCAAGTGTTAAGGCAATCAACGAGTAGTAGAATATTATGTTCGTATTACTCGTTTGTATCAAATAGGATAGCCGAAACTCGAAACAAATACATAAATGATGATTCGAGTAAATATAACAAGAATGAAAATCGATTCAATATCTGTTTGGGTGTAAAACAACATGGAACCACAGGAAGTTGGGCGTATGATGCAATTGACTTGCTCGATACACACTAATCAACCCTGTTTCCATGATCCAACTAAAATATGCCTACTTCAACAAGCCACCACAATTTTGTGCTTAGAATTGCATTTTGCAAGTGTTTACCTCTACTGCTACCAACAACTAGTAGGTGTAAAAGTCACGATGCGGGATCCTATATGAATAACTGTCTTGGAAAGATTGGGAACTAATAACTCATTCAAACAAACTTCAATAACACCCATCGTTGTACATTCCACTAAACAGCAAAAAAACTAATGCAGTATCACAACAGTCGAAGACTACCCAAATCCTACCCACATCCAACCAAACTGAAGAGTCCACAACAGAATATATAAGCTGGTTTCATAAATAGTCTCACAAACATTTTCAAACTTGAAAATGTCTTGTGTCCAATATTTTAAATTCTAACCGCAACATACTTCATCAAAAGAAAACCCACCAAGCAAGATTGACAAAAAGCGAGGTGTCTCCAGTACTTACTCAAACAATTGTGATATTATAGCTGGTGCATAGCTGAAGTAATGCAGCTTGATTTGCCGGATCTACCATTTCATTGATGACCTTCGGGTATCTTCCAGGGGAAAGTGTTGAAAGCCGAGACAACGAACCAACAAAAAATTCTCTGGGATCCCTAATATCTTTTAGCGGATCTTCTTCTTTCTTCCCAGAATTGTATAGACGAACAAATGTAGCAGTATAACCAACATTTTCTGTAATATCTGGCACATCAGGTTCCTCGTCAGCCCTTTCCTGTTCTGGTCGTGAAAGAAGAGTGATAATGCTGTCCACCATCTTACCCCAGGATTCAGCGGCAGCAGGATCCAAAAGAATTGGAGATTCACATATGAGTCTGGTTGAGGCAACAGCAGCCAACTTAAGCTCAATAGCTCCCGTAATCAGCTTAAGATTAGGTATCCAGAACTGACTCAAAATCACATTAAAAATATCTGGTTGCACACCATTCATGGTATCAACAAGGTTTGAAGACCCATGTTTAATAAGAAAAAGTGACATAAATATCAGAAGAGATTTGATGAGTTTTACTGTTCGTCTTCTTTGGAGCTCCCTGAAAAGAGCAGCCCAAATATGGGAAATATAAGGTTTAATAACACCGTACTCAAGACTCTCAATAACGGTGTTGAGTACATAAAATCCTTGATCAGATGTGCTAGAAGATTGTATAAGTGTGTCAAATATGCCAAGCACCTTAGTCAGTCTATCCCCTTGGTTAATCTCATTCGGTGCTTTTTGAAGGAAGGCCTGGAGTAGACGCACAAGTGCAGGAACATTTGGGGATCTTTTCCAAGAATCAGGTGACAAAAGAATCACAAATATCTGCATGTAGATTGGTGGAATGGGTGGTCTGTTTAACTCAACAAGCTGAGCAAGCAACTGAAATGTGTACGGAAAAAACTCAGTTACATCATTAGTCAAAATTATTTCCAGTTTAGGGAAAAGGCTTGCTTCAAAAACAGATACAGACAAGCCCTTCTCACAGCCCCGCTTCACAAGAATAGCAACAGACTCAAAGAGATAATGATTGAAAACGGGATTTTTAGGATTCTGGCAAACTTCGCCAAGAATAAAGGTCAACCCCTCAATGCAAACTCGGGCAACATCAGCAGAAAGATCAGCAACCCCAAGAACCCTCATAATGCATTTCATCACATATTGATTCTCCTCAGATTCTTGGTGCTTTAAGGCACTGAAAAGATTGTTCATCAGCACAGGAAAGATCGGATTGATGTCTGCTGAACTATAGCGCGGCCCACCCACCTCATCCTTTACCAACAAGAGTTTCTCAATGCAACTTGCAGCATAAGAATGTACAACATTTGACTCCGAAGCAAGGAACCGAACCAAGTCTGGGAAAAACTTCAATGCGACAGGCTTTGATATTAGATTCCGAAACATTGTAAAAAACTTGAGCGCACCTGCCTTAAGCATAGGATAACCATTCACATCGGGACTTTGCAGCTCAGGGACAATAACAGATTCAAAAAAGCTCTGAACATCAACAAGCTCAGTGGAGACGTAACTGGTTCCAGCCTTCTTGGTCGCAAGAGAAACAACCAAGTATATAGCACAGTCCTTGTCCTTCCAATTTTCTACCGGGTTGGCAGCAAATGAACTCAACAAACTTTGTATCTGCGCAGAGACAATGTTCCTCACAACATCCCCATAATGCGTCGCAATTCCCTTAAGAAGCTCACAGGCTATCCTCCTCCTAGTATCAAGATCACTACCTTCCATATCCCTTCTAATGAACTCAATATAGTTCATCTCAAAAAGCTCCTCATCGTCTTCCCTCAACTTCACATTGGGGATCACAATGCCCTGGCAGATCTGGGGCACAACCCCTTCACTTGCAAACAAGATATGGTGAACACTAGTACTAACCGTGGTCAAAAACTTGATAGCGGTAATGGCAAGCTGATCCCGGCTAGAAGACTGAGACACATTCCCCAGCAAAGTCCACACAGCAAGAGCAAAATCATTCAAGTAACCCTGAAATTCCTCCTCATTCTTTTCCATATACAAATTAATATTCTCACAAACCTTAGCCCTAAGCTCATCAACAATAGCCAGACCATCCCCACCACTTCCCTCGAGAGCAGAATAAGTGGTGGTGAGATATTTCCGAAACTCACCCATCCACTCCTTCATGTGATCCTCAAAGAACTCGGGGAGCTCCTGAAAATTCAGCGAGTAAAAAATGCTACAACACAGACTTTGCGACTGGAAGAGCGGGCGCAGGTTCGCGCCGGAATTGACACTGGCGTCGATCAACGACGCCGTTTTGAGGAAAACCTCAAGCAAAGGCGCAGCAAAATTATCGAGGCAATACTTCAAATCGAGGAGAAGATCATTTGTTTTGAAATTGAAACGGAATTTGTTAAAAATGGAATCGGCGGTGCCGAGAATGCCGTTAACGGAGACATAATCGGAGGCCTGCGACGCGTTTTTTAGATTGGAAACGAGTTCGGGAAGTAGCGCGGGCCACGCCTTGGGGAAATCGTGCTTACCGATAACGGCGAGGGCTTCGCTGAGCTGACTCTGAATCTTAGGGGTGGCGGAGAGCATGAGTGGAACGATCAGGGACTTTATCTGCTCCTTCTCCGCGGGGAGTATGGGCGCCTCGGAGGACCACCGCGCGCGGAGGTGGTTCTTGAAGTTCACAGAGGCGGCTTGCCTGATCTGGTCGTCGACGGAGGGCTCGGCGACCAGGCGGAGGATCGCCAGGCCGTAGTTGGGGCGGTCGGCGGCCTCGGCGAGGGAGGACTCCGCGCGACGGCGAGGTTCTGGCGCCGGAGAGAGCGTGTGGAGGAAGCATTCCGATAGGAATTGGAGAGTCTGAGGGTTCCACTCCATCACCGTAACACTTTGTGAGAGGTTTTTAGTGAAAAGGAGTTTCAATTTGAAGTTTGAACACCCAAAATTTGTAATCTCCTACGCTGCACACTACTATAACCTAAGAAGACACGTGTTGTTTGTCGTACTTATACACAAAGCTACAAAATAGTTTAGGCCCAACAATTGCAAAACCTACGACCCAGTTTGACACAAAAACATATTTCCTTGCAAAAGGTTGGCTAGTAAATAAACGATAATAATTATAAATATATAAAAAAGTTGTTGAGTAGTGTGAAGATGAGATAAAAATTGGAACAATTATTTTAATGCTAAAAATAAATTATTTAGGATTTTCAAATGAGCGATTGAGGCCATCATAAATATAACTAAGGTAATCAACGACCATAATCAATTAAAAAATTATTTTAAGTTAGGAAAAAAGAATATGAACACGAAATACAATTTTTAAGGATATTTAAATATAAACCAACACCCTCATTTTCTCACTGATCTTTGCATTTTATTAGCACTTATACGGTGGTAGGTGCTTAGTTTTCATTAACACCTTGCGAGATTGGGAGAGGGAAAGTGAATTTTTCAAGTTTCGTGTTACTAATACACGTGTTGGTTAGTTTCGTGTTTAGGCCCAATTTCTACACACATGGCCCAATGTCTGAATAAATTTTATTATTATTTTTATTCTTTAAAATTTAAATACATTCTAAACATTATCAGCTTTATACACTTAATCTCATCCTATATCTTAAATTCTAAAAAGTCATTTTCGTTCTTTAAATCTAAATTTTACGTTAAATTTGAAATATGAAAGCTAAATGTAACTCAAATTTAAAATTTTGAAAACATAATTGTTAATTACAGATGTAGATATCAAAAGCCCAAAAACTGAGGGGTTACATAAAGCAATACCAGCCCAATACTAAAGAGTCTTATAAAACAAATTCGGCGAATTACACGTACGAGTTTGGAATGTTTCCACAAGATAAAATCTGAATGGCCATAATCACAAGGTGTGGCATGGTTACCAAATTCAAATGATAAAGATTTGATTTATTAATTCCAAAACACATTGAAAAAACCAAATCTCTTTAATTAATTTTAATATTTTGAAACATTAATCCCTAATTGACTTTGAGATACTCAAAATCAAAATTAAAATCTAATATTAAATTTATTTCCTTCAAGTTATTTACAGAGATGTTAACATATTTTTTACTTCATTCATTGACAAATTTAAACAAAAAAACTATTACGCAACTACAAACTATATTTGTTTTTAAAGTTATTCTTTTTTATTTATCTACAACATTTTTTAGCAAGAATATTCAAGTCAGGATGAGTTAACGATGGCGTATACGAAGAACCAGGGTCCATGTATAGAACTGAATAAGTAATGCAATCACGTGCATGGTTTTAAAGCAATGAAAAACAGTGATACCAATCATATACACCCCAGAAGTTTGACTCTGGTTTAGAATTCTGTGGGGACTAAAATGAACATCCAAAGAGTTCATTCGCAGAACCAAACAAAACTTAATTTTTGTCATATGTTAAAACATGTTTGAATGTTAGTTTCTGTGTGTTTTGTGAACGATTTGATAATTAGAGTTTAGAGAATAAGATAATGTAATTAAAATCACTCGTACTTGTCATGCATGGATCCACTAGACAAAAGATAACACAGATTGATATAAAATAAAAGTATAGAACTGTTCAATGAATTGAAAAGTTATCTCAGTCACATAAGTTTGTAAACCATAATAAGAAGAAAAAAAAAAACACCATTTTTAAATGAATAATTTTGAAGTCACCATGAGTGAGTCATGACGTGTATAATAAGGGACCATTGGTCAATTAATAACCCCTCTCAACTAGAGAGACAATCACGTGCTCTTGGACACTTGCACTATTGGAAGTTTGACTAGGGTTTAGAATTATGTAATGCTATTGTTAAAAAAAAATATATATATATATATATATATATATATATATATATATATATATTTATTGAACAAATCTAACAAAATTATATGGGTCATCTTGAAATGAGAATGAACATAAAATAATGTAGTTGAAAGAATGTGAAATCTCACTTCATTTTTAATAATTGAATTGGTTTCAAAAGAAAAAATTGATCCAAAATAATGACACTTTTTTTTTGTTTTTTTTTTAATTTGATACTGTACGACTGATTTATATAGTACTTATTAGTTGGTTCAAATTTTAAAATTTCCAACTAAATCAAAATGTAAACATCCCTAATACATAATAAAGAATATTATTAATGCAATTATAATTTTAAATTCTTTTTTTATGGACACTCTCTTCTTAATTCATTGAAAGACAATCTGAATGTGTAAAGGTATTAATTAAGTACTCATATTATATATATATATATATATATATATATATATATATATATATATATATATATTAAGCAAGTACTCATTATATTCTAATCTAAGATACTATAATTTGACTAAAGTCGGTTTTCAAATGGAAAGTAAAATATTCAAATTGTTTACGTCTTTCAGTCATTTTTTAGTGTATTAAATTTTGATAAAAAAAATTTCAAATAATCATTTCAACTACACCAGTCTACAATAATGATCTTTACATCATATACTTGTCACTAACTGATTGTTGTTGACATTACTACGACCTTTGCATGGGATCGGCATCATCTGTAACTGCACATTATTGTCACTCTCTTTCTTAGAAATATCAATCAATATTACATATCAAGTTATCACCATTCTCAACTTGATTACTATAGCTATTAGAATTATTAATCATCGTTATCATACACTAACACTCTTCATTGTAACAAGGGTCATTTTCTTCACTGCGACAAGTCTATTTGTCTTCGTCTGTTATATCAGTAAAATCTATGCTGCAGTCATTTTTAAGGAGGAAGTAGAAGATTTTTGAAGTCAGGATGAGAGAATGATGACGTATGTAAGGAAGCAGAGTTCATCAGAAGAACAACTACAGATAGTATCTGTGCAAGTAACATAATCACGTGCATGCTTTTAAGCCAATGAAGAACAGTGATATAACTCCAATTGTTACGTACATCATACATACATACAGTTCCACGTATCATACACATGGGAAGTTTGACTTTGTTTAGAATTTTGTGGTGCTAAAATGAGCATCCAAAGGGTTTAATTATTTACTCTGTGATTGTCTTGTCACATCCATTGCTGCTCTTGCGTCTTATCGTTCGCTCCAAATTGATGCCAAGTCACAGGTCAAAACTCAGACAATAAATCTACTACGTTTCCTTTGGTAGTTCTGTGTGTTACATTTGTTTCTGTGCAGAACTAAATCGAAGTGGTAAAGTTTACAAAAGAAAAAGAATAAAAAACAAAACATGACGACGATGACGATGATGTTTCCATAACTTGAAATATGATTAAAAATTAACAGTTTTATTTATTATTTATTACATCAAAATAACAAATATTTATCTCAATTTAAAAAAAAATAGATTTATTCCTCTTTTATATATATATATATATATATATATATATATATATATATATATATATATATATATATGAGAACATAAACGTGTCTCCTCAATGTTCACAATCTATTTTCTAAATATTTATATTTTTCATCCATTAATTATTATCATATTTTCTTCTTTCATATATTTTACCATTTTTAAATATATAAATCTATAATGAATATTTTTTCTTTAAATAATCATACTTTTATTTTATTTTCTCTCTTTGTCATTATATTAAAAATAAGTTTAAAAAAAAATCTAATTATATATAATTATAGATAATATAATTTTATTATGTTTTTTTATTGACATAAGATTTTAATGTTTATTATTTTTAGTATTATATTTTGATAATTTATTATTGTAATAACAAAAAAACTCATCATCAATCATGAAAAAAATATAAAAATACTTGATAATAAATTAGATTGTACATAATTAAGTTAACCTGACATACTATCTTTTTCTCCCTGCCAATCCACGTCAAGTAAATGATCCATAAATTGTATTCATAAATCACTCAAAATTAATTCAACCAAATCATAATTAAAATGTATAAATAAATGAAATTTAAGCGTGCATGAAAAATAATTGAAAGTTAAACACAATGTTGGTTTCTCTCAACTTTTTTCACGGGTTTTTTGTATTTTTTATATTTATCTTCAATCTTTGTTATAGAGCAGTAACTACATCATGCTAATCTCATAACCTCTAAAATTGTATTGATAATTGAAGTAGAGTTACCTGTTTAATTTCTTTTACCAATTGGAACAAATATGGTGTAGCTCCTTATATAAGCAATATTGTTTAATAAAAATAATGCTTTATGTGAGATAAATTAACAAAATTGTTTTAAATATTAAAATTTATTCAATCTTAAAATTAAAAAAAATAAAGTTAAATAGTTCATTTTGTTAATTGTAGCATTATAGTAATTTTTATGTGGATTATTTAATCTTATATGATATTTTATAAGGCCCGCAATATTAAGATAAATAATCAGTCGATTAGATATTGTGAATACTCTAAAATATTAATGTTAAAACCTTGTTAAATGAGTTTAAACAACACATTAATATTTTTGTTAAAGATGCTATACATATACTATTTATTGTTTTTAAACTTCATAATTATTTATTTATATTGTTTTTATTCTTTAGAAGTATATATATATATATATATATATATATATATATATATATATATATATATATATATATATATATTAGTTTCAACCGATTCAAAAATATCTATTGACATGATATTTGATGACATTATCACTATTAACTTTTACGTAACAATCAGTGACGAAAATAACTAAAACAATATTTTAAAACCACGAAGACAATAAATTACATAAATTACATGATCAGGGAAAAAAATGGTACAAATATATTTGTTTAATCCAATAATTATTTATAAACCTTTTTTAAAATTACGTTAATGATATAATAAAAAATTTCGTAAAAATAAGTCAATATTATTTTATGTTTTCAATAGCTAAGCTTAATGGCTGGTATTTACTGAAAATAAAAACATTGCGAAGGTAAGAGAAAAGATCATAGTATTTTACGATTACAAGGTTGGCCTAGGGTGTATGATATATAAGGAAAAAATCATGTTTGATATTTTTTTAATAGTATAAATATATACTCAGTTAAAAATGAATATAAAACATGTATTTTTAAAAATACTCAAAAATATATTTTTTTAAATTTTTTTAAAATATGAAAACTTTGTTTCAGTCAATATAAAATTGTTATTAATATTTTTTCAGAATTATAGAGTAGTTAGATGTTAAAATTAAATTATTTATAAATATATGAATTACGAGAATAATTAAAATTATTACACAATTAAAAAACACATTTTAATCATTAAAATAAATTATTGTAATCACTCCTAAGATTTCGTAAAATTACATTATTACTCTTTTTTTTAACGTTTATCAAAACCTTTTGTTAGTATACGTTATAATGTTTTTTTTTTAAATCTTAAGCGTTATTGGTTAAATCAGTGTCAGTATTTTTTTTAAACAATTACAAAAATTTACTGTAATATTAATTAAAAAAACTAATTTCAAATGTTTTTTCTAGTATAATCTTATTAAAAAAAATAAACAATAGAACAGCAAGTAAAATGCATTTTATCCTAAAAAAACAAAAATGATGAAAACCTAGTTGTCGGAATTGATTCTTAAAACTCAATAACCATTGCTGCCTGAAATGTATATGGAAAAACAAAAAAACAAAAAAAACTAAACCCTTCCTAAACATTTGATGAGGACATAGATTGAAACACATGTGTATTAAATAACATTTTAGGTATTTGGTGAAAAGTATTTGATAATTTTGAATGAAATTGCTAGCAAAATGGCTATCTTGAGTCATTAAAAAATAATTTTGAAATCTCTTGGACTGCATCAACTAACGTTGAATCCAATACTGCTTTAAAAACATTTCTATAATGTCATTTTTTTCTGAGTTCTAACAATTATTATTTAGTTAGGCATATACATGCATTTCTTACGAGAAAGAGAAATTATACTTATATACCTCATTTATAACTTCTTATGACCAAGAGAGAGAACCACGAAATGAGGTTGGGAATTGCATTAAAGAGATGCAAAGGAAACAAAAATGCATCGTAAAAATGTGTGTGGAATAATAATAACAATAATAACATTTTCTTATAAATGCTTGATGTGAGGTGTACTGTGTACATATAGTACGTGGCTTAGAACCACAACTTGTTTATTACCATATACACCCACCATTGCCATTAACTCTGAATCATTGCTCATCATCTCCACATTTTCATAAAAGCATGGATAAGCAAAAAAATTATTAGAGTTTAGAATGACGATTTCCCAGAATAGACATTGTTTTAATTCATAATTATAGTCATAATCAATTAATACTATCCAAGCTAGTTAACTAAAAATTAATAAAAGAACATAAGAATCTTGGAGCATTTCCGAAAAGAGCTACGTTCTCATTCATTAACATGTTATCGTGAGTACATTTTCAAAAACGATGAAGCTTAAACCAATCCATCTCTGTCGTAACTTACTTGCGTTCAAAACATTCTGCTATGGAAATTTGAGAAGAACCCAGAAAAGGGAAATTAACTTTAATACCGTTGTTATTTATGAATTCACATGATCAGTTGATTCAAAAGTGCAAACTTGAACGAGTTATCCTTTTCTGTTAAAACTTTTATATATGTATATAGATGTAATGAAGAAAAACAGAGTTTTATGTAGTATTTCACGTTACAAGGAAGTAGTTAATGGTAGGAAAAACAAATTTCAATGAAAATATTGCTACGGATGATTATTATTATTTTATGACAACAGGAACAGTTGGCATATACTATATAAAATAGTAATATAAGTGACATAGTTATTAGTTATATATAAGAAACATACCAAACCCTGAACACCATTAATACAGATACAGATTATAGACACGCCAGGAACGACGGTTGATGCGGCGAAAGCTCCTCAACCGTCCAATCGACGATGTCGCCGGAGGAAGTCCACGAGAATCCTCCGGGGCAACTCCAGCAGTACTCGCCGTCCATCAGCTCCGGCAACTCAATCTCACCCCAAAAATCGTCGCCGCCGCTGTCTCCGTCGTCATCGGCAATGCTGCTTTTCTCGTCACTGCCGGCAGCTTTCAGCATGCGCGCCGCCTGGGCCGCGGCGGCCTGAATGTCCCTGGCCGTGCGGGATAACGGAAGCGGCAGGGAGTCCACCTCGTCGGGAAAGTTGAGCTGCGCCTTCCGCCCCTTGAGGCAGTACGCGGCGACGTCGTACGCTCGCGCTGCCATCTCCGGCACCGGAAAAGACCCCAACCATATGCGGTTCTTCTTGCGCGGCTCCCGAATTTCGGAGACCCATTTTCCCCAGCGGCGCTTGCGGACACCCCGGTAGACTGGGTGGCGGGTGCCGGACTTCGCGGTGGAGGTTGTGGCGGTTGGGTCGTCGTCGGAGCAGGGTGGGGGTTGATGGTCCATTCACAGTGTGTTAGAGTGGCATGCGTTTTGGTGTGTGGGAGATTTATAAGGTTGATGAAACCTTAAAGAGGGTGAATTGTTAGATTACGTAATTGCCCCCGTAGATTCATAAAGGGTTTTCGAGACTTTATGGGACCATGTTACTCTTTCTACGTAAAGGCCCAGCATGCAATTAATTATGGATCCATGTTTCATACATGACTACGCGCGGGGTGTTTCCCTTCAAACTTTTTTGAACCACTTTTCATTTTCATTTCTATTTATTTACTCTGCATTTGCATATAATCATTTTTCACAATGTTTTCTTCTTAAAAAAAAAATATAAAAAAATTACCCATATTGATATTTTAAATCTTTTTTTTTTTCATTTGAAAGCAAATATCTTTCCCTTTTTGTTTCTCCTTGATGGTCTCTGTGTAACGTGAGAAGTGTTGGTGAAAATATCTACGATGGTGGTCAAAAATTCAAACTACGTTGATCGAGTGGTGTTTTTCTTCTTCATTCATGACTCGCTACGGACCGCTTTGACGAAGACACACCAAGAAAGAACATTGAAATTAACGCGACAACACCTCGTCTTTAAGATGAATGTTTCCGAAATAAAGTAAAGTTATTTCGAAATAAAAACATTGGATTTATGTTTAAAACAATACAAAATCATAGTGATTGTTGGTTCCTAGTCATGGCAATGGGCGTGAGAAGTGATGTTTTAAAAAGTAGAAACTATTTGATTGTGACATTTTAACAAGCAGCTTGCGAGCTACATTGACAGCGAGGTGTGAAATTCAAATGAAGTAATTGAATCGAAGGCATGGAAAGATCGTGAGAGGCACGGCATTGAGAAGAGCTTATGCAAGTGAGTGTGGATGTGGAGAAGATAATGTTTGGTGTGGAATGACGGATGTGTCCCTGACTTATTTGGTTGCTCACTACTTCACATGGCGGAGTGTGGCACGAGAATTGGGTGACTCCTTGGGCTTTTGGTTTTGGTGGGTGGGAGTATGGTTTGATTGATAATGATATTTTTTTTTGTTGATTATGTGACTGATAATGATATGAGGATATGAACATACACAAAGCCCAATTTCTCACATTTAATTGGCATTTTAGCTTTTGAGCCTCCACAAACACAATCATCACAAATGCTTCTCATGAACCAACTTCTTACTTTTTTTTCAACTCTTTTAACGTGTTTAGCTTTTTTAATAATTGCCATTAAAATTTAAAATTTTGGCAATCGATATTTTCTTTCTATAATTAAAAATAATGAAGATTTAGGTTAGCAAAGTTAGTATTAAAAATGAAAAATAAGAGACAAACAACGCAATTCGTTCTATCATGCATACGATTTGCTTGCTTCAACAATGGCAAATACACGTTAAAAGGAAATTCAATAACATTTTGTTTTGAAAATTCAAGAAACTCAATAATTACAAATTTAAACTTTGTTAATTATCATTAATTTAGACATGGCTCATTTATTCATGATAATGTTTAATTAGTCTATATATACATAAACTTTACATTTTTTTTAAAGTATTTAATTTTGTAAAATTTGTTGAAGGCAAATTTCGTCATCCATTAATTAATCTTTACAAATTGTCAACAATAATTGAGTTTTTGAAGTTGTGTCTTTGAAAATAACCTAATCCAATTTGACTCATGAGAAGCATTTTGTTCTAACCTTTTAATTAGAGAGTGAGAATCATTAGTTGAAAGGTATCTCTCTGAAAATTTATCAGTGAAATTATCCACCAAGGGATCATACTTTGTATCCTATTTCTTGAAAAATAAAATTGTACCTAAATATTTTGAAATAAAAATTGTAAACATTATAGTTAAGTAAAAGGATCAGGCACAATGGGCTGCTTGCATTGAAAGCCCATCTGGTTGGATCGGGCTTCTTAACTGGAAGCTGGGTATGTATAAGGCCCATTGTTTTAAAATATCATGGGCCCATCTAACAGTTTAATATGGGTCTTCTCTAAATACACTGAGACCATTGGTATTTTAAAGATTGTGGACTTTCTGAATGAGAAGTTGACTAACACAAATATGAAACTAGTCAATAAAAATATGAAAATAATTTTTGGTGTCTATTTTTTATTATTACATATATTTTTTTAATATTTATCAGAATAAATTTTATAAATGTTACTTTTATGTTTATTAATATAATATTATTAAATTAAATAGTTTTTCTACAGTCTCCATAAAAAGGAGAAACAAGAAACATTAAATAAAAGTATATAATTAAAAATTTGTAGTTTCCTTTAATAATTATTAATAAAGAGCTTTTATGATTGGAGTTATTAATGAAATTAAGAAGTTTTGAGAAAATAGAAAATATGAGACAAAGAGACTTGAATGCAATTCACGTGGTTCATGGATGGGGTTCACGTGCCTTTCATGAGCGGGTCCCGCATTAGGTTTAAAGTCAAAAGGTGGATGAAGGAGATGAACACACGTGGATAGGTGAATTATGAAATAGGGCACGTGGTATGCGTGTGATGAAGATGAGAAACATGTTGATAGGAAGAAAGTGTGAGATGGTGCAAGTGGCACCCCGCTCCATTCCTTTCACGTGCCACCAACGCATCACGTCTCATCTTATCTTATGTCATTTCATGTTTATTTATTCTTAATTCATATCATTATTTTGAAAGAAAATACTGGCTTTTATTTCTAACCGTTATTTTATTATTTTAGTAAGAATTATTTTATATAACTTTATTTGACATATATGATTTTTTTAAGTTAATGAAAGGATAAACACGTTGGTGTTGTTGCTGTTGTTATAAAAAGTTTATAATAATGAATAAAATCGAGTAAATCTAAAAAGGTTTTTTCTGTATTTAAGTTAATAAAAATAAAAAATATAAAGAAAAATGATAATAATAACAAACAAGAATTAAATATAAATAAGTTTATTTATGAATAATAAAATCATCCTATACATCATAACATTTAAAACAGTAAATTATTTTTGTAATGTTATTATTATTATTATTATTATTATTATTATTATTATATTACTTGTACATTATTATATTCTGGTTATGTAATAAATATAATGAAATTAGAATCGCACTAAGTTTTATACTTTTAAAAAGCATTTTTAAAATCATTTATTAAAATATAAAAGTACAAATTATAAAAATAAATAATCATGAAAATAACTAATAAATTAAAAAATTACATATATATTATAATAGTTGCAACATTTTATTAATTTTTTAATAATAATAATAATAATAATAATAATAATAATAATAGTCATTAAGTTAAACAATTTATTAAATAGTGATTTTTTATTGTATATAAATAAGTAATTGGTTGTATAATTTGATTATATAAATTGAAAATTCTACTTATAATTAAAAATTATGCATTAGTTTGATTTTGAGGTACAAATTTAAAATATAATTAATATATATATATAATAAAACACACGTTTTAATATTTATTAACTCTTAAAATTAAAAACCTTAAAATTGATTATAATAATAATTAAAAAAAAGTGACCGTCATGACAACATCAGCTACGTGAACAACTACAGTTATCTGGAGTTTTCGTTTCCCACTTAAATTAAAACAGCTATGAACTATAGAGTGGTCTATCACGTGAGTTTCGTGTTTAATAGATTAGGTTAAAGAAATCAAAACATGTTTAATAACCTACAATCATCTTTTTACTCAACTTTTGACATCATGGTTGGTGTTTTAATAGTTTTGATTGCGTCTTTTTGTTAACCAAGTTCTGTTAATATCACACTTGTCTTTCCATGGAGACGGGAAGTGAAATATAAAATATAAAAAAACAAAAGTAAAATATTATTAATTTAAATTGATTTAAGTAAAAGTAATTTTCTTTTATTGAAGTTCCACGCGTTATTGCCCTCTTCATTGGTTACACAAGAAAACAAGGGTGTTCAACACACATATCTTCAAATTAGACGAAGACACAACCCTTTTCAACACATAAGGATTTGAATTTTGAAATTCATAAGAGAAAAAAAAAAAAAACTAAATGTAGCCACCATTGACACGAACAATTTGACCGTTGACCCATTCTGCAGCATCAGTGGCCAAGAACCCCACAACAGGTGCAACGTCTTTGGTCTCACCCAACCTTCCCAGAGGACTCTCTTGCACGATCTTATTCACAGTCTCCTCCGTCTTCCCCTCGAAGAACATCTCCGTCGCGATGGGTCCCGGCGCCACGCAGTTCGCCGTGATCTGTGTTCCCTTCAGCTCCTTCGCCAGCACCTTCACCATCGCCTCCACTGCCGCCTTCGATGCCGCGTACGCGCCGAACCCTGGACGTAGAGCCGCCACCTGGGACGACGTCACCAGGATGATCCGCCCCCCGCCGCCGCGCTTCAGCCGGTTCGCCGCCTCTCTCGCACACGCGAATGCGCCGCGCGTGTTCACCGCGAAGGTACGATCGAAGGACTCCACGGTGGTGTTTGCAATGGAGGGGTACGTGCCGTCGAGGACGCCCGCCGAGTTGACCAGGATGTGAATCGGCGAATAGAAGGCTCGCTCGGCCGAGTCGAATAGGGATTTGACTTGGCTCGGGTCAGAAACATCGGCCTGGACCACGACGGCGCGCGGTGCAGCGGTGTTGGCGTTGATCTGGGCGGCGACTGAGTCGGCTTGGGACGAGTTGGAAGTGTAATTGATGACGATTCGAGCACCGAGCGAAGCCAGGTGAATCGCGATTTCGCGGCCGATTCCGCGCGAGGAACCGGTGACGATCACCACTCGGTCTTGCAGAGGAAGAGATTGGTATTGAGATTGGTATTGAGATTGGGAATGTGTGGCCATTTGGGTTGACTTGAGCTCCGCCGAATCTGTGGAATTTGGCTTCTTTTTAAAACTTTTTAAAACTATAATTTAACTATTCCAGATATCTTCTTCTTCTTTCTTTCATCAAAATTTTTAGCATGTTTCAAAATTATAATGAAAAAAAAGAAGATAATTTTTTTTTCTTTTTCATTCTCGGACCTTGTATTTATTTTAATATATGTACTCATATCATTTTACGTCTTAATAATAACAATAATCAAATGATTTAACAAATTATAACAACTTCAAAATCCAATTCCAAATAGATATAAATATCCATTTCAACCAAAATGGATAAATGAATAAAAATTCGGGGATAAGAAATTTTTACAATATAAATATGTTCCAATTAATTAAATAATAGAAAAGGAAGTAAAGACATGAGGCAAGATAGGATAATTTATTGCGTACTAACTGTGGTCAAGTTAGAAAGGCAGGTTGACCTAACTATAGTTTAAAGTTTTGCGTTTAGAAGTTGCGTAAACTAGTGCCTCTTTCCTTTTTTTGTCAATTTAAAATTGTTGAATAACCCAATTTAAAATTGGCAAAAAACTATTCAAAATAATATGCTTTAAGTTAGTTGAGAAGTAAAAGAATGTCATATCTTAACAAGGACTGCAATACTAAAAAATAAATTAAGATAAATATTTTATATCTAATTTGTTTTTCCAATATCTCACAATAGTAAAGACTACAAAATAAAAAAATAACATGGAAAAACATGATAAAATATTTATTAACATTAAATGTCAATTACCTATGTACTGTTTGTAAATTTAACACGTTATCAATGTAATCTTCAATTCTTATATCAGAATAAGAATACGATTATTTTATTATAAATTATAATTATTCATATATATATATATATATATATTTAAATAAATATAATGAAAGATGATCAACGAAACAACAAAAATGATACAGTGACATTTGATCTAGAAATGGTAAAAAGATAATATAATGTTCAAACAAATCCTTTGGTTTGGTGACAACTATATTTCTCAATGAATTTTCTTTTTTCTTGTTCAGAGTTGCGAGTTTCAATCACTCTAAAAAGGAAACACATGCACCACATGATTATTGTCATTGAGAGGACCTCAGCACGTGAACGTTTTCCACTATATAAATTTTCAAAATGGGACAATGACAAGTATAATAATGCAGGACCACTCAACACTGTTGTGTGCTAGTATTCTTATGTTTGCAGAAGGGTACTTGTGTCTTCGTCTACCTTTTTTTCTGTCCAGAAATATTAATGAATAAATAGGACAAGTTTAGCTTCCGTACTTTTTTTTTTTTTTTTTTCAAGAAAGACTTTTAGTCTAATGTTCTTTTGTGCATGAATTAGAGATACCTCAGTTTCCATGGAAAGGTGGTAATAACAAAGGAACGGTCAAGAATTTAAGAGCAGTACCAATATGGCCAATACTTTTCTTGCTTTTCATCTGCATCAAATATTCCACCGCATCCGGTTGCAGATAAAGTGGATGGGGAAGAAAACAAGATCAAATTAAGTGGTACTTGTATCACAAAATGCAATTCACTTAAAAAAATAATTGATACTCTCTCATATTATGCACAGGACAAGACAGAAATAGGAAGAACAGAATGATATGATATCAAGACAAAGACACTCTTTACCCGTAAGAACTAGATTGGTTAAACTAAATAAAATAATTGACATTGTGGAAACAATATTTCTGATGTGTATACATTATAGACAAAACATAAATTGGCTGCCTACATGGTTAATGGGAGCTATTATTCTACTACTCTTTCCACTGTTTTTCCTTATAGATCCTCCACAGTGTAACAAATTTTTGCAGAAGGTTTAGAAATTGTTTTTTCTCTATGTATTAATCCTATGGATTATGCTAAGCTGTGTTATCCAACTGATGACAATGGCTGCAATGGATTGGATTCTGGTGGGGAAAAAAGAGCAATCAACTTGTCCTTTTTAAGTGGTTCAGATCCTTGGGACTTAATTACAAATGTGTGGGAAACAGTATCATTTGCAGCAGCAAGCTTTGATTCTACAACACTGATTTGTGCCTCTTTGAGCGTTTGAATTACTTTGGAAACAGGGTGAGTATCAAGAGGGCAACTCACCTTTACAATGACCTCGTCTTGAGCTGCTTGAATATCAACATCAGGAGCTTCTTTCTCTTGATTGTGGTTTTCAGATCTGGAGTTAGCTTCCAAAACTGATCCATCTTTTGAAGTGCTTCCAAACCTCTCTCTTTCAGCTTCCATGATCTTGACTTTCGCCTGAAGATCGTTGATATAGGCAATGGCATCACCCAACAACGAAGCCTTGTCCATCTTGGAGATATTAGGCACGACAGATCTCAATGCATAGAACCGTTGGTTGAGCTTCTCACGTCGCTGCCTCTCCGCCTCCACATGATTGAGGGGTTCTTCCCTTCCATTAGCAGGCTTCCTACCGCGCTTCCTGGGTTTCCTTTCATCCACAACACTGGGTCGTTCCTCCTTGCAAGAGACCTCAACATCAGAAAGCTCTGAATCTGCGACAACCGGTCTCACAGGAGAAGGCCTAGCAGTAGCTCCGGTAAAGTCAAATTGCATTTGCACCTGCCTTTGAGGTTGATAGCTGTTGATCAGCCTGAAATCCTGTCTCACACAATTATCCAGCTCCGGAACAACACTGCTCGGAGAAGTCCTAGGAGCAAAAACTTCAACAGGACCAGGCTGCCTCACACCCGAATTCACTGCCCAACCCGAAACATGAAGACCATTCCGTGCATTGGGATAACTAACGTTGTTGATGTTGTCCTTGTTGTCGTTGAGGTTGTTCCCATTGGGGAGGGCATGGCCTGCCCAAGGCCTGTTATCCTCCATTTTTCTAACAGCAAGTTTCTCTCTGAAATGCGTTCGATTGCCTATTGCATTCACAAAAAGCTTGGGAATTGAAACTCCCCCATCTACCTTGTTACCATCCCCAATTGCCAAACCAGTAAAAACCGCATTCCCACCAGCGCTAACGTTCACCCCAGGATACGCCGGACACTGCGTGGAGAACACAGATCTAACGGCTTGTACGAGTTCAAGACTCTCGGGTAACACTCTCACGGAACCCAACTCCACCACTCCCAAATCAGTAGGGACCAAAACAATAGTCCGAATTCCGGCGGATTTAACCAAGGAAGAACGCACGCAGTAATCAGACACGGATTTAAGCCACAAATGCTTCCCAGAGACGAAGCACTTACCTGGGCCACCATGCCCGCCAGGGAAAGAGAAGTACATGGAAGCAAGAAAGAACATCTCCGTGTCGGTCACGTGGTCGAGGCCAAAAGCGTAATTGTCCTCATCCGAACCACCAAAAGTGGTGTGCAGCTTCTGCAACACCCTCTTCCTCATCCTCTGCTGCATCTCCTCGTCCACGCGAAGAAGCCTCAGCGTGCCTCTCACCGCACCCTCTTCTTCCTCGTTGGGCTCCCTGCAGCACCCGTCTCCCCAACCTAGAACCCACTCACCGGATTTTGACTGAGAGAGCTGCCAGAAAATCGCGTAGTTCCAGCTGAAATTGGAGAAGTTGGGACGCTCCACCAGATCCGAAAGCTTGTTCTGAAGCCCCTCGTCGCTCCCAACCGCCATTAAAACACTCTCATTCGATACAGAGTTTGTCGTTAAAAACTCCTGAGCTCGACCACCCAGAACAGCTCCAACCATGGCCTTCTCCTCCTCATCCCACGTCACGCGCCCTAAACCCGCGTCACCCTTCATCTCCTAAACAAACAACCAACGAATTATCTCAAAATTTCAACCCCTGAATTCAACACCCGGAACCTCCTCTAATAACCGAAATGCAAGTGTTTCTCAGTTTCCATCTCATGTAGCCACTCTCAGATCTTTCAGATTTGGGGTTCGGGGACGAAAGCTATAATAAGAAGAGACAGAGAGACAAAGATAGAAACAAGAAGTGAGATTTACTTGTGATGTTAAGCTGGGAAAGGGGGGACAAAACAGGACGAGAAAGGAAAGTTGTGGGGGGAAATACGCATTCGGAGAAAACTGAGAGTTCGAAGGAAACAAAAGGAGAGACAAGGAGGTGTGTCGCGAGGGAGCGAATGAAAACGGAGGGTTTATGTTGCTTGGTTGGTAACACAGAGTGTGAAAATTGGAGAAAGGAAGAAGGAAGGGCAGAGAGAAAAAAAAAAAAAAAAAAACGAGAAGAGAGAGAAACGAAAGATGCAGGTTAACCGCCACACTAGTTTGCACAATTTCTAACTGCAAAACTTTAAACCATGGTTAGGTCAACCTAGCTTTCTAACCTTACCACAGTTAGCACGCAACAACTATCCTACTACCATCATGCCTCGTGCCTCTCCTCCCTTTTTTATATTTAATTTATTGGAACATACATACAATTTTTTTATCCATTTTTTTATTATTATTATTCATTTATCCACTTTGATTAAAAGGATGGGATATAAATACCAATGGATAAATATGTAATAAATAGATACTTCTTTTAAAAGATATTAAAATTAAAACATGTGGCGATTTTTTAATATATAAAATATCTTTTAAATTTTAGATCATTAATATTTTTTATAATTGAAAATACTTTGAAAAAAAAAATCAATTCAAGTATTAAAGATATTGAAAGCCATAGATGCAAAATAAAATAAAAATTAATTTAAATCATTTAAATATTTCAAAAATATGAGTAATTTGTATGAATTTTAATACTTAGATATTTATAAAATTTTAAAAATCTCTTAATATATACTGGTTTGGTCTTTACCGTTATTGCATATTGAGATTTTTCTTTTTCCTTTTAGAGCACTAAAGTGAGTATTATCCCTTTGGTTTTATCACATGAAAGATACATCATACACAACATATTCGTGCAATTCTACTTTAAATTTATTTTCTTATTTCCTAATAATATTACAGTCAATTATATTATTATTATTATTATTATTATTATTATTATTCTTCAGACATAATAAAGTAATATAGGAAAATATACATAAAGGGAAAGAAATAAAAGATGGATCGTATATAATTTTAGTTTGATTTGAATTTGAAAGAGTAATATGCTTCACTTGAAAATCAATTATTTCCTCCATAATTGACTATTAAAAATTTTCCATGTATACTCCATTTTTAATTTGATTATCAATATTAAAATTAATTTGATTTACTTGTTCACGTGGGCTTCCAATGCATGAGATGGGCTTTGAACACATCCAGCCCATTAGGCAGGATCCGTACAAAAGTATAACCTTCTCAAATAACATATACAACTATTCTAAACAACATTTTAGTGCAGTTCAAATATAAACGTTTGTTTATTTGTATTTTTTAAATTGATTTATAAAACTCTTTTGAAATTTTGAGTAATGCTTAGGAAGTGAAAAAACAAAGTCGCCAGTGAAAAAGCGTGGAAAAAGAATACAAGCTATAAAAAATGAGAATAAAAATCAAATTAATTTAAAAATCTTAAAAATATTAGTTTGCATAGGAATTATATTCTTTGGTTGAAAAAAGCATCTCAAATCAATTAAAACATATCCAATACTTCATTATAATAAGCAATCTATTTATTAAGTGTTTTTTATAATATTTAATATGTGTTTCCAAATATTACTAGAATGAAAGTTTTGCATATAAAAAATAATTGGTCCAAGGGAGAAGGACATGGGGTCCTTAAACGTGTGCATAATATTATTATTAATAGTATGATTGTTATGTAGGTGAAGAGTAACCTAAAATAACTGAAAATATGAACAAAGGTTCTTTGGGGTATTTAACTGGTGATGGCCATAACTCAAGTAGCAGCAACAATGCGTTTTATTCCACTTTGGATGAACACCATAATCTCTAATGTTTAAAGCATCCTTGTCCTTTCCCTTTGGGGATGGTGAAGGGTTAATTCTAAGGATGGGTTGTGGGGTTGGTTTTGTCTAATAAAATCTCAAACACCAAACATGTCATGTGTGGTGGTGGTCACTCCTCAAACCCCACTTGTCAATGTATGTCCTTTTTTGTTGCATGCATATCCAAACTAACCCTAAAAGCAATGTGTGGGATCCATCCATCCATACATAACAAAAAATATCAACTTTCAATTTCATACATGATTTGACCAGATAAGGTACTCCACAAAACCACAAGTTAGGTTGTCACATCCATTTTAATTTGGTTACATCTTTGCTTCAAATTCAATAGTCAATGCATGCATGCACACCACTAACTTAGATAATCAAATAATTGTATTATACCATGAGTTAAATGAGTATCAAACACCCCACGTGTTTCTCATTATTATTATTATTTTAGGGTTTGTTAACACTTCACCTAACCCACCAATTAATTTTCTTTATGTTAATCATCAAGGTAATCAAATAGGGATAACTTTTGAATTTATTATTGTAATATCCAATACAATTATCATAAATAATATTTTATTATTGAATTACTGCAAAAAAAAAAAAAAAAAAAATATATATATATATATATATATATATATATATATATATATATATATATATATATACAATTTTCTCACCATGAAACATGGTTTTGTGGTGGCTAATGTTGACTTATCCAATCCAATTTTACGTGTTTATCAGAAGATAAAATCCTTGCCCATTCTTTAGGAAATCATCCTATATAAACACATAAACAAGTAACGAATTATGGCCCATTAAAACTACATCTTTTAGGACTTTAATAGATGAAGAAGCCCAGCAAGCCCAAACTTTTCTTTGTCAGTGAAAAAGACTATTTTGTGCATTTTTAGCCTAAAATATAAAATACACAAGGGTAGTTATTATTTTTTATTTTATCTCATTTTCATTTTTCATGTTAATTTATTTTTTAACATATTTTTATATATTTTGTGCAATTTTTTTTATCATTCCTATTAATTTATAACCTAAAAAGATATATTTAATCACAATAAGTTAAACAAGAAGGAGTTTTTCTCATCATTTTGTTACAATAAATATAGCCACAAAGCACAAGAAGGGTTTTGATTTTCCTAAAAAATAAATTAAAATAAAAAGTTAACTATATAAAATGTTATCAAGTAAAGTAAAACAAGGTGGTGTTTAAGATTTGCGCTATGAAACATTGGATTCGGAAGTGTGTTGTGTGATGTAGTTAAAACAAGTAGGGTTCGCATGTCAGAGGATGTGAACAAAATGACGAAAGTACCACTGCTGACTGCGCTGCTTCGGTGTGCAATTATTTAAAAATTGAAAAGAGCAACTTTTGAGAACTTCGCCGAACTTCGAAGAAGAAGGGAAAGATAGTCGTCGTAACAACACAGTTTCTTCATGTCTCAACCTAACCAAGGGGTGAGGTTACATGCAATTCTTATGTTCCACTATTTATTTTGTTTGCATGAACTAAATGTTAATGGATGATGAAGATGTAGTCTATTGGGTTGTGAAAGGTTAAATTTTGTTGCCGTTAAAAGATGTGCAACAAGCTCAGTATTTACTGTTTCAGGTCCAGCAAAGTTTAGAATTAAGTCCATTTCTACTGGTCAATTTTAAATCTTAGGTTGTGATTCTTTAAATGTTGTAGAATAAGGGACTCAGCCAGAACCAATTTGTGTGTGTAAAAATATTGCTTACTGGTTCTTAACTATCTTTGATAATGTAACATAACCGTGGATAAATGATGTTTAGCTGAATGCAATAGGAAAACTTCAAAAACAAGGCTGCAAATATGGCAGGGTAATGTTTTTTAAAACCTTTGTGGGTGTTGATCTGCGGGGACATGACTTGGATGGAGTTCAAGTCTAAGTTGGAGTATAAGCAAAAAAGACCTATAAACTTATTCTTTAAAGATTTTGGGTGTGGTATATGTTCTCTTATATATAGGGTTTCTTTCCTGTGTGCTGATTCTTTCCTCATATTTGTCCAATGGGCACTTCTATTTATTCCATGATAATTTGATTGAAGAATATATATACCTAATTCCAGATAAGATACATATTGTTATTTGATTGAGCATTCCTATAAAGAATCCATGACTGAATAACCTTTTGAGAATCTGAAAGTGGTTGAACTAAATGTTGTTGGTGACTTCATGTTACTGCATAGCTCAAATGTTTTACTTGTACTAATGTTTACTTTTTTGTCCAAGTTATTTTTCCACATCATTTCCTTCCTCCAACTAAACCTTGAAACTTTTGTTGTTTCAGCCGAATCTAAAAAATGATATCAGAGAGAGATCTAAGATTATCAAACAGCATGAAGATAACCTTAAGTTCCTTAATTCTCAATCAAATCAGATAGATGAATCTATATTTGACATGCAAGGTATGTTTAAAACTCAATCTGTTTTTTACTTGTTTCCCAAGGAGAAAATAAGGAGAGATGAGGTGAGTAATTAGAATTTGAGATTAAATGCTCTATTTAATAAGGTATCATATGATTACTCATTAGTTGAGTAAACCACTTTAATTAAACTTTTCTTGTTTAACTCATTCCAACCTTTTTGGGTTAATGAAATTTACAGTGAGTCTTGCAAAGTACCATTCAAATAATGTAATTACCTCGAATTGTGGAAATGGTGCCTTTCATACCGAAGATGAAACAATGGAACAGATATTAAAGAAAGAGAACTCTGCTGCTGGTGTATTTAGTTGGCTCAAAGGTAATGCCCAGACATCGAATCTGACATTAACAAAGGATGTGGTGGGAGTTGTTGCAACCCTCGGCAAAGTTGAGAGCGATAATGTTAGCAGGTCAATATAATTTATTGTACTTTGAAATTTGTAACACCCATCTGTTCACTTAATTTCTATCTGCACAGACAATATCTCTTTTGGTCTCATTTAATTTTCATGATTTTAGAACAATAACATGAGTCTCATTGTTCTTTTGATACAATCATTAATACTAGCATTAAATTTCCATGCACATCAGTACTAGTGTGAATCTTAGAACTTGAGAAAAAAGTCTCTATTACAATTATTTAAGTAAAATAACTTGCAATTTTGTGTAAATACAGGATCCTTTCTGAGTTTTTGGGCTTGGAGACAATGCTTGCGATGGTCTGCAGTTCCTTTGAAGGCATTAATGCACTGGAGAAGTATGACACTGAAGGATTGATAAACTGTAATGCTGGATTGCATGGTATAGGGTCTTCAATTGGAAAGAGAATAAATGGCCGGTTTGTTGCCATATCTCTTGAAGATTTAAGGCAAGTTTGACAAATATGTAAATTTAGCTCTTGTGACTCTTTTAGCAGCATAGATTCATATAAAGAAAGATAGACATGAAGACCCTATTTAAGGTTAAAGTTGTGTGCCCTGTGTTGGGTCTTTCTGTCTACTATTCTCACTATAGGAAAAATTCACATGTAGGATCCAACCCTACTCATGCATGTGTAATATAAGGTTGGTTTGATGGTAAAGTAGAGGGAAAGGAGGGATAGGTTGTGGCTTCAATTCAAGTCTTTCCTTTTGTAATAACCAACATGTTAACAACTAACATTTGTTCAATTGCGAGTAAAAATAAGCTCTAAACATGCATAAAAATAAACTGTGGTACTTGTTTTTGTTGCAGACCCTTTGTTGGAGATTTGGTAGCAGATGATCCACAAAAGAAGTTGGCCATTCCAAAGCCAAGATTACCCAATGGGGAGTGCCCACCGGGTTTTCTGGATTATGCAGTGAACATGATCCATTTGGATTCAAAACATTTATCTTTTGTTACTGGCAGTGGGCAAGGTCTTAGAGAGACACTGTTCTATGGACTTTTTTCTGGCCTACAAATATATAAAACCCGGAACGAAATGCTGCGTGCTCTCCCATGCATTGGTGATGGAGCTTTGTCATTGGATGGTGGGATGATTAAGAGAGGTGGTATGTTTGCTCTTGGTAGTAGGTCAGTCTCAACTTCGACTTAAACTTTCTAATGCATCTTCCATTTAGATGATTCTCTTTCTTTTGATTCTCTACCCTTCCTATGTTAGTTAATACTACTAGTTTATTCAAGTAACTTTAAAGGATCAAATTTTCTGTAGTTCAATTTTGCACATTTCAATAACCTAGGAGTGTTTGTTTACTTGATACTTCATCCAATTGATTTATATCTCCCCATTGAGACATTATGGTATGCTCACCTCACCTGTCTGCATTACATGATGAAAAATGATTTTTTTCCCATTATGTTTGGCAAAACTAGCTTGTAGTTAAAAGTTGGTTACTGATAGTTAAAGATTGTTAAGTTAGCTTATTAAATTATAAGTGTTTGGTGAAATTATTAGATAAAATAGCTCATAAATGTATATAAAATAATTACAATGTTTATATGATGTTTTCTATAATTTTTTTTTTATTGAACATATATATTTTGAGGGTATTTCCTATTTAATTTTTTAATTAATTTTAAACTATAATGATATTTAATATATAGATTAATTATATTTGTTTTACTTTCAATTCCAAATATTTTTCATATTGTGTATTTATAATCAAAATTATATTATATCAAACAATGTTCCTATTCATATTTAAATATAAAGTAAAAGTAACGGATTTTTAAATAGATATTAGATATTTAAAATAAAGTAAAAATAGAGTTAAAATGTAAGGCAAAATACTTAAAAACAGTGAAAATAAAAAAATATATCATCTATCAATATTAATATATTGAGCTATAATCCTGAAATAGTAAAAAAAATAAAATTGTAAATAGTTTAATAGTTAAAATAAATTATATAATATAAAAGGATATAAAATAATAAAATCATAGTAATAAGAATAAGAATAATCTTATCATCTTGAATATCTTATTTAGTAAAAAATTAAAAATAAGAAATTTTTAACTTATGCAATAAAGAGTAAAAATAAGAAAATCATGTCTCATATAGAAAAGTGTAAAATGGAATTTTAATAAATATTTAAAGGACAAAAATAGGAGTACAGAAAAAGCTACTTCTGGTAGTAGTTAAAGAACGCTACTTCTGGTAGTATCTAAAGAATGCTACTTCTGGTGATAGAGTTTAAAAGTGTTACGAATTTGTAACTACTAAAAAAAAAGCTTGTCTATGAAGCACACTAGTAATATGGTCATTTAAACTTTTTAGCTAGTAAATTTTATTTTAAATTTAAGGAAGAAATATGTTATTTAAAGAAAAAATAAGATATGATTGGGTAGGGAACCTACATGCTGATCTGATAACTATACTTTTTGTAACATTCCAATATGGGTTGGTGGGTGGAAAATTTTGTAGTACTTTCATTTGAGAAAGAATATATTGCGATATGGGTAATGGAAGTTTAACCATGGTTTCCCCTTATTATCACAAGTAATGCTATTCTCACAACACTCCTGCTGCAGGAAAGATGTTGAAGTGAAGTTTCCTTTAATTTTGGGAGGATCTGATGTACCTCCAAAGTACACTGAAACTGAAGAGGCAGTGAGGAAGCTGAATTGGGAGAACTCTAAACTTAGTGCTGATAAACACAGAGAGCAGCAATTATTGGAGTATAGAAAAGGGATGTTCACTAGGCAAACCTGAAAAGTTACTTTGCAAGACATGTTAACAACTAACCACATGTAATTGTGTGTATCAGCTACTAATTTTGCAGAGTGTAGTTCAGAGGGATATGCCGAAAAGAAAGTAGATAGGCATGCATTAATATGCTTGCTTACATCTGATTCTTAATTGGAACCAGGAGAAACCTTGGATAGTTTAGCTTCTAAATTTGGATGATGCAACTTGCTGAGCACTGCTACCTTCTTGCAAATGAACATGTGTTACATGAGCACATCTGCATTCTTATGTTCTTAAACTCTTGTCTTCTAATTCCAACTAGTTCTCTGGTTAATAGAGATGCAACATGTGGGGCTTTCATTTTCAATTGTTCATGTGGATGGCCAACAATTGTTTTAAAAATTAGACTCTGTTGAGGTAGTCACTAGATTTGCTGGTGCACTGCAGAATGTTTCACAAAATGGTCCCTAAACTTAAAATGAGCTACATCACCTCCACTCACAATCTACCTTCAGTTTAGTTCAATGTTTGTTTCATCCTTACAGACATTTTACTCTTTGAAACAGTTCAGCCGAATCACTGCTACAAATTAAGCTATAGGCATAGCCTATGCACATCGGTTGCAAGTTTAATAAGGTTTAGTCTATTTTAGATTTTGATAAAATTAATTTCAGTAAAATTGATTTAAAAATTCTGTTTTGATATAATTGATTGTAATAGAGTTATTTTGGTAGAGAAAGTTTATCTATGAGTATGATCCATTTATTCTAGAAGTAAATGGAGAAAAAATGATTTTATTCTGTCAAGATGACTATTTCTAGAAGAAATAATTTACAAATTTCATGCCAAAATGATGTGATATTTTTGCCCACTGCTATTTAACAACCCAACACTAACCACTAACCACACAAAATTGATTTGCAACAATGGAACTTGATTCAAAATTGGTAGTCCAATCTGCACGGGCACTCAATCGATTAGTCAATAGTTTTAGATAGCAGATTAAACTCATGGTATAGACACTAAATGAAGTTATATATAAATATAAAAGTGAGTGCGTGTACGAACTACTATCATTTATAGACACTTACGTCCCATATAAATATCACCCAAAAAAAAGACCTACTTTGCCTTCCCAAAAAATAGTAAATAAAGGTTATGTACCCTGGTTTAAAATACAAAACATGTTTTGTACAAGCTTACTGGGTAGGGGTAGGGGTAGGGGTAGAAGTAGCAACCAGAGTATCAACTTCTGTACTAGGTGTACGCACATCCTCTTCTGATTTCCTCTCATTATTTTGCTTGTCACTTCTTCTCCAGCAATTTTTAGAAAGATGTCCTCTCTTTCCACATACACTACAGGGTATGCTCCTGCCATAAATTTCTGGCCTATTCCTACACAATCCCAGTGGCTTATAGTCAAACCTCCTGTGTCCACCACCTCTATTGCCTTGGTGAAATCCTACACTGTTAGGATCTTCACCCACTTGTTTTACTCCACACCGAGATTCTTCCTCTGTCTGTATACGTTCCATTAACTTCCAGAAAGGTAGATATTCCTCACGCATTAACTTGATGCAAAACTCCTTCCAGGATGGTGGAAGCTTTGAAATGATGACACTAACATGAAAGTTATCATCAAGGAATATTCCAGAAGAAGCAATTGAATCTGCAATGCCATTTAGTTCTCGGATTTGCTCAATCACTGCTTTATCATCAATCATCTGAAATTCCAAATACTTTTTCACTAGAGACCTCTTGGTTCCAAATTCCTCATATAGATAAACTAGATTTAGCTCTTCCCATAACTCCTTAGCACTCATTTTTCTGTTTGCATACTGGTTAAAAAGAGGATCGGATAAATGACTCAAGATATTGCGACAACACACTAAATCATCATTCAACCATCTCCTTTCTGCAGCCTTGGCTATGGCAATGTCATCATCCTTTGCACCTTCCCCTAATGTAACATTCGGACATGGTTCAATAAGCACATATTCAATCTTTAATTGTTTCAAGAGTAATTCCATCTGCTGGGCCCAGAATTGAAAATTCTTCCCATCAAATCGGACAACCTCCACAGGGATCATAGGCTCAAGAGGAGTGACATCAACAACAGAATTTGAGCCATCTCCATTTTGCTTACCATTAAGCTCTGATCTACATTGTATGATTACATGTTCTAGGTTAGACTAGCCCATGAATAAATGTTTTCATTACAGTTAAAAAGCATTTTTTATCATGCATTTATCTGCAGAGTGACATGTTTTCATTCCAGCCAAAAAATAAGCAGTACATATTCAGAAGAATACAAACATTTCAACAACTGAACTTACAACAAAGAATATAATATAATTCACAGTTGGTAAACAATCATGTACCAAGAGAAAAGAAACAAAAATAAGCATTATGCACATATGCTTTGAGAAATTTTCACAGCATTACATTTCAATACTTACATGATCAATATCATTCAGAAGCCATAAACTTTCATGTTATCACAGATATCACATGTCAGTGTTGCATACTCACCTTATCCTTCCTTCCATCTTTATGATAGCTTCTTCTATGGCAGGAACACTCTTCTTGAAGATTGACCATTGTTCAGAAGGCAAACTTATACCTAAAACAAGTATACAGGGAAAGGGACATGTTTAATTTCAAAATTCAGATTAACAAGTTCTCAACACAACAGAGTCACATACACTCAAGTAAAGATCCTCTAAAGCTAAATCAGGGACCTCAACTCAAATACTCTAACTTATGCTTTCCAGGTTGTATACACCAGAGTTTAGGGAATTCACTCACTCAAGTAAATAGAAGAACAATAAGACTTCAACATTGTCTTAGAATGGCCTGGGGCGAAGTTCAATAGAGGAGATCACAGCAACATTTACATTATAGAGAAGCATTATACTAAAGCAGGAAACAGCAAATTCACAAGAGCAAACAATAAATTATGTAACCACCTTTACATCCTGGAAGTTGTTTTCCATCTTTCACATAAAACTCCCTAATTGAGACCAGTGTTGTCCCTCTGAATGCTTTCACCGCCACGTTCCTCCTACTCGACAGCTAGAGACCAATGAAGCAAAATTTGAAAACATGAATTAATGACAAATAAACAAGTTTGTATATTTGATAAATTGGACTTATACTCTTCATCAATTAAGTGAATCACTACACAGTCTTAATCCATAGGGTACAGTTATAAAGCCAATTGCAGCAAAAGAACCTAATAAAAAGAAAAACAGCGTCTTTTAGGGCTTTTATTGTATGGAGGAAGGATAACTCACATTACAAATAACGCGTTCAGGATCTTCCCTCCTCAGTTTTGCAAACTCTATCTCTTCGTTTTCCATCCTCTCTGCGCCATCGTTTTTAGCTGCAACATCTTCCATCTTCTTATTCTCTGCATCTTTGGACTTTTCATTGGCCAAAAGGGAGAGAAGATAGGACTCAACTACGCTTCTGACGAAGTGTTTACCGGTGGAGTCAGAGAGGTCGATCCCCAGACGGTCTGAGGCAGCGAGTCGAATGCTGAACTCAGTGGCTTCTTCAATGTTGGATTTGTTCAGTATGTCCAACACTGTTTCTTCGATTTTCTGACGAGTTTCTGGTTCCATAATGAAGAAAAAAAGAAAAGAAAAGCAAGATAAAGAACCATGTTATATTATATATATGCTTCAAACCAACATGTGTTGTGCGGTAAATATAAAATCAAAACTTTTAATGAAAAAAGAAACAAGGTTCCACCGAGATTTGAACTCGGGTTACTGAATTCAGAGTCCAATGTCCTAACCACTAGACCATGGAACCTGACATTCCAAATTTTGCTAACATTATATTAGGTTTTAATTGTGTTTGATCTTTTCAGGTGATGAATTTATCTTAAAAATTGAGGATTCATAAATAGGAGGATCAATTAAGAAACAGTAAATTTTTCATGATTTTGTTCAAGCATCATATAAATTTGCTATTTTTGAAAGCATCTTAATTATTTTCAATTAAATTAGTGAGAACAAAAATATAAAGAATAAAGTAATATATTTGTTACTAATCATTTTTAAATTATAAAATATATAAAATTGTTTCTGAACATGTAGAAGGAACTCAATTAATAAGTAAAAATATATAATTATAATTAGAGATTTTATTTATACAGTATTCATTACTCATATATTATTTTGAGGTAGGGATATATATGAGTTGAATTAGTTTGAGTTTGATGAATTAGAATTGGCGAAATTTTTGTATGATATTTTTCTTCAATTTATCTTTAATTAAGTTAGACAATTAGGTCATACTTTTTAAAATATATATTTTTAAAATTTATTATATCAAAAATATTTTTTGGATTTTTAAAATAATTTCTTTAAGAAAAAAATAATATTATTTAATATTTTAAAAATATATAATTAATTTATATGAATAATTAAATTAAATAATAATTATATTATTATTGTGATTAATATTAATATTATATAATAATTTTGTTAAAATTTATTTATTTTTGTATAAAATCAGTTACATAATTTATGGGGTTAGTTAGGTTGATTGAATTAGAGGAAGAAAAATATAATTTAATTTATTTTAATTCTATTCCGTTATGCAATCTAATAAATATCCTATGAATAACAAGTTTAAATAAAAAATATTATATATTATTAAAGTGGAGATTGTATGAGTATAAAAGGAGAGCATAGGGGAAATGAAGAGAAGAAGAAGAAGAAAGTAGAACAGAAGAGAGAAGAAAGAAGAAGCAGAGAAGAAAATGGGAGTGGAGAAGCAATTGGTGAGGCCTGGCACTGGTCCCAAGCCACTTCCTGGTCAAAACGTCACCGTTCACTGCATTGGTTTCGGTTTGTCATTATCTCTCTTCCTCATCCTTTTCCAAACCCTAAATCTATCTTTTACTTTGCCTAGCCTTGTTAGATCTAACCCTTTGATGTGCTTACTGCTCTCGACTTTGTGCAGGGAAGGATGGAGACCTTACTCAGAAATTTTGGAGGTTACCTAATTTTTATTTCATTTCTCTCCTTTTAATCTCTTCCTCTCTTTTCATCAAATTCATTCAATTAGTCTTTTTTTTCTCACAGCACAAAGGATCCTGGCCAGTCCCCTTTCACCTTCAAAATTGGTCAAGGTTCTGTCATAAAAGGTATACCATTTTCACTTTCTTCCCATTTATTCTTTCTTATAATTCTTCATATCTTTTGTTTTCTAATGTAAGTTCGACTAGTAATATTTGTTTTTTCTACTATCTGTGTATAAAGGATGGGATGAAGGTGTGATTGGCATGCAGATTGGGGAAGTTGCTCGGCTTCGGGTAATATTAATGTTAAACACTCTTAATATTTTTTTCATTGGAAATCTCAGAGCGTCTTGGAATCTTTTGTGTGACTCACATTCTCATTTGTTGTAATATCCTTAATGGTTATTTTCTCTGCAACCTATAAAGGTATCCATGTATCATAGTCTGTAACATATGTATGTTTTTATTTTATTTTATTTTATACACGTGTATTGTATCTTTCTTATTGGTAAATTGTTTTGGGATGGAGGATTATTGAGTTAAGAAGACTCTGATGTTCACATTGTTGATGGTCTTTGCAGTGCACTCCTGATTATGCTTATGGTTCTGGTGGCTTTCCTGCTTGGGGAATTCAGCCCAACTCTGTCTTGGAATTTGAAATCGAAGTCTTACATGTGAAATGAAAACCTTGTTAGTCTGTTTCTCTGCCAAAAGAATAAGATCATCCATTTTCATGGACATGTTTAATGGTATCCCAATGCAGTGAGTGATATCTACAGTGGCTGAGATGTTTAACTGAAATGCTAAATTAGTTATTGAATGATCGAAAAATCTTAATATTATATTTTGGATCTTTTTATTTTCTTATTCCTTTGGCAAAATAGTATTATTATCTGGCAATGCATCATCTTTGCTTGTGCTTTCATGTGAAAGTGTCTTAGGATGTTTTTCCTGACCATTCATCCCAAGTTCAATACGTGACCTTCACATTTATATTCACTTCGAAATTTATTAATTTGATATGTGAAAGTTAATATATTTGAATAAATTTTTATTTTTTGTATTAAAAATAAAAAACAGATGACTCCACGCAGCTTGCCCAATAATTACTTCAACCCAATTTGAAAATTTGTTACTTGTAATGGATCAGCCCAAAAGCTTGACACGCGAGAAAACTAAACCCTAAACTGTTTATGTCCTTTAATGGGCCTTAATCAATGTAACAATATTTCCAAGTGGCCGCGCCCACTGTAAAATGTATTGTGCATGTGATATGAAGTGATGAAAATTTATGTACAAATATCATAGCCCGAAACCAATTTTATGTGTATTTTTTTTTTTAATTCTTCTAGCGAAGGGAATTTAACATATATTATTTCTTAGCATTTTGTATTCTTGTTTAAGAGGGGGTCAGTTAATTTGTTTTAAACTTTCCAACCACCTATTATATCAACAACTTTCGGGAGTTTTTTCCTTTTGTGTGCGATTTTTGTGTTAGTAGCATAAAGAAGTATACTTACATTTATAAAAAACACACAATTGGTCCTTGACCAAGTTCCTCTTTAGGTACAATTATGACACTAATCTTTAATGTGATGCTGGGTAAAGTTCTCAAAGTGGTGACTCCAATATTGAAACCTTGACATTATAGATAAAATTTACTGCAAATCTCAATTTACTCTTAACATGATTAACTATTTAGTAAATCTTGCATACATATACACTCTCAGACACACACAAGAAAAAAGAAATATAAAAATACAACCTTGAAAAAAAAAAAGATTTGCACATGCTTTATACGAAGAAATGATTTATTTCTAGTTTTGGTAATATGGATCAAACTATTAACTGATGCAATATTCAAACGTGGGAAAATCATTCAAATAGTTAACGCTGCATTCCCGTCACAAAACCTTCGAAGTTTTAATGGTGAAAGGATGCAAGAGCACTTTCAATACAATGATGATTAAACTATCATGAAGGTTTTCAAATAGTGTTATTTTACATTGTAAATCATTTCCAATATTCCAATCACCAATACTTCTAAAAAGTTGGATTCAAGCAGAGCAATTCAGAATAAAGTTGCCATTTTGCTCAGAAATCTATTTAGTAGGCCAATTGATATCAGTGGTTCTGATAAAGCTAGCTGAAAAAAAAAACATTTGAAGGGGAAAGAAAATGTTGCAGAGCCTAAAGGTATGCATTTTTTTTCCCTTTGTCTTTAAAAAGGGATAGAATCAGATAGCAATGAATTCATGTAGTTGTTCTTTAATGATAAAGGTTGAATGAATCCCTGAATTGTAGCATCTCGTCTCCCAAATCCAACCGCACTTTGGTGTAGCTGTAACCCAAAGGAAAGACCTCATTATAGATTTTGGTATTTGGTTCTTGTGCCCTCCACTCCAAGCAAAATGGTATATATATTTTGTTTTCATTATATTGTTTGGATGATATAATGGAATTGCCCTTTTAGAAATTTGGAGTCTTTTTTTCTGCTTCTTTCGGCTTTTTTCATGAAATGCACGGGTGTAGTAGTATATTAGATTGGATGATTGTGGTTAGTGGGCTAAAAATGGGAGTTGCACTTGATGGATATGATGTACAATTTGCATAATAATTCTCTTATTTCTATGGTCATGGTGCTGCATCATTCATTCCATGTACCTCGTGCCAATGTGGTGACTTTGGTGGGGGCGATTGGGCCCTTGAGTTTGGTTTCATTTCAATGACTAACTAACAACAAATTACAATGCCAATGAGTGATTTTGATTATTCATGAGTGAATGGCACATGTTTGTGTCTCTGCTCTTCTTAACCCTGCCTTTTGTTTGGGCAATGTTCCTGTCATCATAATCTCTTGTTTTGATAATCGCCAGATAATTAGTGACACTTGCATCAATTCATTTCTTAACCAACTTTCACATTTTGGTTAATAGATTGGGAAGCAAGGAATAAGTGAGAACTGTTGTCGAAGTCACACGTCACCAAAAGAAAATCGTGGCTAAATCTTCAATCATTACATAACAACTAGTAAGATCATTTAGTTTAGAAATTTCACTTCTATAGAATAATTAGAAAGAAAAAAAGTTTGATATAAGACGAGTAATTGATAACAAATGTTTTAAAATGGTAAAAATAATCATTATTATCATTTTAATTTCTTAGATATGTTTTCTATCCATCTAATTATACTAACTTGTTTTAAATTATAATATTTGTGACATTATAAATTTATTTTTTTCCCGAGTCAATGAAAAAGAACTAAATTAATAAAATTCATCATTGTCCAAGGAAAATTTTTTCAAGATGTCTTTAAAGCAAGAGATAAATGAATGTATAACTTGATTACTAGGAACCTATAGCAAAAGATGAAGAACTCCTAATTAAAAAAGTTCACAAAAGAATTAACTTGAACTTGCAATAAAACACATGTATAAGAGGGATCACGTTATTCTAAAAAATATTTTGGAGTCGAATAATTAAAAAATAGATAATCCTTTTACAATATTTTGAAAATAGAAAAAGAAATTAGTTTTTACGATAGAAAAGAACATAATTTTACCTCAAAAATAAATACCGTAAGAGGAGAAAAGGTGAAAAAAAAAGAAAGGAATGGTAGAAGTGGGATTTGGTTGTGTATATATATTGGTGGGCATGCACACCACTGCCCAATCCCCCTCCACCCTCTTTCCCACATTTTCTTCAAACAATTCACTCTCTTTCCCTTCCTTCCACTCTCCTCAACCAATCCCTCCTCCCTCAATCTATCTGTAAGTTTTTGTAAACCTCGTTAACCTTTTCCTTGCTTCTATTTTTTCTTATCCGTTCTCTGGTTTGTTAGTGGGTCACAAAAAAACATTTTGAAGGTGAAAGCTTGAATTCAAATTGGGCTACCATCTTCGTCATGGAACATGGGTGTGAATTTCAACCTTTTTTTATTTTAATTGGGATAATCTCTTCGTTAAATTAACAACCTTCTTTGGTTCCTGACAAGTTTCACGATTACCAGTGGTTTAATTTTTATTTTTTATTTTTTTGTCGCTGAGTTGAACAACTAGAAATTTCAAGAAATTAAATTACGTAATTGGTTAATAACCCTACTGGGCTATGTGGATTTCATGTCCTTCTTCCTTAGTTGCCAACAAGTTAGCTGCATGATGATTACTTTATCTATAATCTTATTATGTTCCTTGTTTAGTCCAATTAGTCTCTCTCCCAACTGGATAAAGGCTGAGGTTTCTACAGTTTTATCTTTGATGAAATGAATGGATGAGTTGTGTGCTGCGATGAGTCTTTTGTTGTCATTGTGGTTATTGATGTTTTCTCATTTTCAATAAAAGACTTTCCTATGGTTTTGGAGGATTATCCTTTAGTTTTATGATAAAACATTCTGCTATTGTTTTTATTGCTGTTTCTATATTTGCCAACATGATGTTTGTTTTAATCTTGTTTCAGAGTCATTGGTGTTGAGGGCATAGCATCTTGCTGAAGCACTTAGCCATTTTGGAATCTTAAGTCACACAGGAAGAAATCAGCATGCGTTGGTTGGGTCTTTTGGTTTATGCGTATCGTCAAGTTGTACGCTTGAACTTATATTGTAAAGTTATTCTATAGGTCCCCACTCCCATCAATCCTTTTACTTTGTTACTTTTGGAGTTTGGTTCCTTATTCTTAAGAACTGCCATGGAAGACAACCATTGCTTGATTACTTCTTCAGATAAGTATAGAATTGGCTGAAAGATAGGGAGTGACGATAGAGCCTGGTATTTGTGTCTTCAGTATTGTTGTGATCTCATATTTCTGTAGTGTTAGTTGATTTTGATTTTATAATTAGCTTTTTCCTTCATTATCATATTCCATTGGGGCATTTTCTCGGGTGTGCATTACATTCTAGTGTGGTAGGATCCAAAAGAAGTTATGGTGTGCCAAGCAGCGAGCAAAACAAGATTCCGGGCTTTGAAACATGAGAATGGCATTGAAGGTGAACCAACAATTATTATTAGAGTGATAGCATGCTTTCAACCGTTGCACGATTGTCAGGTTTGTAACCTGTTCTGATTCTTAGTGTTTTGCAAATGCATTTCTTTGCTATTACTGTAGGCATGACTTTGAAATATGCTGTTTGAAGAAAATTTTACATTTATGCCTCTTTTGTGCATAAATCATTTATGATCAATTATCGTTAGACCTTATGGTATCAGCTATGGGATAATTTTATGAGCTTATGGGTGATGAGTGGTATCTTCTATCTCTTGCAGGCTGAGTACTTCCGTCATTTGCTTAAGCCTGTCACGTAGATTGCTTTGTATTTATTTCTCTTTAAGCAGGGATTTCTTGTTTTCTGTTACTGTCATTTGTTCCTAAGATAAACAGCAAGTCATTGAAAATCCCATATCAAGATCTACTGGTAAATATTTTCAAATGCCCTTTTCATCTTTACATTTAAAAGGTTCGAATTTTTTTCATCGGCATTGATTGGTCAGTTCTATTGTTCTTAGGTCATTTTTTTCATTGAATGGTTAAGGCTCACTGGTCTTGGCCTTACCCACAGCAAGTGGCTTGGCCATCACCCTACTTAAATAGCTCCTGCACCTTAGCAGAGACCAGTTCATGTGTTCATTCATCATACATGAACTCTAGCACAAGCGTCTTTCCTGCTGTCAGCTTATTTCCCAGGTTCACAGCTCCTGCTATTCCAAATTTGAATACTGACCAGACCAATGAAGTGCAAGGATTCCTTCAGCATCCCATTTCAGAACCATGTTTGAATGAAACACATACTGGAGGGGCTATGCAAAGTGAATCTTTGCAGAAGAAGTTACTTATCTTTGACCACTCTGGTAGTAAGACCAGGTTGCTTTATAGTCCTGTCTTCCCTTTTGTTCAGAGTCCAATTGTTACTGCTACCCAATTTACTCAAGTTTATGATGTAAACGAGGAAGCACAGGAAATTAATATGGGCCTAAAGCATTGGCCCATATACACTTCACCACAAAAGACTGGTAAGGATCATATAGATAATGAAGAAAGTGAAATGCATGAAGACACAGAGGAAATCAATGCATTGCTTTATTCTGATGATGATGACGACGATGATGAGGTAACAAGTACAGGTCATTCTCCGTTGCTTACTGAAAAAACTTGTCTGACTCAAGAACAGTGTGGGAATACGAAGGAGGAGGTTGCTACCTCTGATTGGCCAAACAAAAGGCAGAAGTTAATTGATGGTGGATTCAATAGATTACCGCCACTTGTGGACGGTGCTAGTTCCGAAAGGTTAAATAAAATGTGTTATGCTGAATCAAACTATGCTAGTAGTGGTGCGGTGTATGCTTCAAGGCAAACTGAAGAAGATAAATCAACAGCCTCTGATATTCAATTGAAAAAGGATAAAATCCGTGAATTGTTGAGACTTCTTGAGAACTTCATTCCTGGGGCAAAAGGAGAACATCCCCTATTAGTCATCGATGGTACTATTGAGTACTTGGAATCTCTGATGTCCCAAACTGGTACACTGAAACATCACTAAGTGTTGATGGGCACATTGATGCTGAAAAAAGTTGTGTTGAAGTATTAAGTTTGTTATATTATAAGTTTCAACTTTAGCATCCTTGCTTCTTTGATCTTCTTTCTCGAGGTGTATTTATAGTTTAGCAATAAAGGGGGCTAAAGCAGCAATAGATAGTACTACACTTTTCCACTACAATATGGGGTTTGGGATTTCAATTTGATGACCAGTATATTTTATCTTTTAGCTTTTGGAGGATTAAAGGTCAGAGATTGAATGGATGGGTGATGGTAGTGGATGGTTGTGCTGTAAATGAGGACACTTTTCCCTCCCGGAGTGTTGAATTCTCTTGTTGATTGAATGCATGCGCGTTAGGTAACTGGGGTCCCACTCTCCACCCTCCCTTTAATTCCTGATTTTATGCTCTGTCCTCTCTTCTAAGCTTTGGCTTGTACACATATCATGCTAGCGTAGACTATAAAGTACCAAGAAAGTTCGATGTTGGGGCGTGCTTGAGTGAGGAGTTGGTGTTTCATCATGACTTGTTGGGGCCCTTTCTTGGATACACACAGAATGTTGTGGTAAAGGTTTCTTTGTTTTACATGTTGAGGGTGGAATCACAGGTTTTTCTATTTTCTACATTGTAATTGAGAGGTGGGTTGAGTATTCTTGGTTTCTTTTTCATGATGCTATTATGTATGTCTGTCGGTTGTGATTGTATGAATAATTGGAGTGTGAATGCCTCTATTTCAGTTTGATGTTCATATTTTCAATGTTGCTTGTCATTGTCTTATGCGTTGAATAATTTAATACTAACAGGGCATGATTCCTCACTACCTCTCTCTGTTGTTGAGATATTTTGCTTAAAACAATTGATAACTTAATCTTTTCCTGTGAGACTGCAAATTTCACACACTGATGAGATTGTTCTTTTATAGGTCTAAATCATTTCATAAGTGGAATGTGTTTCTTAAAGAAATTGATTATTTACAACTGAAGCAGATAACTTAAAATAATACTATATAATGTTTTGTTACTTTAGGTTGTTTATTAAGAAAAGTTTTTATATTATAGTTGATATTTTTTTCTTTAATTTTTGAAACAAGTGTATAATCAATAATCTTGTCCTGATAAGATTAATAATAATATATAAAGAAAAAATTCACAAGGTTTTGAATAACTGATATGTGAGTGATTGATAAAATATCTCTTTCATGTTCTACCCTCGAAGAATCTAAGAATTTTTATGTGAGAAGCATGTTTTACCCTCGAAAGTCTCTTTGACAGTTAACCAAAAAAGTATCTCATATTGTGATTTTTGAGCCATGGATATATAGAAGCATATCAATGTGAAACAAATTAATATTTAAGGTGAGAATGTTGAAAATCATTATAGGTATAACAATAGACAACATAAACATTAGAAGAAAGATTTATAATCAATTATCTTAAGATTTTATGATATGATTCCTTATATTACACGCTTATGAGTAAAAATATCTTCTTGTTATTTTTCTTCCAAAAGTCCAATATATTGTGTGTTTTTGTGAAATAAGAACTTGTGTGGAAATTATAGTTTAATTATTTTATTTAGTTTGGTACACTTCTTAATCAACTTAGGCTTTCTAGGTTTATCTTTTATGTACACACTATGATGAACACAATCTCAATCGCGCACTCACTTCCAAATTTAAAATATTTTAACTAGACATAATGTCTGGACTAACTTCCAACAAGAGTTCTGGGAGTGGCTATTACTATAATAAACTTCACATGAGTTTTAAGATAAACTCAAGCTATTATATATAAAAAAATATACACTTACCTTTCCTAACTTTTCACTTCTGTATTTAACCATAAATTAACAACTTAGAAATATTGAGGATATTTTCTGTTTTTATTAACTTAGGAACATTTTCTGAAAATAATTTTGTATTTTCTTTATTTATTGTAGAAATATTTGAAAACACAAAATATGAATAACAATCCGAGACAATTTTATGATTTATGTGAACATAAAAACAACCGACATTAAGAGATGAGGAATCAACCATGAGCTTTTAATTTTTTAAAATTAGCACAAAAAATGTTTCCATTTCACAAATGGACTTTTAATTTGAAAATTAATAATAATTAAGGTTTCTAAATGAAGCAAGATTTTATCCATTTTACTTTTTAGGTTTCTTTCGGGATCATTTTTATTTGTATGTTTTTAAAAAAATTAATATTCAAAAAGTCAATTTTAGTTTCTAAAAGAATGGATTTTACTTTAGGGTGATTTTTTTTTCCTTTTATTTTTTAGTTTTAACTAAAGCAGTTTAAATATTTTATTACTCTAAAGTCAATTTAATAAATATGTTCATTATAATATAAATAATATAGTAGTGATAATATTTTTCTGACATCATTAAGGATAATATTAGTGACAGTTATAATAATGATGTGATTGACATTAATGGTGGATGGCCCTAGAATAAAAAATTATTATTAAATATAATATAAATATATTCTTGTAAACTAAGAATTAAATATACAATTTTATTTGAAAATAAATTAAAAAATTACAGAAATTTGGCTGAAAACATACAAGATTCAGGGGTTGTTTTCACGTGCTTTTGTCAAATTTGGTTGGTACCAAATAGCACATTTCCTCTGACAACATTTGTTACAATTTTACTTTTTTGAAGACAGTTTTAATATGGTGACACAAAAGAACAAAATTAATAATTGTTTTGCATCTGTGTTTGTTTGAACTGATTTGCGACGAAATACTATTCACGAAGACAGAAATACGCCATTCACACACGTTTGGTTGAACTGATTTGCGACGAAATGCAGACGAGGAAAAGGGGGAGATGAGAGAGAGAGTTTCTTCGCTGAGGTGCGAAGAAAAGAGGTGAAAGTCTGCTGGAAATAATGAAATGGCGAAGTTACCCTCTTCCATATGATACCGCTATTATAATAGCACTTCTAATAGCGGTTAAAACTTAACCGCTATTATATATCACTTCTAATAGCGGTTAAAACATAACCACTATTATATATCACTTCTAATAGCGGTTAAATCTTAACCGCTATTATATATCACTTTAGATAGCGGTTACAGAGGAACCGCTATTAGATCCTCCAATTATGATCGATCATTTCGTAAATCTAATCGATCAGACTCATATTTCGCTCGAGCGAAATATAGTCGCTCAAGCGAAACACAACCCGAGACTCAAGAAATTAAAATATGATTGTATATGATAGCGGTTCCACTGGAACCGCTATCTAATATACACTTTAGATAGCGGTTACAGAGGAACCGCTATTAGATCCTCCAATTATGATCGATCATTTCGTAAATCTAATCGATCATACTCATATTTCGCTCGAGCGAAATATAGTCGCTCAAGCGAAACACAACCCGAGACTCAAGAAATTAAAATATGATTGTATATGATAGCGGTTCCACTGGAACCGCTATCTAATATACACTTTAGATAGCGGTTACAGAGGAACCGCTATTATATCCTCCAATTATGATCGATCATTTCAACTTATGATCGATCAGGATCGTATTTCGCTCGAGCGAGATATAGTCGCTCGAGCGAAATACGGCTTATGAGCTCACGCTTTGAGAGTTGCTGTAGCCTACCTAAGCTCCGCTTTTTTCAGTTCAATCCAATCAAGCAATGGGATTAGAGAGCAAGCTGGCGTGGGTGCAAAGGCACTGATTCAATCAGGAATTGAGAAGCAGCAGGGAGTTGATGGAACACTTTAAGAACCATTCTTAAAGGGAGCTCATGTTCTTGCACTCAACCTTTCCACCAAGAACCAACTTCCAATTGTAATTCTTTCTTGGAAAAAGGATGCTAACAGTTGCTTAAATTTATTGCTTTGTTTTTTTAAAAACTGATATGATAAAAGTTCCAAGCAATTCTGTTTATAAAAGAGTTTTCAGAAAAAGCTGCATTAATTAATCTGTTGAAAGTTTGTTTTAATCTGTTGAAATAACCGTTATAATCTGTTAAAAGTCCTTTCAACCCATTAATGCGTTCTTGTTCTTTAACAGAATTGTTTTAGCTGATACGACCAAGTTTTTATCAGTTAAAACTTTTTACAAACATTTTCTAAGAGTGATTTAATCGATTGATTCGCGGTTTAATCGATTGATTCAGTTTAAAACTTTCTTATAACACTTTTCAAGTTATTTTAACTGATACAAAGAAGTTTTAATCGATTAAAAACCTGCACAAAATTTTTTCTAAGTCATTTTAATCGATTGAAATGCGTTTTAATCGATTTAAACTCTGTACAAAAATTTTCAAGTCATTTTAATCGATTGAAATTCGATTAAATCACTAAGACAGCTCCATTCTTCTGAGTGACTTGTTTGACTGTTGCAGAGTTAACTTTTGACTTTATCTTTGACTTCATCAAATCACTGAGATCTTTGCTAGTCGCTCGAGCGAGATCAGTTTCGCTCAAGCGAAAAACAACCCGAGGATGAAAATTATGTGCAGGTGTCTTCGCTCGAGCGAGTTTAGTGTCGCTCAAGCGAAATATAACTTGTAATAGTGGTTTTAGGTGAACCGCTATCTAAAGTGTCGAGGTTTTGGAAATGTGATCGATCATTTTGGCAAAATAATCGATCATTTGAAAACTTTAGGTAGCGGTTAACATATAACCGCTATCACAGGTTACTTTTAAGAGCGGTTGTCTTTGTAACCGCTCTTAAAAGTGTATATATAATAGCGGTCCAATTTAACCGCTATCTTATATATATTTGTAATAGCGGTTATTACTGGAACCGTTATCTAAAATCTTGATCATTTGACAAATTATATATTCTAAACACGACAGAAGGAGGTAAGTCATGAACAGTGGTCACGGGCTGTACAGGCAGTGGTCACGGGCTGTACAGGCGATGGTCACGGGCTGTACATGCAGTGGTCACGGCTGCATGCAGCCAACTTCACGTGGTCACAGCTGATAGAAGTTACAGAACTTATTCTTTCTTCCGTAGTTACAGCTAGATAGGGAAAGTTATTGTATTATATAAAGCAAAGCTAGTCTCATAAGACTAGCTAAAAGACTCTAGCAAAGCAAAGCAAAGCTACTCTGTTGTAGGTTGGATCTTCGCCGGCGGCCACCTTGGTTGGTACGTTTGTTTTTGGTATATTGTCGGAGGAACACCGCAGGTATGGTTCCGTGTCTTCTCGTCATGGTTGGAACATAAAACTTGGTTGGTACGTTTGTTTTTGGAGTCCGTGTGCATGCATAAGAGTCTCGTGTGACCATTCGGATTTGAGGTATAAAACATGGCTAAACCTCCTCCACTCCAACAAAAAATGTGCACCATACGACCATGGTTTCGACACTGTGCATTGGTTATGTTGTTGTTGCAGTCTGTATCTTAGAGGAAAAAATTACATTATTTTTACTTACAAAAAATGAGATTATTTTTGCAAGATTCGAAAGACTATCGACCATTTGTTAACACTCGCTCATTGTTGGACCTGAAAGTTTTGCCAAGGAATCGAGTCGCGGGATTGAAGACAAGGTACCAAGCTTGTTGTCCCATTCTATATGTAAGATCTGTATTGACATGTATAACCTGCTTAAGAATATTGCCGTACTTTTGATCTGGATAATGCAAAATTCTGAAATCTAAGCATTTTTAGGTATAAGTATTATGACAATACTTACATATGATAAATTTATGACGCTTCCAATTTCTTTTTAATCTGGTACAATAGGTATAAGCATTTTATAAGAAGTTGTTGTAAATAATTATTAGTAAAAATATTAGAGGAAAAAAATTAATAGTAGTTTTGTAAATAATTTTTGGTTTTGTGATACTTGGTTTGCAGATGGCAATTTTGAATTACTTCCATTAAACATTAATTAATTAATTAATTAATTATATATATATATATTTTGCAGATATGGCGACAAAAACATCGAGGTCATTGGTTTAGACAATGACGATATAAATACTGGTCTGGATATAAACATGATTTCACATATACAAAGTGAGATAAAAAAGCGAAGCGAAATAGGAGCGATGACAATTCTTTGTTTGATAGCTTATGGATTAAATATGTTGTCTATGGTAACTTGTAGTAGCAGTAACATTAGGGACTTTATTTCTGAAAAAGAACGTCGTCGGCACGAGTTGATGTCATACCTTATTCATACTGAACAATCTCGTCACATTATTCGCATGGGACCGGAGGCGTTCATTAACTTGTGTCAACGAGTAAGGACAACTGGATTAGTAAACGATGGGTTACAATCAACAGTGGAAGAACAAGTGGCTAAATTTCTCCATATTATCGGACATAACGTTAAAAATCGAACTGTTTCATTTTTTTTCCATCGATCAGGTGAAACCGTTAGTCGACACTTTCATAACGTGTTGAATGCGATAATAATGTTGGACGAACAATTAATTGTTCAACCATCGAGGAAGGGATGTGTGTCCGTATATATTAAGCAACAACCGATTTTACCCATACTTTAAGGTAATGTACTTACCAACTTTGTGTCTATATAACATACACATAGATTGTCTAAACTGTAATGACAATAAATTTTTTACCCATTAGGATTGTTTAGGGGCAATAGATGGAACTCATGTTCGAGTTAAAGTCGCAAGATCAGATGCCCCTCGTTTTCGTGGAAGAAAAGATTGGCCAACACAAAACGTATTTGCAGCTTGTGATTTCGACATGAAATTCACATATGTTCTAGCAGGGTGGGAAGGAACAGCATCTGATTCAAGAATATTAAAGGATGTTCTTACGAGAGAGGATCGCCTTATCATACCACAAGGTTTATTATTTATAACATGCGGATTTTGTGTATAGTCAACTAGTTTAAATATTCTAATTAGTATAACTTCAATGATTTTAAATAGGTAAATACTACTTGGGAGATGCTGGATTTATGTTAAAAGCAAACATAATGACCCCTTATCGAGGCGTTAGATACCACCTTAAAGAGTATTCTCGACGAGCTCCACAAAACCCCCGAGAATTGTTTAACCATCGACATTCGTCTCTTAGAAATGTCATTGAAAGAACATTTGGAGTTTTGAAGAAAAGATTTCCTATAATAGCTAGTGGAACAGAGCCTCATTATTCTTTTGATACAATGACGAATATAGTCCTAGCATGTTGCATTCTACACAATTTTCTTCGAGGGATAGACAACGATGAATCACTGTTAGCTGAAGTGGATCGAGAGTTGATGGAACAAGATGTGGATAATATGTCGACTCAAGTTCGGGAAGAGGATTATAGGGAAGGGTCAAACTTAAGAGATACTATAGCAAATCAAATGTGGATAGATTATCAAAGTCATTAGATTTTGTATATAATAATATATTTAATAAGATGTACTATTGTTATTGTTGAAATACGATTACATTACGATTATCTATTTATAATAATTATATGTTGGTATCGTAATTACATATATTATCTTTCCAATAGGTTTAAAATGAACAGAGGAAAGGATATTGCACCGGATTCGTCACCTGTAGTGCGTGAGTTTACAAAATGGACTCGATGACATGGACTTTCGGTTGTTGATCGCTATGCTTGATGAGGCAAGGTTGGGTAATCGGGTTGATGGTAGTTGGACAACCCAAGCATATAAGAATATAGTTGAATCCCTAAGACAGACCTGGATTAATTGGTATAACTAAAAATAATGTTAAAAATCGACAAAAAAGTCTTAAGGATAGATGGCGGGAGGTCCACGATTTGTTTCATGGACTTAGTGGATTCGCTTGGGATGATATGACAAAACGGTTTGTGGCTGAGCAAGAAGTATGGGATGACCTAATTAAGGTACTATTATATGAATTATCATTTGTTGATATAGCAAAACATAACAATTACGAGTGTTAACCATTCTCATTATTTTGTAGGCGAAGCCTTCTGCAGCTAAATGGAAACTGGCAACTATAAGACATTATGATTTGATGGAAGAATTGTGGGGTGCTAATCGAGCCAGTGGACATATGGCAAGAACTTCGCGTCAGGCCCGAATGAATATCAGTTCTCGAAGGGCAACAGTCGACTTGAACGTTGATGTGGACCCCACACCAGAGGAGCAGCCATTTCACTTTGGCTTTGATGCAGGATTTGATACAGCTTATCGATCACCTCCACGCATGGGTTCCGACAGTCCTGCTGAGGGTGCTCACTCAATTCCATCTGCTGCGTCTCATCGGTTCGGTGGAACCTCTTCATCTCTGGGCACAAAAAGAAAAGCGCCTATGGTTGATGTGATGGAAGGTCAATTTGAAAAACTAACATCGAGGCTGGACACATTTACAGATTACCTCGGGCAAGGTAATACAATCACCCAACGATTATCCGACATAGCCGAAAGACAGGTGGTCGCCATTGAACGCAGTAAATGAATTAATTAATGAGCAAGTTAATGTGATGAGACGATCATCAACATTTCAACATTCTGAGTCGATATATGGGACATGTTAGTCGGCATGAACCTAAATGACGAGCAACTTATGCTTCAAGTGTTATAATCATTTGTGTACTCACCCATCACATGTTAGACGACTTTTTGGCTTGCCCTCACATCTTCGTCTCTCCCAGCTTGTTCATGTTCTTGAATGGAGGTGATTGAATGATCCGAACCTGGAGGACTTGACTACAAAAGATGGATAACATTATAATTATTTGTTTGAAGCACATTAGTGTGCATAGCTTTATAATTTTAGTAATCTTTCCTTTAATTATTATTCTATTTTCACTTGTATTTTATATTTGTTTTAAATAATAATGTACAATTATATTATTAGTTTTCATAATTATTTGTTATTATCAATCAATATTAATTATTATTTTATATTTTATAATTATTTAATTATTAGTCAAATAATTTATTTAATATGTCAACATTATTTGAATATGGATATGCAATGTACATAATTTTGTAATTGTTTATTTATATAATTTTTAATAACTATCTAAAAAAAGTTAATTTTTTAAATTTGTTTCCAATTACAAACACTTTTAAATTTGTTTTTTCTTTTAAATATATAATCAATGTTAAAATATGGATAATTAATTAAAAAATTATATTTATAATCATTTGAACCTTATTTGATACAAAGGGTAAAATGGTAATTTTCTTAAATAATAAACATAAAATTATAATTTTTATATCTCATATCAATCAAATCATTCACAATTTCCCATAAACTTTCCTTTCACTTTTCAATCATCTCCATTTCTCTTCAAATCCCTCCTTTTCCACTCTCTCAATTCCACTCTCTCAAATCACTCCAACCAAACAAAGCTTAAAAAAATAATTTGCTGATAAAAATAGTTGAAAGATTCATACAATAACACGTCACTCATGATAATCATAACGTTCACCTGAACTTATTTACAAAAAAAACACTTAAAATATCATATTTTAAAATGTTTAAAATTACCATTTTTGTTGTCTGCAATATATTTCATGCAGTTTGGTTTAGTTCAACTTTAAATTAGGCACGATCCATGGTACTGTTTCTTCAGCCAAGAACTCTGTTTGTTCTTACTATGTTTGCATCACTACAAATGAAATCATAAGCAACTTGAAATTTGGAATCAAACAGAATGCCTTATATGTTTTCTGCATTTCTACATGTAGCAGATTGAATGAGTTTTTAGTTATTATATATATATATATATATATATATATATATATATATATATATATATATATATATATATATATATATATATATATATATATATATATATATATATATAAATAAGTAGATAGGTAGATATATTAGTTTCAGCAAATTTTCAACCATGTATTGGTTTTTTCAAGATAAGTTGGTTGGATCAACCCATCCTTTTCCAAATAGAGTCGTTGTGTTCTTATAAGCTAGGACAACATGCAATTATGAAGCATTTGACATTGATAAAGGCCACAATGCACTGCAATGACAGCTTCTGAAATCTCATGACTGATATCCAATCAACTGAAGGCCTACAAATCATTTATGGTCACTGTTTAGCAGAAATGGTTCTTGGCACCGACTGTTTAAACTGGAGGCTATAGTTATGAGTTGGTTGGGAAATCAGCGATTATATATGTTATCCCTGTCTTTTCTCATGCCAAATAAATTTCTTCCAAATGAGCACAGAGAAGAAAATTATTAGAATCAACTAGATTAAAGATAAAGACTAGCACTGAAAGATAATAATTAACAGATTAAAGTTTACCCTTCATTTTCTGGTTGGAACCGTGATATGTTGTAAGCAGTTGATTGGTTTTTCACTTCAAGCACATGCCATGATAATTCTTTGTCCTCGGTGGTAAAGTGTAGTTGATGATGAAAGAATAAAATATCCTTCACGGTGATCTAATTTCTTTGATGAGAGATTTACTTGTTGCCGATTTGGACTCGTGGAAGTCTCTTGTCTTGTCACATGACAACTGTGTCACTGTTTTTATGCAGGAAGACATGATTTATGTTGGAATATCTAATCATGTTTCTTTTTCCTTTCTAGTTCACTGCTTCTGGACAGCTCCTTATTTTTAAAACTGTATCCACTAACATTTTCTCGTTATTAACAGATTTTTATTAAAGGTTTTAATAGTGTATCAGATTTTAATTTAGAACCGATTCACGTTAAACAAAATAACCACACATATATAAGTCAAAATCTAAGAATGAAAATAGACCATATTATTCACGTGTGTCTATACTAAAAAACAGTTATCAAGATAAGTTATACTTCTCATTTAACATAATTCTCTTAAATGGGCCTTTTTTAAACCAAAGATCACGTATTATAGCATCAATCATCTTCATTTTTGTGCATCTTATGAAATTAGTCTAATATCAGTTGATTATTGACTTAATATAATCTTCTTTCTGTAAGTCTTCTCTGTCTATAGTAATTTGGTGCATCAGAAACAAAAGGAAACAGTGTGCAAATGTAAATCCAGATGTCTGTTTTATCCGGGGTAAAATAACTGAAGAATTTTAAATATGTACACAATGTTTTGTTTGAGTTTTTATGAAAAAACAGCATAAAAAAGGGGGACTTTGTCGCGATTGAAGAATTGCCAGTAGAATTCACACTTGAAAGATATGATTAGCTTTGGTGACAAATTACAATTTAGCTAGGATATTGTAGAAATTGCTCCAAGATATGAGGAGGTAAGAAGAATGACTTTCGAAGAAATTGAGAATTCTCATGTTTCAGGAATCAGGATATTGAGTTTCTCCACCTTCTAGCAGTTTTTCTGTTATTTTCTATTGAATCTGGAATTTTGGGAGAATCATCCTGATTTTCTACTAAATTGGTCGTCCTTCCAAGTTTGCTGAGTTTCTTCCATCCACTGCTCCATGCAGAAGTATGCTTGTGCTTGAGCATCTTATCAAATTGTTTCTGCAAACTAGCCATATCATTTTGAAGCTCCGTGTACTTGGCTTTCACACTCTCAAGCTCAAACTTAAGTGTGTTGATGTCTTTTTTAGCAGCTGTCCATCCTTCTTGGAATGATTGTGGTGTCCCTTCAAGAAGTGTTTTCCGGTTTGTTACCATTGCATGACTCTCAGATTCAACCTCTTTCACAGAACTGGTGGCTAGTGCATTGCTTATTTTTACCTGTTCCGCGAAAAGAACTTGCACTACAACCCTTAATGGAAGCCTTTCATTTTGGGCAGCATGCAGGCATGCATCAATGGAGAGTTTCTGACAGTCCATTACACGGCAGAGTCGCTTCCTCTCATGCTCAGAAAGTGTTGGGTGTGCCTGTTAATTTGTTTCAAATGTAAGAAATTTAGCACTAGAAATCCATTGGAAAAGTTCTAGACATACCTACTCACCTTCCTGCAATTAGTGGTTAGTCAAGCAAGCACTCATCAACAAAGTTTCTCAGAAGTTCTTATTTATTTATTTTTATCATCTTTGCCAAACCATTAGGTGTAAAACCTACCTTGTGTGCTTGTGCGTGTACAAAATGAAGAATCTCATTTGACCATGGATTTTGTTTATTTTAATATAGTGATAAATCTGTGATATCTTAAACGTCACCACATACCAGTAATGAGGATCAGGAATAGTGTTTTATAAAGCAAATGTATTGCCACTGAAAGAAAGATCCACCAATAAACTTTTATTAAAACCTTTTTTATGAAAGGAAACTCAAAATCATTAAAAAATATATTAAAACCTTTTTTATTATTGTCCTAAGAAATTACCTTGAGGTAGGAATCAATTGCTCTGTAAAGTCCATCATCGCAGGTCCTAGCTGACTCAGGCAAAGCCTCTGCAAGTACCTGAAATTTGGTCAGGGAAAGGTTCCTATCTCTGGACACCTCTGTAAGATAACTGTCAACTAGCCTTGCCACTCTTGCCTTCGCATTTAGGATACATCCCATTCCCATATGTTGTTTATCAGAAAAGGACTGTCTGCTAGGACTCGAACTTTCAGTCTGCTCCTGAACAATAAAATGTTCTAATAGCCTCTGAACCAGATCCACATCATACATAGTTTCCCCTTTACTATAACAAGGAATTAGAAGATCAGCCAGTGTTGCCTGCTCAAACTGCATTCCCACCCTTTTCTCTAATTCAGTGACCAGTGCAGGTGCAACCTTCAACATGATTGCCATTCTCAGGAGCCTAAGAAGGAAGCTGCATGAGACACTGTCCTTCTGAGGTGGAATAATGCTGACAAGGCTTTCAACGATCATCCTTTGCTCTTTAGCTTGAACACATGAATTGTCATCCTTTGTTCCAGTCACAACCATATGAAGTCCACCTTTCCAGCTACTACCACCACTACTACTACTGTTACTCACACTGCAGTTGCTTGCTTCATCACCTGGGATTGCAGTGTCACTAATCAATCCTGGTAGCCACTTAGTTGCATAATGCATTATTGCAGCACCAACCAACTCAAATCTCATGCCCTTTACCTTAATGGCAGTGATCACTCTAACAAAGTGATCAATCCTAAGGATTGAGGCATCTTCAAACCACCAATCAGGAGGAACCTGCTGGTTCGTACTTGGACTTGAGTCCTTCGTATCATTCCATGATGGACTAGAAATTTTCGCGGGTCTTCCAGTGTAGGACCACCTTATCCCTTTGGGATTTGCACAAGCTTTCCAAGCAATGGACTCGCTGCATCTGCGAACAATTTGAAGGTTTTCTGCCCATGGAGACAGCTGTTCGCAGCTTTTCAACACTACTATGGAGTCTCTCCATGAAGACAAAACAACGTAGCTAAGGAATGCTTCTGCCTTGAATATAAGATTCCCTTCCTCTAGGTCCTCAGTCATTTCTAGATACTCTGCAGCACATCTTAGCCCTGAGATGTTGCCTGCTGTTAAATCAATAGCAACTCCATAGCAGAACTTGGCCGCAAGCTCAAAAGCCTCTGCCCCACCAGGGACATCATCCATAACTATCTTATTCAAATCTGGGTCATGCCTTTCATATATGACTCTGCTCAGCTTTCCACTTCGAGATACCAAGGGATACTTTCACAGCAAAGGGAGAGAAAAACACAAAATTCAACCGTACAAATTAATGGCTTCCGATCACTTGATATAAGACAAAGGAAATAATGAAATTCGAACTTTCGGAAAGATAAACAAGATAGCTTACCTTGTGCAAGTGGAAGCTAGCTTCTCCAATTTGAACTAGAACGTCACTTGGAATATCCGTAGCAACATACCTGCATGGAGAAAGATAAGATTTTTAGACTGCTTACGTGCTCTATAAATCAAGCTTGGTCAAGACATAGAATGGATAAATCAATTGTACAAACAATATTAGCAGAACTTCCAATCTTATTTTCTGTCTTTGTCTCCTACAATTTCGATTCACAAGAATTAGCGTAGAAAAACTGTGGTTGTAACTAGTAACATCTTCAAAAGATATTATACTAATTGTGCATCTAACATACCAAGAGTGGCCTCTTTGCACAAATCCTTCTGTCTGGACACCATGGTTACTTGAAGTGAGAAGTCGACCCCCATATTTGTGTCCTGCCGCTGACTCACTCTCAGATTCCCACATGCTGAAAATCAGATTCACAGAATGTACTGCTCTAGATTTTTCTTGGGACAGTACCTTCAACTTCAACTGAGAGTCACAACCATAAAAGAGAGGGGGCAGAGAAAAAGAGCAGAGTGATTAGGCAAGCACAGAATTCAGTGAAAGGTGGAGGGAGCCACATGGGATGGTTGGAAAGTTGGAATTATTAGTATGTTAAAGTTGTCGGTTTCTTCTCAAAAAATTGAAATACCTCTTACAGGCTGTGAAGAAATGGGCATAACCAGTTTTATTGTGAATGATCATCTAAGTTTGTGTTTCTTCTAGCTTTGAATTTCTGTACTCTAAGAGTCAATGCTTAAAGAGAGCCAGTTTAAGTTTATTTATGCCTTACTCACCAGTGTGCCCACTTAGCATTCATGTCTCTTCCTTTTCAGCTCAGTTTCTTATTACCGAATTTCATCCATCACAAAATCATACCTTTGACCATGAAAATTGCTCTTCAGTAACAGGATTTGGGCTTTACGATATAGCCAATTGATTACAATGATCCCACCATTTGACTTTTCTATGTTTAATCAGAGTCAAAGTAAAAGGAGAAAACCTTAGTTAGCATAAGCACATCTTTCTTTTCCCCTATGAATGAGGATAATTTTTGAAAGAATAAAAGTGAATGGAAAAACAAGTGGCGGTGAATGGAAGGCAAAAGGGTAGGATTTGTGGCATATGTTTTGTCCTAGTGATACCAACATGGACAATTGGGGTTTTCACAAGTCTTGATATTTGTAGTAACTGTTTGGTATATTTGGGGATTGCAGATGGATGGCTGGTTCAAGATAAGTTCTGTAAATCCGGGTGGATTTTACGAACTTTTTTGTACAAGTTGCGGCTTTTATAAAATAATAATTTTTAGGGTGGTTTGTTATGGTTTAAAGATGGAAAGGAGAGGGTAATGTGTCCAAAAATAGATGATCCCTGATGGTTTGGTTGAGTGAATCTGTCAAAAAAGAGGGACAAGAATTGAATAAAAATGAAAGATATTTAATTTAAAGGATTGATTCAAAATTATTAACTTTTGAAGTCAAGATTGAGGATTCCATATTTGTTAGTTCGTAATAATTGAGCTAATTATTAAGTAGTGGTTTGTTTTATCTAATTTTGATTTATGTTTAGGTGAAAAAGGTGTAGGACATTTGAAGATAAATGAGGGGAAAAAGGAAATGCTACCATTGTTGTTTTTGTTGGGGCAACCCATGTTGAAAGCTTCCCCACTGAATTAGATATGCTTTGCCATTATATGCAAAGGCTGAATCATGGACACTGTAGATTCTTGATAATTTTGTTTTTGGTTGGCGTTGGTGATTGGTTTATCAGAATGTCAAAAAATAGTTGAAAGAGAAAGAGAAAGTGTTTGTGGATTGCATGGTGCGTCTTGTGCCGCGTAGCTTCCAACTCTTTCACCCACATGTCTTTGCCTTTCTCTTCCTCACCCTCAACTAGTGGGAGCTGAAAAAATAAAATTTTACCTACATTTCTTACACTTAATATTACATAAAATATTATTTTAATGATTAAAAGTTTGATTTATTGTATCATAATTTGTAAATTTAGTGTGTTCGTATATGTTTCTCTCATCATGTTGGTAATATTTGAAGGCATGGACTGTTTGGGCTCACTATTATTGCTTCGTTTTGAGGCCAAGCCCAGTCTATTTTAAGTATATCCACCTCTTAATTTCTTTTGGGTCTAATTTTTCTTTTGAAAATCCAAACTTTGTTAGTTAAATTTTTATTTTTTATTCATCACTTCCTTGTTTAGGTTTACAAAACTGAGTTGAGATATTTGTCGATGCTGCAACTTTATCCAAGCCAAAAAATGGTTGAGAGGTCTTTTACATGTAGAATTAGAAATATAATTATCTAGGGTATTACAAATAGATTAAACCAGTTAAATACCCTTTATTTAATACAATTCATGCATGAAAACACAAAACTAGCCATACACATAATAAGATAATGTGTTAGATATGCTAATTAATTTGCAATCTTAGCGATCCTTAGGAGGGCGACCATTAGCAGCCACAAGCTTGCATCCCAACTGAAGCAATTCCTTGCTTGTATCATCTCTGTGAACTATCACTTCAATGAAGCATAGGCACTTCTTTTTGCTTTCCATTGTTGTCTTTATTGCTTCTGTTAGCTCCTCCTCACAGTGCACCTTCGTAGTCCAGCACTTGCCTTCACCGTTGTCTAATTTTTCCACCAGTCCAGCATAGTCCCAGTTTTTTATGTCATTGTAAGGTCCCTCATGGAATTTTACCTCTGTAGAGTATCCACCATTGTTAATAAGAAAGATGACGCCATTCTGTCCACACCGTAACATTGTTGAGACTTCCTGTGCTGTCATCTGCAAGACAGTTTGAAACCTAGTTTGATAATAGTTTATAAATTCAAAATTATTGGTACTTTGGTATCCAGTTAATTGGTTATTATAATCAGTCTCATCAAAACCAAAGAGTTATACATGTGATATAGATATTATATGAATTTCTAACCTATTCATTCTTCAATATAAGACATTAAAGAGGTAATGTATGTCATAGTGAAGATGATAAAAATGCAAGTGAGATTGGATCACCTGGAAGCTACCATCACCAACACAAGCAATCACTCTCTTGTGGGGAGCAGCCTGTGCATAACCAAGAGTTGCACCAACTGACCAACCTATTGATCCATACTGCATCTGACACTCATACCTGTAAACTTAATGTCAGTCTCTTTCATGAATTATTTTCAATATACAAAGAGCAAAGATATATGAAAATCCCATATTTTTAAACATAATTTTCTCTTCTTATTACATCATAATCATTGCAAAATTTATATTTTCTTCTCTATCTAAGTATCATTTGGGTGTTTCATATATCATTCTTCATATACAAATGGCTTACCCGCAGCCTTGTGGTAGTTTCAACTTCTGACATGTAAACCAAGTGTCTCCTGTTTCAGCAATCACAGCAGTGTCACGGGACAACATGTTCTGTATGTGTCTGAATAAAACATTGACCCTTAATTCTTCCTTTGTATTAGGCTGAATGGGAAGGTCATCTTGGACGAGTCTTCTTTGGTAGTTGTCAGAAGCAGTTGTGTTGCGTTTAAGGCGTATTGTAAGTGCTTCAAAGAAGTTCTTCATTGAAACACAACCGACGGTAGGTCCATTTGGAATCATTACCTGATTTGGCAAAACTACAATTGCCTTCTCCTTTTTAAAGGGTAGTGAGAATCCTAAAGAGATAACATCATTGAATATTGGACCAGCAAAAAGGTAGGCATCAGCTGAATCCACAATTTCTTCACAAAAGGGAGTGCTAGCTGGTCCCCAGTAAGTGCCAATGAAGTTGGGGTGATGTTCTGCCACCATCCCTTTTGCTGAAGCCAACACTGCAAAGAGATAACCCGAAGCATCAACCACTCTCATGAAAGCATTACTAGCCTTTGCCATCCGCAACCTTGGCCCTCCTACCATCACTGGTTTCACTGCCTTATTCAAGAACTCTGACGTTACTTCCACGGCAATTTCCAAACACCTTTCATCAGTCAACCTGTCCATGAAATCACGAATCAGTGTTAGGTTTTGACTATAAGAATAAGAACCAACAAGAAACACATGGCATGAATCTGTTGATAGTGTTATAAGAAAATCATATATTATATTTAGTATTACTTGGGAGTCAAATAAAATGGGACAGGATGATCAATGAAGGAATGGTGAGGGATGCCAGGCAAGTTACAGGCTATGCTTATGTAGACAGGCTTGCTTTCTCTCAAAGCAGTTGCAATGGCAGTGTCAATGAGTTCATGTGCATCTTCTAAGTTGTTTACTACAGCCTGAAATCACAATAACACATAACATAATCCATATTACAATTCTATATAGCACTTCACTTCTGCATGGACATGCATGCTTTTATTTAAACAAGCCAATGTCTTATGAGTATTTTGTGAGTATTTTTAATTATAATAATTATTTAAATAAATAAGTACAAAATGTTTAAATATACTATATTTAAGTACAAAATAATAATTTTTAAAATAAATTTAAATATAATAAGTGACTGAAATTTTGACGAAAAAAAATATTATATGTTTTAAAAGTATTTAAAGTTAAAATTCGAAGAAAAAAAATAATTTTGAACATTAAAAATTTTCCAGAGTGATAATTCAAATTCTTAATACAAGAGTAGCAATTATAATTTTAAATATTTTAGATAAATTTTATTTAAAGATGAACAATTTTATTTTAAAACTTAAAAATATAATGTAAATAAGATTGAAATTAAATAAATATTATAATACTAAAAACCCACATACAGTAAAAATAGTATTATAACTTTTGAAATAAATATTCAGAATCATTGGGATTTCATCATTCCAAAATTATAAAAATAAATAAACCTAGCTTTAAAAAAATATAGATATTTATAATAAACGTAAAATAGATAATCAAAGGATTATAATTTTAACTGTTACTGCTAAGGGTTTTTTTAGAGAAATATAATTTAGTAAAATAAATTTATTTATTAAATCATTATATATATATATATATATATATATATATATATATATATATATATATAAATCATCGAATAAATTATAAACCAATATTTAGTTATTTTTACTATTTTCCGAAAATATTAAATTAGAAATATGTGTAAAACTTATGAATTAAGCTATAAAGGAAAATAATAGAGAAATACATTCTTTTTTTTTTTTTACACAAAATCTATTTTTGTTTTCTAGATAAAACATATTTTTAATACGAATCTTTATTTTTATTTAAAGAATATAGCGTGGATAGATAACAATTCAATAACCACATGGCAGTATATATAGAAAATTTTAAATATATGTTGGATATTTTGTTGGGAGATTAACGATTCAAAAATTCTCAAGACATAAGTTAAACATATAAAAAAATAATGATATAATTTAAAAAAAAAATTAAGACATTAAGTAATTATATTTTTCATTTTCAAGTTAATTAACTTTTCTATAATTTTAAGTCACACTTAAATAACTTACTTTTTGTTTTTTCGAGCCACTGTATTTAGAAATCTATTTTGAGACTCTTATTTAAGCTTTAACAATTTTTTCTTTAAATTTGATTTTTTTTCACATTAATATATATTTCTTGAGTTATAATCATGAGTAACTAGTAGCTAATAGAAATCTTATATATTTTACCTACTCTAGTTGTAATTAACTAAATTGATCATCACTCGAATTATCGAATACTGATGTTGATCAGTATTTTTTAGTGAGATTAATATTAAAAAAATTATCAACAATAAAATATAATTAGTCAATTATATAAAAGAATATAATATCACATTTGACTGATATTAGACTACGAGTTTTTCTCATTATTAGCTTATATTTCATTGCTGAAAATCTTCCTAGGATTAATTCCTGAAGAATATTTAACAAATAATAAAATTAAAATAACTTTTTAAATAAATACTATTCTCTTTACTTTCATCCGGAATGATAAAAATAAATAAACATAATTATAAAAAAAATAAAACTTGTCAAAATATTAAGGATAAAAATAAAATAAAACAACATCATCGGAATGCACGTGTAAATGTTATTGCTAGATGTGTCTAATTAAGAAAATTATAAATTAATAAAATAATTTTATTTATTAAATTATTCTATTTTCGTGAAACAAATATATACACTATCAAATAATTTATGAATTAGTATCTTTTAATTTTCTTTCGCAAATATCGTTTATTAATATATTAATTCTTTTAATGGTAAGGGACTCTAGGAATCAATTTTATATTTTCTTTAAATTTTTCTATTTTTAGTAATGGATCTTATGATTGGTAAGTGACTCTAGGAATCAATTTTATATTTTTAAATTTTTCTATTTTTAGTAGTGGATCTTATATTATATCTTCGTATAAGAGAAACATATGAATTACATAATTTTTAAAAATATAAAATCAATTGAAATTATAATATAAAATAATTAGAAATTAAGAATACACATGTAAGAAAACTATGGAAAGAAAATAAATAAAAAATATGATTGAGACTCACTTTTTTAAAAAAACATCGATCCCGTAATGTACTTAATAATATAATATTAAATAAAAGTTTAAAATTTATATGTTTACTATTATTATAATAATAAATTGTTGAATAATTGTAGGGAGGAAAATAGTAGTCATCTACCAATTATTGCCAAAAAGAAAAGAGAAGTGAGACATTGAAATAATTATTTATTTCAAACATTCAAATAATAACTATTTTAATAATAAAATAATTATAATAATAAAAATGAAAATGAAAATATAAATTTTTATTATTATAAAATTAATAAAAGTAGTTATTGTTAGGCTTTTGTACTGTAGAAGTTTTCAATCTAACGTCTATGAAAATGAAAATGAGTGATGGTGGAGAGAGTGTACTTGATGACAAGTGACATGCTGAAAGCAGCGTAACTCTTGACTAAAATCTGGCAACCCAATGGAGTGGTGAAGAATCTTGTTGCTGCCATAGTCGTTGGAGTTGGGAGCTCCAACGATGCAGATGATGGGAAGATCCTCGCTGTAAGCACCGGCAATGGCGTTCAGAATGCTGAGGCCACCGACGTTGAAGGTGACAACACAAGCACTCACACCTTTATATCTGGCGTACCCATCAGCACAATACCCTGCATTGAGCTCGTTGCAGCACCCTATGAGGTTAAGCTCAGGTTCAGCTACCAAATAATCGAGAAGGGCGAGGTTGAAGTCTCCAGGGACGGTGAAAACATCCTTCACCCCGATTTCAACCAGTCGCCGTGCGATGTGGTGGCCAAGGGTGGTTCTTTTTGCCTCCAACAACGCAGGTTTGTCATTACAGTTTTCGGCTCCGTTGGTTGGGAAACCAACACCAACCTTATTGCATGTGTTGTTCGTGGTTGTCATGTTGCCACTGGGTTCCATGGAAGAAAAAGAAGACAGAGAATTGAGAGTGTGGGTTTTTGGAGGAAGGTGTCTGAGTTTCCAATTATTGAGATGGTAGAGTTGTTGAAGCACTTTTAATATCTATACAGTGATCATATGCTACCTTGGCAGTCTGGTCTCAAACATCATCATGCAAGAAAACGTGAACGATTGATTCGGTTTATACTTTTAAAATAAATTATGTTTTTAAGTTTTGTACGGTGGTTTGTTGAATTCAACCAATGGATGGTGTAAGCTATTTAGCTTAAAGTTAAGTCAGAGGAAAAGGTGGAAAAAAATAAGTTAAATACATTTTTTTATTATTACATTTTTTATTATTTTTTTAAAACAAAAATATATATTATTAAAGTTTTTTATGTTTAAAATTTTTATTTTTGGTCAAATATTTTTTTAAAAATATATTGTCGGAAATTTTCTAAACCAAACTATAAATCTCAAAACTATTATAAAAAATTAAACAAACATTTTTTTTTATAAATTCTTTTATGAGATTCATGAAAAGGAAGGAAGAAAAATGAGTGACCCGTGATTTCTTACGAATGAAACATTTAATATTGAAATTTCTATTTAAAATATGTTATTAATTTTCAACATGAACATTTTAATTTTTAGATAATATTTAAAAATCACAAAACATTGTGAAGTTATTATTAGATTGAGGATGGTATTTTGTAAAACAAAACATATCTTATTTTGATTATATGTTTTCATGTCCCTTCTCTCATACTTATTTTTAATTCCCTATTATCTTGATGCTAAGTTGTCTAATTCAATGTAATACCTTCTGTTGCTCACTAAGTTTCTTAAGAAATAAAAGTTTTTGGATAAAAATGGTAGATAATTGAATATATATAAGAAACTTTAATTGAATAATTATTTAAAAAAAAATTGAGAAAATCTTATACATTCAATTATCTAAGAGGGTAAGATTAAGATAGGTTATAGGGAAAATGTGTATTAGAAATGTTGTTAGTGGAAAAGTATATTGAAAATTGATTTGAATAATAGAAGTTTTGTATGATGAGATATTTCTTTAAAAGGATTGGAGAAGAGAACGTGAATTGGGAGAAGCCGTGGTTTCTGACTTCCACCAAGACGTGCAACATGAAATTAGGTTTAAGATTATAATTTACATGCTGGAAATGTCGTTTTATATACGTCAACACTACTCTAAACGTTATTCATACTATTTATGTATATATATCCACTTATTCCTAAATTTTATTATTCATTCATATATATAATTATCAATTTATGATCGAATAAACATTTATTCTATAAGCAAAAAAAAACCTTCATCCTAAAATCAATGATCATTAATGTATCCCAAAAATAATGAAAATAAAACTTATTGATTTTAGCTCATCACAAACTACATAGTACAGGTAAAAATTAAAACTTAAAAAATAAAAAAATTTATCTTAAAATAATCATAGGAATAACATACATGCTTGAAAATAATAAAATAAAAAACTATATATTAAATTCAACGGGGATCATGACCAGTGCAGGTCCCCTGACTCTGCCCTGTCTATTCCTACCGATAAAAAATATATATTCAACATTCAACATAAATTAATAAATAACTTATTATATATATGTTTTTTCTTTAATTTGAGACTCTCAAATTTATAACATTATCCATTTGTTCTTAGTTTTATTTTAGTTGTAAGTATATTTTATTTTACATTTTGAAAGTTGACAAAGATATTGTTGAATTTAATATGATTTTATTTATCACCAAACATAGGTAATATGATGTTAAGAGTAGATTTTAGAGATATCATTTAGTTTATAAGGGAAATAATAAGCCACAAAAGATAATGATCCAAAGTACTACAGGGATCAGATAGTACTTTTTGTAAGAAATAAATCACACTTAAATTTTTAGAAATTTATTTAGTTCAAAATACAAGTTTTAGACTATTAAAAGAGTCTTTTATGCTAACTTGTAATAAGTATTTTTTTTTAAATATAATAGTTTGTTTTAATGAAAAAAATTAAAAAGTAATTTATTTTGAAAAAGAATTTAAATATTTTATAATAAAATATGTTGTTTAGATAAAAAAAAATTGTAAGAGATTGAAATTTAAAAAAATTATCAGAATAATTTAATTATTTAAAATTATAAATTCTAAAAAAAAAAAACTGAAACTTGTCGTACTCTCTTATCTCTATAATTTTCAAATAATGATAGAACTTTATGCATTATTTCCCATTCATTTATACTAATTTTTTAATAATTTAGGATTAATTTTGTTCTTTTAATGCAGAATTATCACTTTTATTATTTTAACTACAAATTGACAATTTGTACGCACAAAAAGCAGAAAACTTGGTTTTGTAGAAAAAAAAAATAGTTCAGGGGAAAAGGTGTCAGTAAAAGTTGGAAAGCAATTTAACAACTGGTTCAAGAATAATGAAAATGCAAAACACATCCGAATTCATAGGAATAAATATGATAATGATAGAAGCATCATAAAAAAAAGGGAATAATTGAAGATTCTCAAAACATCAAAGATGCTGTTAGCCCAGATTAGAAGCAATGCAATGGAATCTTGTACATCCACAGAAGCATTGCAAGACTTCCATTTCATTGACCCAGCAGGTTTATTCATTCAGGATGAATTATCAAATTGAGAAGGAAACATTTTCCCTTGTGAAGGTTGCAAAATTGATCTCAAATCTATCTGTATTCTACATTACATTCAAGTTCAAAGAACTCCTAACTTGATCATTTCCCGGACTCAGATTATTCTCAATGAGAATCATATTCAAGTTGTTGGCTATTTCGGCTAAACCAGTGTCCCTAAATGCAGCCATAATCTTTCTACAGGGAAGGATATCAAAATCTGTGGTCGTTGATTGCTTCCATTGATCAATAACTTCACCCACTTCTTTCAAATGACCAAGTATCAGATAGGATGAAATGATGCAGATGTAGTTCCTGCTGATCATTTTCTGTTTGGTCATTCTCAAGGAATTCCATATCTGATCAAGTTTATCCTTACTTCCCAACCCCCCATAAAGAATGATTAAGAAGTCATAAGTTATCCATTGCCCTTGGGTGATCCTTTTCTCAGTCTCAACAAGTGTGTTGGAACTTGCATTATCAAGATGACCTACACTGATATATATATTGGCCAGGTTCAAATATCTTATCCAACTTTCATTACAACCAGTGCCCTGACTCATTTCATCAAGAATCCTCCTAACTTCATCAATATTTAGAATAGCGGCACAGGAACTTACCCATAGATTGTAGGTAAAGATATCAGGGGAAACCTTTTGTTGTTTCAGTTCTTCAACAACCAACGGGACCTTTTCAAACTGCCCCACTGACATGTAAAGAGTCATCATTTCATTGTAAGTAAGGGCATCAAAGTAGAGGTTTGAATCCTTTATTCTTTGATAAAGTTCCTCAGCCTTGTCAGTCAATTTTGCTCCTGCATAAGAATGGAGGAGGGCTGTGAAAGTTTCAGTGGTCTTTGTTGCAGGAGGTAGACCCTCAAAATAGCGCTCTGCAGCGTCAATGCCAAAAACTTTGGTCATCAAATCTATGCGCACTGCATAATCAGAGTCTGATAACTCGTATTCCTCATGGCCAACCATCCATTCTGATATCTGCAATCATCAATAGTCACAAATTGCAAACCTATAGATCCAATCCAACAGAAAAAGAATGTGGTATTCATAAATCATAATAATAAAGTTTACAAATTGGATGCAATCTAATCACTAGAAAAGGAAAAGTAAATAAAACTGTGAATGACCGAGAAGTCATTGGAATTTGAAAGTATTAGGATTTGATAATATATGATAATATGAAACTACATAGAATCATAAAAGTCAGGAATAAGTAATATCCAAATAATATTAATTCAGATATATTCACTTCAGGATACTTCTCGTGTTGCAGTGACCTCATTTGCCAAAGGCCTCAGTACTGAACAACATTGTCATTCTAACAATTACAGGCACTAACGAAATAAGTAAACCAAACTTACCTAGTGATCTTTCTTTCTTCTTCTGAACCTTACAAAAACTACAAACAATAGAGCGAAGCAAATTACCCTCACATTGCTTGTGGTTTCTTCAAAATTCACACAATTCCACTGTCTTTTTTTTACTTTATAGTAACTCCCTTCACAAGAATACACAGTGTGATGCGTTTCTGGGGTAATATGGGTATCAATGCAATGAATTTGAACCAATTAAGAGGGATTATTGTTCTAAAAAAGATAAGAGGGCAGTGTGAATTTCATAAAACTCACAGGAACGTTGGTATGATCTGTTCTTAATAATAACTACTCGTGACTTTATCCTAACCCTTTGTGAAAACTATCCCTATCTCATCAACGCAGAACTATATAAAATGTTTCAAACTCGAATCCTGTGTATTGCTCTAATTTAGCTATCATAATGAGAAGAGGATATGAATAAGAATATAAAGGGTGAAACCTCCAAAGCGTGTTTGTGACGTTGAGATCTTCGAAGCTCTTTGGAAATATCCCGAAGCTGAGAGAGCGTAACAGGATTCCCTTGTAGGACCCATTTCTGAAGAACGTTGGTGGCGCTTCGTTTGGGGAGCCTTAGCCTCAAGATTCTGCTCCTTAGGTCATCACTTTCCACACTCTCTTCCACTAAATCACTGCTCACAGCGCCCGAAGACGCAAATCTTGTTCTGCTCAGGACACAAGCTAAACCGCTACTTCTGCATGATAAGAAGATGCAATTTTGAGATCAATTGCCCATACCCAAAAGCCCAAACATGTTTGATTGCCGAGAAAGTATGGAACTTGGTTATGATCTGAGTCTGGGGGGTAGAAAATTAATTAAGATGCAGAATCGTAAAAAGAAATTAATGCAATTTCGTGTTTTTTTTTTTTGTGGGGAACCAAACATAGAAAGTGAAAAACGGGGCTTACCGTCTAAGAGAGAGGAAGAGTGAGCGATGCACCATTGGCGGCGTTTCTCACTTGCTCACTTCTTCACCTTCTTCTTCTTCTTCTAAGAACTGTCACATTTCATTTCATAAAATACAGAATTAACCACTACATAAACTATTTTCTAATAGTGGATTAATAAAAAGATTTAATAAAATAAAATATGTTTAGTTTTCCTTAATAATTAATTAAAATTTATTTAAGTTAGGAAAGAATATTAAATGAGAAGATGATTTTACATATGTAAAAAGAAAAGGAACAAATTTAGCAAAAAAATTCTATAAATATATTAAATAGTGTGTCATTTGTATTATTTTAATAATATCATTATTACGTATTTTTGCCATACTCTTATGTTTTTCATTGTTTATTATGAAGTGACAGAAAAAAAAATTACAAAATGATAGAAAATTTAATCAATAGAAAAGATAAGAAATATATTTAAAAAATTAAAGAAAAAATTTATAAAATGTAAAATATTAACTATAGTTCTTAAATTTTATGTTAAAATCTTAGACCTGGAGAGAATTTTATTTGAAAATTTATAAACTCAAATTCTTTCTATAAAAAGTATTTATTTCATTTTTATTCTTGTAAACAAAAAAGATTTCTGATATTAATTTAGTTTGAAACGAACACCAATAATTAGACCTTTAAATGTATTTTGGATAGTAATATACTTTTAAATTGCTGATTTTTCATACTTACTGAATTAAGATTTGAAGTATTAGATTAATAACTTAGGTTTTATTTACAAATAAAGCAATCTGATTTGATTGAGTATTAATTATGAAAACAATTATATTCTATGAAAAATAAAAACTATAAAAATGTTTCTCTAGTAATTAACTCATACGAATTTAATATAGTTTATACATCATTACACTATTATTTCTTGAACCCTAAATTTATGTTAACCCACGTGCTTAGTCTCTAAAGAAAAAAAAATCGACCTTAAGATATATTATATTATTACATTTTTACAGACAGTTTTTGTTTTATTCCATAAATAAATTTCATCATAACACATCTCTTCTAAGAATCATACCTTTATAAATTTTAATTCCTACTTTACCTTTTTACTTAAGCCTAAAACTACCAATCGAAGTTAACAATAAATCGCAAATAGCTCAACAACAGTTTCATGATCATTTGAGTTTATCAGAAACAGAAATTATGCACGTCATTAATTACTGCCGCAAGAACTCCGTTTGGAAGGCAAGCATGAACAAACACTGGTTCATAGCCGTTAAAGGGCTGTAAAGAACAGAAGACCAAGAAAACGAAAGAGCAACACTTTTCAATCACTCTGCTCTTTTTCTTTACTCGTTTTACAGGGCAAGAATATGAAAATTCTAGTATCTAGACACTAAGGTAATCAAGTATAAAAATCCTTACGAAGAAGGACATGAGCCTTTTGTCATAATTATTCAACATTTTTTTTGGTAAAAAAATAATAAAATAAAATAAGAACTGCGTCTATTTTCAATTTACCCAACAATCATAAATTTAGAGATCATCCCTCTATCGTTGAGGTCCCTTTTCTATTCTGTTCTTATGCTTCAATGAGGTGAACATGAAATTCCCTGAAAATAGTGCTTCTTTATCTGCCAATTCAATAAAACTCAAAATTAAAAGAAAAAACAGAAAATAATATTTCCACAATATCTGCTAGAACTCTTTAAATAACATATCTTTCAAAGTTTCATGTATTCTACTGGTAAAACAACTAATATACATGGACTATCTAAGTTCAAAAAAACTTTTCATGTTTCTTTGGGAGGTCAGAAGTAAAATGCAGAGAGCATTATGTAAATATTTCATGACTTCGTGGGAAATCTGAGCGTGTTCAAAGACATCAGGAAAACAACAATGCATGTTAAAAATGATATAGTTAAAAGAGGGATTGCGGTCCATAAGATAGCAGTATAGCAGGAAGTTCAGAAATATAAAGATGCATATCTCTATTAATTATAGGAAAAACTCATAAAACGTGTATGAAACGAGACACATTGATAAAAAAATTCCATCAAATTAAGGCTGAGTTCCTTGCAGATAATACTTCCTTCCTATCTACGGCCTCAAAACCCTTTTTCAGAAGTATGAGACCCTCGTGGTGAGATAGGGAGCTCTGCAGCTCACTTTAAGAATAAAGTGAGCAGGCATTGGCCCATCGTTTTTCATCGGCTTCATGGTCAATAATAATATAACATATAATTACATCTACAAACAATTATTACAGACAAGGACAAATCAGACTGTGTTTACCTGTTAAAGTCATCAACTTCATGATCAATAATAATTATAATAAAAACATATATATACAGACAGTTCTTACAGCCAAAGAAAACGGCGGACAGTGTTTTACCTGTTAAAGTCATGCAACTTACTTCCCGTCGAGCATACCTGGCCAGCGCCTATAAAAAAAATTAGTTCAGTATGAATATGTGTATACTTAGTATAAACGAAGAAAATAAGAAACCATTAGGAATACAACTTTAAGCATGGGGCATTTAATAAAAATGTGAATCGCAAAGGAAAGAATGAAAAAAAAAAATTCATGGTGAATAGGGTTCAACATGCTTAAAAATTTACATTGGAAACATTTCTGGGTAGTACATTGGCAGTCAATACGAATTCAGGAAAGAAAGCCACTCATTCAGTTGTATCTACTTCATTTAAAGTGATCACTATGCTTGCCTAGTTTGAAAAAGAAACTCCAGTATAATGGTAATGTGTCAAAAATTTTATGAATAATAAAAGGATGAATTCTTGAAAAGTCAAGTCATGCCAAAATATTAATCCAGAGTGGAGGAAACAGGTGAATGACAGCAGGATACGAAGTAACTTCATTGGTTGGTCAATCTTAACAAGTTGTATGACTTGATTTACCAGTTGCCAATGGGTTCAACATCTTGGCTTAGATTGAATTACCAGGCAATAGTCCCAATCTCAAAAGCCTACATTAGAAAACTCATACAGTATTTTTCTGCAGATATAATAAAAATGTTATATATATAGACATACCTGCACTGATTGAGATGCAGCATCGTCTGGGGTTGAAGAACCATCTTCAGAGAATATATTCCTGAAACCCAAGAAAAAACAGGAGGATAAACTTTGAATATAAAGGAAATAAGTACTATATGAGAAGACCAAGTCTTCGCTGATTCAATATCCAAAACTGAGAGAAGCAAAGAATTGATTGAAAGTTTCCTACTTTCAACAGGAACAGGATTACAGTCAGATTAGTACCTACCTCCATATAGCATTGGTGAAATCACCCGGTTTAGCTTCTGGAAGTATTGCAGTATCATAAGCAACAATGTTCCCGTAAAAAATCTTCTCGAGCTCTTTCATCCACTTACTCAGTAGTAGGTTAACCTGCCATTTTAAATTGAATGATCATAATTCACCAATATAGAGGCAAGTTCCCAGACTACATTGGAAAAATTGCAAAAAAGAAATTTAAGGGAAAATATTACCAGTTTAGAACTAGTAAGAATAACGTCAAAAATAGTTACTTAAGTATTCTAAAAGGAAATATTAAGAAAAAATTTCACAATTTACATTGTTCATGAAAATATGTACTCATAAATGACTGCTTACTCCAGCTTTGGACACTCTTAGCTCCACATCGTGATTGTATATCTCATAAACGTACTGCCCAAGTTCAACACCCTCCGTTCCCTCTTGCTTTAAGCGGCGCAAACATAACCACATATGAAGTACAAGTAAAGAGAACGTTGTTTTGAATGTTTTCTCCAAGTTAAAAACTGCAAGCAAATGGAAGAAGTTTAGAATGCTAAAAGATCTTACACCAGTTTAACAAGAACTAACAGTAACAAATATCAAAGTCCTTGCATGCTATGACTACTCGATTCTAATTGCAAACAACTAATTTGTGGAAGCACACACACACACTGGCATTGAAAAAGATAAACTTTCCCAAACAAGCATAACACAGTTACTTTCCTTAAATGGTGGGAACTTCAAAAGCACAAAAAATGTCAACAGGAGGAAATGACATCTTTAATTCAGTCATAAAATGGCCATATTGTAGTTTTTAGTTTGTTAAGATTTCTATCATCAGAAAATATCTCCTCTAAAACCCCACAAAAATATAGAACAGAAAGAAAAACAAACATTATCAAACAAAGTACTACAAAACGCTGACACTCCAACAAGATAGCTTTTAAATCGCTGTATATTCACCACCAGGGAACCTAATATAAACATGAACCAAAGAAAGAACAGGGTGAAGTGATGTGAACAGTTTTATCACATTGTACAAGTGTAGGATGAATTTATCATTAAAATTCCATGCACAAATCCACTCAACCTTGTATTCATATTCTACCAAGTACAAGTCAGCAACTATTTAAAAAGGTAGGAGGGGAAACCTAGAGCTTCCGCTAATAGCAAACAAGCAGAATATCATAGAAAATGGCTAAAAATCTCCAAACTACAAGTGATGCATAACTCGTATATGTATGAAGCTTTGTATTGTGAGAAAATCATTGGTTGTCAATTTATACAACCCCTAACCAGCCCAAAAGACTAAATTCGTTGGATTAAGGTTTCAAAACACGATCTGGAACTGTAATTTTGGCCACAACATCAAGTTTTTTGGGCTGTCCTCAACCACAACCGCAATTTAAAACCTTTTATGAGACATACGAACATAGTTGTTTGAGTGCATAAATTCATCTGTGCTACAGCTATGGCTTAATATATTACTGTGAGGAGAATGGACCTTCATAAATGGGAGGTTTATCAACTTGTGAAATAATTCTTTGGTACACAACATTAGCCCCTCGAATTGACCTGCTCTGCTTACTATAAAACAGCATGAGTTTGAGCATGAAACGCTTGATGCCCTGATAATCAGGTTCTTCAACTCTGAGAGGTGAGTCACGGGGCAGGGCCAGCGAACAGGGTTTAGACCAAAACATTTTATCTAGGTTAACCTGCCATGTACAAATTTTGGTCAGCAGCATCGAAATCAAGAGTAGTTAATTTCCATTTCAGTTCTGCGAAGTTCGGTTACGGCTGAAGAGCGGAAGAAAGTGAAGTTTGCATACCATGGGGGGTTGAGGTTTGTCCTCTATCATGGGCGCGGGTGCAACCCCAGCGTAGCTATGGCGCGTGACGTTCTTGACGAAATCAAAATGACTCTGCGATCCAAATTTGGAGATTGGCGTAACTACTTTGCTCCATTTTCGTAACATTCTGGTTATGAATCGGAATCGAAGGTTAAATGAATGTGTTATGCAGCACAATCCAGACAACAACACAGTGCGTAGCAGTGATCATAAGCGAAAAAATAAATATTAAAAAAAAAAAAGGGATTAAACTTTAAACCTCTCAACACAGACCAACCCCAGCGGCGAAGAGAAACGAAACTTCAATGGATTGGTTTAAACGGGGACTATGAAGGACCGGGTTGACCCGATCCACGCCTCAGTTCCATGTTATTGAAAAAGAATATATATGCTTTTGGTATCAATATTTTTTTTAATTACTTTGCATTTTCAAATTGATTGATTGATCTTCTTAATTTTAAAATAAAACTAACTTATAATTATAACTAATATTTTTTAAATCGGATGCTTTCATTATTTTATTGTAAAACTAAACATTGTGTAATTTTATTGATTGGATTTCTCTTTGGTCACATCAAATTCTGCTTTATGTTGTGATAAGAAACATTTATTTTTCTAATTTGTGGTGGATGTTGTCAAATGCGGAGACAACCCTAAAATTAGGGGACCAAAAAAAATTTGTTTTTAAAGTAAAAAATCTCCTTATAATTTTATGTATGAAATTTAAAAAGGAAATAAAAAATGGGGCTGGCCATAGCATATCCATTGTTGTGAGAAAAATAACTTAGTTTATTTGTTTTTGGATGATACAAATTGAATCTAATAATATCTTAATAGTTTTGCATAAATATGCATTAGTAATTATTGATGATTGCTAATGACATGAACAACAATTGATGGTGGTGTTCACCTGTGTCACCGATTCACTCGTAGAATGTTGTTGGCATTGTGCTTTGGATTTCATGTTGGGGTTTATCTGGTTTCTTCAAAGACACAACAACAATGGTGAAAAAAATTGACACACAGATTTCATATTAGTGTGTCCATCATTAAAAGTAAGTTTTGTTTATTTTGGGCCTGCTCGGTTTGGAGCGGCCCAGAAAAAAGGAGCCCAGGTGGTGAGTTCTTTTAATTAAAACCCTTGTTCGCATATTTTTTGCCAAGAGCCCTAAAACCCTACCGTCACCATGTCTCACTCCGAAACCAAGAAGAAGAAGCATCAGCGCAGCACCGCCAACAACGAAGAAGAAAATCCAGCCAAAGACGATGGCTTGATGATCAAACCGCAGAGCTTCACCCCCCCAATCGACACCTCCCAATGGCCCATCCTCCTCAAAAATTACGACCGCCTCAACGTCCGCACGGGCCACTACACCCCCATCCCCTCCGGCTACTCCCCCCTCAAACGTCCCCTCGCCGAGTACCTCAAATACGGCGTCCTCAACCTCGACAAGCCCGCCAACCCCTCCTCACACGAGGTCGTCGCCTGGATCAAGCGCCTCCTCCGCGTCGAGAAGACCGGCCACTCCGGTACCCTTGACCCCAAGGTCACCGGAAACCTAATCGTCTGCATCGATCGCGCAACGCGCCTTGTAAAGTCCCAGCAGGGCGCTGGCAAGGAGTACGTCTGCATCGCCCGCCTTCATTCCGCCGTTCCCGACGTATCGAAGGTCGCACGCGCCCTCGAGACACTCACCGGCGCTGTCTTCCAGCGCCCTCCATTGATCTCCGCCGTTAAACGCCAGCTCCGCATTCGGACCATCTACGAAAGTAAGCTTCTTGAGTATGACCCTGATAAGCACTTGGTTGTTTTCTGGATTTCGTGTGAGGCTGGGACCTATGTTAGAACTATGTGTGTCCATTTGGGGTTGCTTCTTGGTGTGGGTGGTCATATGCAAGAACTTAGGAGGGTTCGCTCTGGGATAATGGGGGAGAAGGATAACATGGTGAGCATGCATGACGTGATGGATGCTCAGTGGGTTTATGATAATTATAGGGATGAGAGTTATTTGAGGAGGGTTGTTATGCCCTTGGAGGTTCTTTTGACTAGCTATAAGAGGCTGGTTGTTAAGGACTCTGCAGTTAATGCTATTTGCTATGGTGCTAAGTTGATGATTCCTGGGTTGCTTAGGTTTGAGAATGATATTGATGTTGGGGAGGAGGTTGTGCTTATGACTACCAAGGGGGAGGCTATTGCGCTTGGGATTGCTGAGATGACTACTGCTGTTATGGCCACTTGTGATCATGGGGTTGTCGCCAAAATCAAGAGGGTTGTCATGGATAGGGATACTTATCCAAGGAAATGGGGTTTGGGACCTAGGGCTTCCATGAAGAAGAAGCTTATTTCTGAAGGAAAGCTGGATAAGCATGGGAAGCCCAATGAGAAGACTCCCCAGGAGTGGCTTAGGAATCTGGTTTTGCCTACTGGTGGCGATAGTGTGATTGCGGGTATGGCTGCTGCACCAGAACCTGAGAATGACAAGGTCAAGGCCGATGGAGATGGTGAAGGGCGAAAGAGGAAGAAGCAGGAAAGCACAGATAGCCCGGTTTCGGTCCCTGCTAAGAAGGTGAAAGTAGACGTAGAAGAGGTTAAGGTAAAGAAGGTAGCTGATGAGGTTGAAGCTGACGACAAGAAAGAGAAGAAGAAGAAAAAGAAGAAGGATAAGGAAAACAACGAAGTGGCCTCTTCAGATGAGGAGAAAAGTGAGAAAAAGAAGAAGCACAAGAATAAGGTTGAAGATGGTTCACCGGAGTTAGACAAGTCTGAGAAGAAAAAGAAGAAGAAGAAAGACAAAGAAGCAGCCGCTGAAATTAGCAACGGAAAGGAGGATGACAGTAATGCTGATAAGAGTGAAAAGAAGAAGCATAAGAAAAAGAAAAACAAAGATGCCGAGGAAGAATAGAGGAAGGCATATTTTTGTGTTTGGTTAAATGGACTCATTATGTAATGCCTATTTTTCTTGATCTTTTAAATTTTCGCTCTGGATTAGTGTTGTTAGTCAACATTTTGGTAGTTCTTCTTATGCTGTAACTTCATTTTTCCATCAACTATGTTTTTGAAAACGAGTATCCTAATCTTCGTTGGCTTTTAATAGGTCTACAATTTCTCCATAATCCTTCGACAAGTTGACACATCAAGCATTGCTTCAATTACGTATCGGCCCCTGTTTGTCTTATCAGATTCGTAGCTTTTCCAACATAAACTAAGATGAATTTGTTTTAGGAGAATCTTGCTGTCGTACATATGATTTTCTGAAACTGCAGGTTTAGGCATTTAGTTACATTGTTTTGAATGTTTTCTTAAAGTTAAACACTGAACTGAAGGTGGAAGTTTAGAACGCAACATGAACTAACGTCACGATTACTCGGTTCTAATTGTAAACATTGAATTTTTGGAAGTGTATATCCAAATCTAATCACCCAGGCACACTGTCATTAATAAAAATGAGGCTTTTACTATCAGCATAGAACACTTCCCTTTACTTCGAAAGCAGATAAAAGGGTGTCAACAGAGGGAAATATCATCTTTATGATTCAAGCATAAAAAGGCCACAAAATTATAGCTTTTATTTCATTAAGTTTTCTTTCAACTGGAATTATATTCTCTACAACCTTACGAGTAAATATAGAACAAAAAGAAAAGTAAACATTACCAACCGAAGTACTATAAATATGCCATATCTTATAATTTTATAAATCAAAATGCAAATAAAAATAATTTTTTTATTACTTTTGAGCTGAGATGTTTTAAATCTCCTCCCCTCAAATCATGAAATACTGGAGGGGAGGAAAAATTGAATGAGAAGGTATTTTGGTCCCTCTATTTTCTTTAAAAGATTAACCACACAAGATAGATTTAAAAAAGCGCATCCATTTTTTCTTCCACTAAACTCTGTTTCACACAGAAAAAACTAACAACAAAACTTCGTAAGTCCTTATAAAATCACCCGGGAACCTGAAATAAACACGAGCCAGAGAAAAGTAAGTGAAGCTAACAGTTTTCTCCCATAACACACATGGAGGAAGAATTTATCTTTAAAATTCCACGCACAGATCCACGAAACCTTATATTTCATTATCAACCAAGTACAAGTCAGCAAGATTTAAAACGCGAAGGGGAGCTACAGATCCTCACTAATGACAAAAAGGTAGAATATGAGAGAAATGCCAACAAGTCTCCAGTTTTCTTAGAGCTTTACACATATTTCTGTCAAATTATACAACCACAAAACAATAGGAACATAGGCATGTATTTAATCCTTTGTGTGTGCATAATCACAAGTGCATAAATGCATCTTAACAACAGCCATAGTTTATACTTTATATTACTCTGACGAAGGTTTGTCAACTTGAGAAATAACAGAATGGATGAGCATTTTAGGTTCTTTGGTAAAACTTCGTCTGTTCTTTGTTGCTTAGAGAGCCCTTAGGAATTGGCTGGTTACAAATCAGTGCCAAGATCTGATGTTGCCGGTTAAGTCTATTCGCAAAATAATTGTCAAATTCATTGGTTGAATCTTCAGTCTTTTTTTGATGTAGAAACTTTCTTATACAACTTCTCCAAAAAAAAAAATTTTTCAGTTCTGCCTAAATTAATTTTGTCTTGTAGAGAAGTTAAATTTATTTTTTTTTCTTATTTTTCTCCTATGGAATGACGTATGAAGAAGTTAGTCCAGACAAATTCCAAACCTAATTAGGATGTGAGATTAAAAAATTTACATAAGAATGAATATCATGTTGCCCTGTGAAATTAATTTTGTTAGTTTTCCAACAGACTCTTAAATTTCACCTGAGCTGCCATCTTTTCCTAATGCATCTACTGATCCCAAAAACTGTTATCAACTGCTAAATCTCGCCACCTATGAATCGTGAAGTTCCATTTGCCCTGGATTTCATTGTTTGTTAGTTCTTATATTGTATTTCTCTGCATTGTTTGACCCTACCATCATCACTTTTAGATGATGAAAAGATTCTAGAAAACCACAATTTCATGTGAAGACATTCTGTATGCAACAAACTATCAGAGCAAAATTCAACAATATGTTTATTTGCAACTTATAGGTTTACATACACTTGAGCATCACATAAGTTGCTTCATACAGAAATTAAAAGTTGAAGCTCTCTCCTTCTAGAGAGTTACTTATACATTTTTGTTGGCACCTTCTCAGAGGAGCATTTGGCTTCTTCTGATTGCGACCGTACCAGGATAGAAGGTACTTTCCATTGTAGGATTGTGACCTTTTCATTGAAGAACTAGGAGCACCTTGCAGATACCTAGTTAACCTGAAAGAAGAACTACCTTTGGAAGTAGTTGCCAAATCGTTTCCAAAACCCCCTTTGGAAGAAGCAGCATCAGCATCATCCACGCCTCTCAGCACTCTTTTTGAGTTACCATTAGATCCTACTGTTGCAAGAGCACGATGGATATTTGCAACAGAAAAGGAATCCAGAGAAACAGATCTTCTAGGAAGAATGCTTGGCACCTCTTCAACAAGGGTTTTAGTTTCACAAACCCTAAATCCATCTTCAACCTCCACTTGGCCTTCTTCCTCTGGCCTATTCCCTAATTCAGAATCAAGAACACTATTCTCCAAAATTTCCACATGGGTATGTCCAAAGGAATTTGAATCAACAAAAGTAGACTCCAATTTAGCAGTTGCAAGGTCAGAAACAATGGGAGCCCGGCATATGGGACAATTGGTATGAGACCTAAGCCAGGTATCAATACAAGGTAAATGAAAAGCATGATGGCATTTAGGCAAAAGCCTGAGATTCTCATCCTCTTGAAACTCACTCAAGCAAACAGCACACTCGGTTCCTTCAATCAAACCCTCTCCTTTCTTATACCTACAAACTGTGATGGCATTGATAATTGATTGCTGAAGCCCAAGGGTGCGAATATACCATATGGGGTGGTCCACCACAGGTCCATGCTCTTCATCAACAAAATCATCATCACCAGTGTTCTGTTGGTGGTGCCTTGACGATACCCTCCTCCTTGAGCTGAACCTGGTGTATATGGTGCGACAACAAACGACAAAGAACGCAGCAGTTAGAATAGCAAGAGCAAGGAACAAATAGGTGGCGATTTTGTGGCTGCTTGATTCATATGCGCCACCGCTATCTAGATTGAAAGGAGGAAGTTGTGGTGGCGGCAGCAGCGTTGGAGGAGAATCATAATTAGGGTATTGGGGGTTGTTGAAGCAGATCTTGAGGCAAACTTTGCAATCTGATGAACAAGGCTCGAACTCCGTCACATGACAGAGTGAGTCACAAAGTTCTGGCAATGGGGTCATCAAGTTTGTGAGATGATGCAGACCCATTTCAGAGGAAAGGGTTGGATCGGGAAGAGAGAAGACCTCAAATCAACATCAGAATTCAGAGTGATGAAGAAGATAGGTACATAGAGAGATGACATAAAGTCTCAAACTTTGACTTCCAAACATTCATCAGAATTTTCTCTTTAAAGATTTTCACATCCAGTAGGTAGCAGTTGCATTGAATAATAAAAAATTATGTTATAACATTTTATTTAATTATTTTTTATCAATTAAAATTGTATGAAAACTACAAAATAAAGAGAGATTTATTAAATAAATGGTAAAACTCACTAAATTTATATTTCCAGTTAAAATATATTCTAAGTAATATCTTAATTTATCCTTTCTTTTGTATAAAAGTGGTGTTTATTCAATTTATTTGTGCCTAAAGTCGTCGTCTTTTTCACAAATCGTACTATTTGAGTGTTGGTGCCCAAATTTGTGATCTTATTTAATATTTATTAAATAAGTATATCAGTAATTTAGTTCTATTAAAGTATTGATTGCTTTATAAAAAAGTCAAACTTTACTTTAAAGAAAATAGTAAATTTATTAAATAATATAATGGTATATTTATTATTAAGACGATAGAAATATTTTTCCAATACCCAAAAACTAAATGTTAAATATTATGAATTAAATGTAACCCTTTAAATTACTTTTATTAACAACGGTTTCTCTTCTTTTAGGGTTTTCTACGACAGTTGAATATCATTTTCATGACGATTACTGTCACCTTCACTCATTCTCCGTTTGGAAGTAGAATAAAATATTCAAATCACAATGAATTTATTTATTTATTTATTTGTTGTCACATCATCTTAAAAAGCTTTCATTATTACAGAAAATTACTTTTATCCTATTCCAATTTCATTAGATTTTTTCTCAAACCTAATAAAAAAAATACTTACTTTTTTTTAAAATGCTATTTGTCTGACTATATTTTTTTTATTGAGAATTCAGAAAAAAAAGTTGGAGAAAATATATAAATTTATTAAAAATGGTATTATTGTATGATATTAATTATTTAATTAATAAGTGAATTATCAATAGTGTAAATTATATTTAAAATTTATTAATATTAATTAATATTAAAGAAACATCTTGTCAATATTGTATATTAAATTGATGTGAATATCAGTACTTTGAATTTATTTCAACATAAGAATTTAATGTAATAACTTAAAACATTAATAGAAATTTTTAATATTAATTAATTATATCTGTAATAAAATTTGTTGAAACTTTTATACAACTTATATTAAATTATATAATTAAAATGATAAGATTGTAAGGAGTGTCACAAATTTGAAAATAATTATGTGTAGTTATTGTCAATTTTATGACAACAGAATTATTGAAAATAATTTAATCTATAAAAATTATTAAAAAAATACATTTAGTCTTTTTACAATCTTTATTAAGATAAAACATATCAGTAAATGTTAAATTTAGATATAAAAAGTATTAAAATTATATATTTTGTTATTAGATATATTTGATTCACTCTTAACTAGTGTGATGTGATGAATGTATAGTTTAAAACTTTAGATTTAGAGATTAAACAAAATTTAATTTTGTTTAGTTTTTAATGTTATGAGTGTCCTAATTTTGTTTTTTTCCCTCTTGGTGGAGAAATTTGTGACATTTGTTTAAAGTTAATAAATCCTTTACATGAACGAAGGGGTAAAGGTGGTTGTGTTGGTCACTAAATTTGTGTGTACAACAAAAGAAAAGTAAGTGTCTTAAGGGATGCTTCATTATTCACTCATCATCTTTGGGTGCCACCAAAAGACTTGTTTTGTATTTGTATTGTAATTATCTTTCTTTTTTTATTAACAAATAACAATGAAGTGTTACACAACAATAGTTTAATGAAAAGGAAATCTTAATATAAAAAAATATATAATTTTTAAATAAATTAAATTTACATTTTGAAGGAATAAAATAAAATCTCACTATAAATGGAGATTAGTAAACAATTAATTGATATTTTATGACAGTGTAGAGAAGATGATAATGATGAATTACTTCATTGATAAAATTACAAAAAAAAAAATCAAACAATTGAAAAATTTTGTGTAGTCTAGGTAAATCATTGAATAGATAAATTAATCTAAATATCACAAAATTGGTGAAAAAGCAAGAATGTAACATTAACAGGCAAAACTGTGATTCGTATTATTAATGGAATGTTATTTTGATTTTATTTTCTTCTTAAAAAAATAATCAATATGTAGTAATGAACATTATATACTTAGACTTAAGTATTATAATATATTTTGATTTAAATATTTGTATGTTATATAATTGTCGAAAAAGTTATATATATATATATATATATATATATTATTAGGTTATTAATATCATTTTAAATATAATTTTTAACTGAATTAATATTTTGACTGAACGGTTTTCAGAATGTTCATTCTAATTTTCTTTAGTACATTGAACTTGGTAATTTTTAATATTTTTTTAATTTTGATTTTAACTTATTTTGACTATAATTACTTAATTGAATTAATATTTTGAGCTTGATACAGATTTTCAAATTTTAACTTATTTTGGTACATTTAGTTTAATAACTTTTAATAGTAATTATAATAATAATGATGATAAAATAATATATTTTCAAATTTTCTTTAGATAATGTTGCAAATATTTCTTGATTTGGATCTAAAAGACTAATCTTTAAATATAATTGAATACTTATTTTTTTATATTTAGCTTCATATTGACCATATTAAATGAAATACTTATAAAAGGAACAGGTTGAATATGCACACACAACTTATATGATTCACTAGTGCAAAAAGGGGCTTTTACGTCAGGTATTTAGGGCTTTTTACGTCGTATTTAAGTCCGACGTAAAAGTGGGAGACGTAAATTTACGTCGGACCCTTTTACCCGACGTAGATTTACGTCAGTTATGAAGATACGACGTAATTTTGCGTGGCATATACAATAAACAGACGTAAAAACCTTTTCAATTTAAAAAAAAAAAACAGAAAATTTACGTCGCATACAGTATATACGACGTAAATTTACGTCGCATACAGTATATACGACGTAAATTTACGTCGCATATACCATATGCGACGTAAATTTACGTCGCATACAGTATATACGACGTAAATTTACGTCGCATATACACAATATTAATATTTTTCACTTGCTCATATACTTGTTCACCATTGCGTGGTACTGATGCAACTGCATTCTCCTGACATCCATTAAATGCTTTCTTCATTTTACGATATGGATGGTTAGCAACTAGAAACTTTCTATGCCTATTGTACGCAGTTTTTTGTTCATGTTTCAATTGGATATAACTTGTGTCTTCTTGACATATAGGACACGCTAAATGACCTTTCACACTATAACCGCTCAAATTACCATATGCTGGAAAATCATTTATAGTACAAAATAACATTGCACGCAACCTGAAATTCACTTCGTGATATGAATCAAATACATCCACTCCTGTTTCCCACAACATCTTCAAATCATCAATTAAAGGACTAAGATATACATCTATGTCATTTCCTGGTTGTCGAGGTCCTGAAATCATCATAGATAACATCATATATTTTCTCTTCATGCATAACCAAGGAGGCAAATTGTAAATGATCAACATAACTGGCCATGAACTATGTTTACTACTTAAATTTCCATAAGGATTCATCCCATCTCGTAGCTAATCCAATTCTCAAGTTTCTTGGCTCTGCACCAAATTCGGAAAGGTTTCATCAATCCTTTTCCATTGTGGAGAATCATCTGGATGTCGAAGAAGATTGTCACATTTTCTACCATTTGCATGCCATGTCAAGTTTCTTGCATCTTCTTTTATGGCAAATAATCTTTTAAACCTAGGTATAATTGGCAAATACCATAACACCTTAGCGAGGGGACCATCTAGTTCTTCCTCACCACTACTTTCCTCAACTTTGGTTTTGAACCTCGACAAACCACATGTCGGACACATCTTTAATTTAGCAAAATCATTTCCGTACAATATACAATCATTAGGACATGCATGTATTTTCTTGTACTCTAAACCCATTGGACATAATATCTTCTTTGCCTCATAGTTACTGAATAGGTAATGTATTATCTTCGGAAGCATCTCCTTCAACAACTCCAATAATTCGGTGAAACTTTTATCAGTCCATCCATTTCTTGCTTTTAAAGTAAACAATTTTAAAGTTGCCGATAATCTTGTAAAACTACATCCTATGTACAATTGTTGCGCAAAATCAGATTTCAAAGAATCATATAGATGTGCTTTCATAAAATGTTCTTCACCAATATCACGTATCATATCCTCTAGATTATCATCCATCCCTTCATCAAAATTGTCTCGTAGTTGACACAGTTGGGATGTCTAATATTTCTCCATGCCATGTCCATATTGTATAACTCTTAATAATACCATAAACAAACAAGTGATCACGTATATCCTCAAGTTTATGACGAATTTGATTCAAACAACGAACACATGGACAATAATATGTCCCTTTCATAGCTTTTCCATTTTCACTAGCAAATTTCGAAATTCCTCAACTCCCTTTTCGTACTCTTCACTAATACGACGTGCATTCATCCAACTTCGATTCATATTATGTTATAAAGTTTCGTCACTCCTAAAGATTTAAAAATTATATGTAAAAAAAAATTAATATACAAACAACAAAGCACGTTCCAACAACAATGGAGTGTGTAAACCGAATGCACTCAAACAAATAAACAAATAACCGCATTCCAATAACAATCCAGATGGAGACATTCATACTATAACGTGATTGAGATCCCCAAAAACAATCACGGATTCAATGTAAACATATAGCAATGACAATGAACACTAACCTCGAGTGTAGACGAAAACCGATTTCAAACTCGAATCCAATCGGGGAGAAAGATGAAGTTCGTCAAATGACACGACAATGTAGATGTTTTTCACCGTAAACCGCTCGCAAATGGTGTGCAGAGGTAGCTGTTGTCGTCGTTCTCGTCGTCGTTCTAAAAAACCCTGGTTGCGCGAGACGAGGAAGTGGGTCGGAGGGAAATAAAATAGACTTTTTACGTCGCGCGATGTAGTAAGCGACGTAAAAAGTCATCTTTACGTCGCACTGGGAGGCGCGACGTAAAGATGGCCTTTTACGTCGCGTACAGGGGGACGCGACGTAAAAGCCTTAGCTTTTACGTCGCGCCCCCAGTACGCGACGTAAAGGCCATCTTTTACGTCGCGCCTCCCAGTGCGACGTAAAGATGACTTTTTACGTCTCATATTGGGGTGTGCGACGTAAATTTTTTGTCCCGTATTTACAAAATTGCCATCGCGTTTTATTTACGTCGAATATACGTGCATGCGACGACAATTGGGTGACGTAAAAGCCATATTCCGCACTAGTGTTAAGAATACTAAAGTGGGTTAAATTTGATAAGATATCTCAATGAATTAGCTAAAATAGGTTAAGTTGGTGATTCAACCATTCAACCCAACAACCAACAAGTTAAAGCTGAGTTTATTAGTATGATTATTTATTTGTAAGAACGAGGGTAGTTGTCAAATATGATATTTTATAAATAAATTGGACTAATTTTAAGTTTTGTTTACTACATATATAATTAAAATGATACTCTTAAAAAAATAATAAGATAATAATGTTTTTGTGATTAATATCATATTTAAATTTTATTCAACATATTAATTTGAGTCATTTAATATTTAGATATTTATGTTAAATGACACGGGATTCAAGATTAAATAAAAAAAAACGAAATTAGAAAAAATTTATAAGTAGGGAGAGGATTGAACAATATCTCAGGGACGATTTAAATGGAAAAATCCATTACTTAAGACAAACACATCTCTTTTAGTAATTTATAATATTTCCTAACTTTTATTTTTTTATCCTCTCATAAAATATGAGTTTTTTTATTTTATTTTTTGATAAGGTAAGATTCTTACAGAAAATATTATACTAAAAAATATTTCTATGTCTTTTTATGTTGAAAATTTTGGTTGTGTTTTTCTTTGGTTGTTAAAATCTTTTTACTGAGTTTAAAAGAGAGTAGTCTCCATTCAATCACATGAAAATATAATCACAAATCACTGAAAAAGAAATAACCACAGATCACTGATAAATAACAAAAACATAATCACAAACTCTGATGAATAATAAGGAACAACTGCCACATATCACTACAAATTTCAATGTAAAAATAACAGGGTGAAATAATAAAAATAATAATAACTACAACAAACTAAAATAAATAAATAATAATAATAATAATAATAATAGAGAACATATTTGCTATATTAGCCTAAGACACATTTCAAATGACCAATACTGCCGCGACAAGACCAACTACGGTTGATCCTGCGGCAGCGAATCCATGTGAGACTGCGGCGTTCTCAGACGGAGCAGGAGACTCGGAGGGAGGAGCAGAGATCGACGATGGAGAGGAGGAAGGCGACGGAGAGAACGCTGAAGAGGGAGGAGGAGACGGTGGAGAGCTCATTGGCGAAGGAGAAACGGCAGGTGGAGACTTCGTCGGAGAAACGGCAGGTGGAGTAGCAGCGGCCTTAGGAGACGACGCCGGAGATTGTGCAACGGCAGAGAAGACTTGCATAGCGGTGAGCATGAGAATGAGAGTGAAAGTTGAAGCCATTTCAGAGACTGAGATGTAGATAATGAAGAATATTAAGGGACGGTGAAAGGGGTGAAACGCCGGGAATGATTTTTACAGTTCTAAGAAGAGAGTGTGTGAGAAGTACGAAGAGACAGACAGTGAGAATTTATAGAAGAAGAGGTTGGTGTTATGTGAGGATCAGACGGTGGAGATTACCCTGAGAAGTTGTGATGATAGAGTGGGGGTAATGATGAGACGAGTTCATAGAAACGCACATTTGGATGAATCAGGGAAGTACACGTGGAATCTGAATTGATCTTAGAGGAAGGAGTGTCGTTGATGAAACGGTGTCGGAATTGTAACGGTCAAGAAATAGGAAAGTGTGAAATTGGTGGGGATCCACAACACATCTTATAAGGACAGGGGAAGAGGCTCTGGTCTAGTCTTCAGCGGGCCATTCATATTCTTTTTTGAGAAATCCTTAATTTTTTCACTATTTTTTTTTTCAAAACTTAATTATATTTTTAATTGTATTAATAGATTTATAGCGGAAATAAATTATTACCTTTGATATTTATAAATTAAAAAAAAATCAAAATGGAAAAAATATAATTTATATTGAATTAATAAAACTTTATATTAAGAAGCATCATGGTTTTCTTTTTTGAGTTGGTAGAAAGAAAGTGATTGGTGATTGAGGCGTTAGTTACGGTGGAGCATAGCTTAGACAACTTTATCTTTTTTACCATTCTTATTTTGGGAGTTATGAGTATGATTTTGGAAAATCCAAAAAAGGAAGATAGAAATGAGAGGATTGAGGAAGATTTTATTCATCTTTCATGGTGACCCATTGTCTTCTTCAAAACATCTTCTCCATCTTTCACTCTTGTGTTTATTAGTAGGGTTCATTGTATTCTATTCTCTGTTTGTTTTACTAATATTCAAGTTAATTAATAATAATAATAATAATATTTTTTTTTCGTACTATAGATATTTCAACTGAGAGAATGAGTATATCATTAATATTGTTATTTATGATTTTTTTAAACGGTTTCAAATTTCAATTATTTATTATTATTACCTTGAATTGGGCGTTACGTGATTATACACGTGTTTGTGTTGTAAATCAATTAATTATCTAAACATGTATTTGAGCATTTTTAATAATATAGTTTTAGTTAGGAATGAGATTAAGGATTTAACTAAGATTACTAGTAGAAATGTTATTTTAATTTTATAAATTATAAAATATAAATTCGTGTAACTATTTATGCATATAAGATTGTTGTGATGATTTTAGAAACTAAATGAAATTTTGATTATATATTTTTTTATAATTAGTCTATATTATTTATTAAGTTGGATGTCTGATATTTTAATGAGCATGTGTATTGTGAGACCTAGTTGGTTAATTTTTTGAACCATAATAAAAATTATTTCAAAAAATATTTGTAGGATATATATACAATTTTGAATCGATTTGTAGAGAAATAAAATTTTGCAGATATTTATGGTGATAAACATTTGTTTAAATTTTAATAGATTTTTATATGATAGATGAATTGAGAAGATGAGAAAAGAAAAATTTTAAATTGCGAATTTATAAGTAAAAATATTATTTATTAATTTTATTGTAATTAAAATTTGGTTTTGATATAAAGTATTACATGTATCTATCAATTATATTTTATTGAATTATTTTTATTTTATTAATAAATATAGATATGAAAAAATTGTAATTAAAGAATTAATGAAATTATTTTACTTACAACTTAAAGAAAATTTTAATAATTTTTATTAGTGTAAAATGTTGTATACTTTTATGATTTTATTTAACTTTTACGATTGTTTTAGTAACATTTATCTGGTTACTCAATTTTTTGGCAAGTTAAATTTTGATTTTACATGAATAAATTTGAACTTATGAAAAAAATATTTTCAATTGTTGTTATGTTTTTACAGAAGACTTGTTTAAATCTAATAAACATAGACTAAATACATTTTCTAGGTCACCAGTTAGTAACAATATATTACTGGATTTAATTGCTAAAATAATTGCAGTTAATTTTACTTTATAATGGAAAAATAATGGCACAGCACATAGCGAGCTTAAGAAAAGTAAAAAGAAAATAAAAATAAATAAATATTATCGATGATATAATTTGACAACGAAGAATCCAAAAAGGCCCACTCACAGAACAAGCACTTTCTTTTTAGAAATGATAAGTTACAACCAAGTTTAAAGAATTGAGAATTTATTTTATTAATGAAATAATTTATCAATTAGATGTACATTGCATAAATATTTATAAATAAGAGTAAAAACAGATCAGATATTATGTAGATTCTTTAATTATTTTTCATCATTTAAAATGTTGGTATAAGCTTCTTTTAAATTGAGATTATTTTAGTTATCATTATCAGATAATTCAATTTATGAGATTTATCTGTCTCAACAAACATTAACATTAAAATACTTAATTTTTTGTTTGTATAGTAATTAAATTAGGCTATTCAAACAAAACCTGAAAATAAGCCACACCGAGAAACAGAAATTCAATTTTAATATATTTACATTTCTCTAAAGTTATTAAATTAAGCAAAGCCGAAATATCAAACGTCACTTCAAAATCATCATGTCATTTGGTAATGAAATAGATTAAATCAAGAGAAAATGGGAATTGTGAATTACTCAATTATCAATAATAATAATAATAGAATATACAAAATAATCAAATGAATGAATACTCAATCACAGACCAAAGGAAAAAAAAAATTCAAAACTCTTGATGAACAAATAATAGAAAAAAAAAAATTGATAATAAGACACCATAGAATATCTCCTACACGAGCATTGCTGCAGCAATAACAAGGGCCACGGCAGAGCCGGCTATTCTGTTCAAAACGGCACCGTTTGCAGCTGGTCCTGGTGCGTCAGCCGGTGGACCCGAGATGGTGGAGGGAGGGATGATCGAACTAACAGGGTTTGGGGCCGCAGAAGGAGAGGTAGGTGGAGCCGGAGGAGATGTTCCAGTGGCAGGTGAGGCCGCCGGTGTCTCAGAGGACGGTGGCACTGCGGCATGAGACGGAGACAATGCTTTCCTCGGTGGAGTGGCCACCGGAGAAAACGCCGGCGAGGAAGCCGGAGATTGAGCCATTGTGGAGCTCAACAACAATGCTGCAACCAACATAAGAAGAAAGGAACGAGCCATTGCTGAAGGAGTGAGAAAAAAGAGTTGAAAGATAGAAAGGGTATTGAGGGTATGAACAAGAGACAGATAGAGAAGAGGTCTTGTGGTTTCTGGTTTAGTTTTTGTGTGAGACGAAAGAGTGAGAGTTTAGAGGGTATTTATAGAAAACAAGGAACCGCGTGACTATGGTAAAGGGATTTTGACGTGTGAAGTGGTATAGCTGTTGCAATATCTGGAGCATACACTTGTTAATTGAAATATATGTTACCGTTGGATTGAAAATATGCGGTAACGGTCGGAAACGGAAACTACTAGAATACTACTACTGAGGAACGAGTTGTACAGAAAGAAGTAGCCGTTGAAGGGAACTTAACTCAGAAGTTTGAGGAAAGAAACAGGGCAAGAATTGCTCAACCACTCATGTTGCACCACGTATGTTCCACTGTGTTTGAAGTTGGTAAACGCTGTACACGTTCAATAAGCGCGTTTAACCCGTAATTTAAGTGGATTAATTAATGTATACACTCGTTTATTGAGAACAAGGTTGCGTCAAAGGTTAGAAAAATAGTGAACAATTTGAGTAGGTCTTTCCTGGATTACGTTTTAATGAAATGTCCTTCCAATTCACAGGTAAAACCAGCTGTCACACACGAGACTCAGTTTGTTTGATTCATATTATTAAAAAAATAGAATTTATTATATTTTTTCTTTATTGAAAATATTGAAAAGAAGTTAAAAGTATTTTGATAAAGAAAAAATTATTAAAAAATAATTTCAAAGCATATATATAAAACTAATTAAGGTATTCAAAATAAATTATCAATAAACATACTTACATAAACATGTTTTTGAAGATTGTTTTATAATATCATTATATTTGTATCAAATAATAATTTTATATTATTATTTATAATTATAAAATTGTATCATTTATTTATAAATATAAGAAAAATTAAAATTATGAATATAAAAATAATATTAATAAATTTTAATGATATACTCATATCCATAAATTTCTTGCAATTATATAGATATCTAATCATATTAGATTATATGTAATTAAATATTACACTATTTTGTTTACTTATTATATACATATATGATGGGTAAAACTTATCTATCTAATATATTTTTTTTATTTAGATCAAATTATTATTCTTTTAAGGAGTTCAATTTTGTTTGCTCTCACATTATACTTTTCTACTTTTACATTGAGTCAATTCAAATTTGTAAGCTTTGTTTGAAAAAGATGAGAAAAAGGAAGAAAAAAAAATTAAAGAAAGATTATTTGTTTATAAAAAAAGAGAAGATAATTTTATATTTAATATTAATATTATTTTAACTATTCATTATTATTATTAATATAAAAATAAATTATTATAGTCAATTATGATAATAAGAAAATATTTATTTCTTCCTAGTTTTCGTGACATGATCAATTATACGTGCAACATGATTTGATTAATGTTTCGTTTTTGGCATTTCTTCAAACCAGGCAAAAAAGGTCTCTTGCTCTCTGTTAGTGATCATTAACTAAATAAATGAGAAAAAATAACCATTGACTGTGACAAGGTACAAAAGAAAATTATTTATGATACACAGTTTTGCTACAGATCATGAATTCATTAGAGGTAAATGTAATACACGAGTTATTGTATCTAAAAGAATGAAGGAAACTACGTTTCAATAGGCAAATGGCCTTCGGAGTGCGGAAGTAAGGTGATACATAAGATTAACCTCTATAAAAAGCACAAGAAAAAATAACCCTGAAATTTGAATAAACAATGCCTTTGTCTACAATGTCTATAAGGCACTATGTTTCAAGGTTGAAGAATTTCTGATAGTGCCTACCTTGTCAGACAAACGAATAAGAAAAATTAAATCACAAATAGAATCATGGTTTGGTTTAACTAACTTTTTGCATTCATCTACACCATGAAATCTACTTCCTCATCTGCTGTGTCTGATCCATGTATCGAGTGAGAAAAAGGGCAGGTCTATAAGTCAGTAACAGCATTAGAATCATCAACCTTATTGGCATTACCATTACCATTACCACTGTCATGAGTGCTCAATTGGCTGTTAAATTCATTCCCATATATGTGACCCATTTTCACACGTTTGGTCTCTAAATATCTCTTGTTCTCCGAAGTAATGAGTGTTACTAATGGGATCCTAGCCGAAACTGTCAAACCATAACCTTTGAGCCCAACATATTTTGCTGGATTGTTGGTCATCAGCTTCATAGATCTAACACCCAAGTCCCTTAACATCTGCAAGTTGAGAATTTCAAATACAACAGTCACCATTTATTAAACGAAAAGTTAAATTCTATATGAGTATAAGGATATCAAATATGAAGCCATTAAGTACTTCTGATGAATACCTGAGCGCCAATGCCGTACTCTCTAGAGTCAACAGGCAATCCCAACTCCTCATTGGCTTCTACAGTATCTCGTCCATCATCTTGTAGGTTATAAGCACGAAGCTTGTGGCCCAATCCTATGCCCCTTCCTTCGTGTCCGCGGAGATATACCAGCACACCCCTACCAGCAGCCTCAATCTGTTGCATTGAGAGTGCAAGCTGATTTCCGCAGTCACATCTGGCGGATCCAAATATGTCACCGGTTAGACACTCAGAGTGGACCCTCACAAGGACATCTTGTCCATCTCCAATGTCACCCTGTTAAATAAAGAACAGTCAGAACCAGAAAGCTTAAAAGACATTTCGAATAGCTAGCCAAGGTCCAAGTTTGCAAGCCTGTCATCAGGTTTACACACTTGTTGTTTACTAATGAACACATTCTTGAAGGTAGACTAAGAAACAAATGAGGGATTCAAGAACGGATGCAAGGTTAAAAAACATGTTTCATCATGTGTCTGGTGGTATGGAACTACATTAATGTTAGTTACATCTAGCTAAGAGTTTTGTATGCTGTTCTTTAAAAGCAGAAGCATAAATATTAGTCATGCTTTGGTTCTGATAGTGGCACTTTCATGAAGTCAATATTCATCTATATATAAATGACTATACAGGGTAATCTAGAAGGAATGGTACGGTGTTTAAATCACTTCCATTATGCCAGTATTCTTAAATCACAATTTGCAGAAATCAAATGTATGCTAAAACCTAGGTGATTTACTCACCTTAACCATTGCAATATGCTCAATTCCGTCTAAAAGGGACCTGTAACAGTAAGCTGTGAATGGTCCCCACATTGTAGGTATCCTAGCTGCAGAAGCGCGATCCACCAACTTATCTCTTTTTCTTCTATATCTGCCATCACAATAAGTGTTAATCTCTTATTATATATAATCAACAAGTTGCCCAAGAAGCAAAAGCCATGAGAAAATAATGCACAGGAATAAAATAAACTCATCAAATGAAAGATTTTTCAAAAAGAAAAAACGGTTTCCTTTTTTTTTTAATAATATACAAATTTATATCAGTGAAAAGTTCAGTAAAAAATTCCTCACAACTTAAAAGATATAATTATAGTATCTGCACTAGAAAGCAGAATCTAAACATAAATGTGCATACAATGAATTATATTCCATAGTCCACAAATTGTTACTACATACCTTATCAAGTCAGCAATAGATATAATTTTCAAATTTTCACGCTCCGCAAACTGGCGAAGTTTTGGTAGTCTAGCCATGGAACCATCGTCATCCACAATCTCACACAGAACTGCCACTGGATCCATTCCAGCAAGTACAGCAAGATCAACTGAAGCTTCTGTATGTCCAGCTCTCTTCAAGACACCACCTTCCCTGTATTTTAGTGGGAAAATATGGCCTGGGCGGTTGAAATCACCTGGAGTAGAATCTCTAGATGCAAGAGTCAAGACTGTTGTTGCCCTATCCTGAGCTGACACACCCGTGGTGGTACCATGTTTAGCATCCTACACATGCATATTAATTATTGAAATGTAAGAATTTGTTGAGAAACGCAGATCTATCCCAGTATATCAAATGATTTAAGACGTTAACAAAGGAACTAAAAAATATTTCCTCCCTTATGCGACTTAAAATGGATATTAAGATGGAAACAAGAAATAAAAGAGCAATATCTCCACCAGATAGGTGGATAACAATACAAAGTTGTCTTTTAAACAATGTTAATCATTTGAGTTATTTCTTGTTTCTCCTCTCTTTCGAGCATTTTGAGTAGTTCCTTCTTTCTTCTGAGAGGTTTCTCTCTCGCTCACACTATTGATTCTTCTCTTTATAGAAGGTAATGAATGGCTTGCAAATATCAAGACAAATGTTTGCACCTTTCAAGGAGACACTGAGTCACCTCCAAATGTAAAGATGCATGGAAGAAAAGTAATATACATACATACCACTGTCACAGTGAATGCCGTACGAAGCTTCTCCTCATTATCCTTACTGTTTACCATCAAAGGAAGTTCCAATCTATCCAAATCTTCCTCTTTCATGCTTACACAAACTATACCAGTTCCATGCTTTACAATAAAAGCCATTGCCTCCGGTGTTGCCAACTGTGCTGCCATTATCAAGTCTCCTTCATTTTCTCTATCTTCATCGTCCACAACCACTACCATCTGCACCATTGACATATATATATGCATTAATGAGAGAAATAATGACAGTAATCTATCATGATACTGGAACAGAAGAACTTCAGCACTACGCATCTCATATGAGCTAATTAAAAAAAAGGGGGCAAACACTTTTATTAAGAGAGAGTTGCAACCTTTCCCTGGCGAATGTCTTCAATGGCCTCAGAGATGGAAGCAAAACCTGCTGTTGGGCTGTCCAAATCAAATTCATAACCATCAACAGAGAAACCATTGCTTGTTATCCCTGTCTCTGCTCGTGTTCCATCAGATTGTAGATCAATTCGAACAGATTGATCTCCAACCAGATTTTTACGTATCACAATTTCATTGCCATTTGGATAGGAAAGTAGGTCCCCTCCTCCTGAGATCAATGTAGCTTTAATTCTACCAACAGCATTATCGCTTGACGGAAGTTTAGAACTCATTCGGACAAAAGACATATCATTGGACAGTTTGAAGTGTTTGCTTGCCCTGCATTGAATATAAGAACAAATCAAAGGTTAACTTAACATTAGTGACATCCAAAGATAAAAACAAAAGAGGGCGAATACTGAATTCCACAGTTTAGCCACCGAAAATTCTTCAGAAAAAAGCATAGAATGTCATGAAAGAAAAACACTCTGATACAATAAGACAGGATAAATGCACAAACTTAGTTCATAATTTGACCGAGATTGAATACAAGAAAGCAGAGCTCAGAACCGATCACATTGTATTTGAAAAAGAAAAAGAAAATCCATTAATTGTCCACATAGCACTATACAACTATTCTGCGTCACCGGATAAGGTTCTGTAAGCATCATGGTTTTACAAAGGGACCAACCCACACGTTCCACAAAAAAATCAACGAAAAAAGAAGGATCTTGAATCAAATTGTGGATCAAAGAAACATCCTACATGCAAAAAGGCTTCCGGGGACGGATCCCAGAAATGAAGATGGACACGCCACCCCACAAACTAAAAGAAAAAAAGAGACTTCAAAAAATCAAGATTGGGTTTAAAATTTAGAATGTAAACGAATATAAACACAGACATGCAGAAAAAGGAAACAGAAAACGTAAGGAATCAGGAAACAACGAATTAGATACAGAGCATGAATTATTTGAAGAAAGAAAACCCACCTGGGACATGAGAGGGCTGATGAGGAAGAATAGGAGACATTGAAAGAAGCCATTGTTGGTTTGAGAACTTGAATGAATGATTTTGAATTCAACTAAGAATAAGATGGGGTCTGGACTCGAATTTATACAAAGCGCAGAAGAAGAGAAGAAAAGAGAAAGAATGCAGGGTGGACTTGGAGCTGGATTGGAACTGCACCCACCAACGAACCCACGTGGAAGCTCTCTCAAGAAAACCCATCTTTCTCCTATTTAATAATCATCGTATAAGTTTGCCCATATTTTCATTTTTCATTACACAACGTCAACAATATAATAGTACTTTTCAATTGTCTTTATTCCCTAAAATAGTACTATTACTATTCAATATTCATGTCTTTTTCCTTAGAATGAAATCTCATTAAAAGTTCATTTGTTATATATAATTCTAAAACATTAAGGGAAGGGGTGAATTGGGTTAGTGGGTGGTGGTTTGTTGGTAATGTTGAGATGACAGAGGAGAAAATGACTTGCACCAGAGAAGTAGTATGCATATTGAAATTGAAAACAGAAGTTGGAAAAGAATTGAATTTTTTATCCATTGAATAGAGAGAGAACTTTCTGGGATTCTAATATGTGGGTATCACTTTGACCATGACCATTCCTCTGTTCAACCAATTCAAATAGTTTAGCCACCACCACTGCACATAAACCTTCCAATTTTGACTACTAATGATTAATGGTTATGGATGAATTATTTTAACATTTTCAAATCAAAATCAATCACTGCAAACAAATATGAAAATCCAATTAAAACATAAAAAAAGAAGAACAACAATTATTTTACATTTTATTGATTGCTGTTTAGAAAAATGGATTGAAACGATTCCGTTTTCTATTAGTTAATATCACTACAAATTGATCATCTATTACTATTTATAATATATATATATATAATTTTGGTATATTAAAAAAAAATAGCCTAACAAAAACAGTTAATGAATTACACTGTATGGAATTACAGGTAATATATTTTATAAATAATATATTTTAAAAATGTATTTTATTTTATTTTTATCAATTTATTTATTTAATTAAATTCATTTACTATTTATATGTAATTTTATTTTTCTTCTTATTTACTTTTTTTCATTTAACATCTTTTATTTTGTTTATCTTATTTATTTTTTTACTTTAAAATATTATATTAAAATTTAATAAAAGCATATTAAATTATTTTTTTAAATAAAGTCAATTAATTGTTTAAAATTATGATAATAATAAATAATTTAAAATTATTTTATTATAATAAATTAAATTTTTTAATTAAAAATATTAAATATTTATGAGTTAGATTTATTTTTTATTTAATAATTTAATATAATTAAAGCTTAGTGGATTAAATAATTAAAGAATATTATATTAAAAAAATTATTTTTTATTAATAGTAAAATATTTATTTTGTCAAATTTTAATATAATATTTGTAAGAGATAAAATAACAAAAGATAAAGAGTGAAAAGATAAATATACAGTAGATAAAGAAAGAGAACAAATAAAAATAATAAATAAATAAAGATAGAAAAAAATAAGATATTGAATTAAGAGAAAGAAAAAATATTTGTATTATACTAAACAAAATTATTTTTAATGACTAAATTTTACATATAGATAATAAATAAGTTTAATTAGATAAATAAATTCATAACAAATTTATTTAAGTAACTTTTTAAATATATTTTTATAAAATTGATTTCATTGTAGATTTAATTAGATAAATAAATTCAGAAAAAATATATTTAAATAATTTTTTTAAAATATATTATTTATGATATTAATTTTCATCAATAAAAAAACTTAATATATTTTAAATATTTGTATTTTGTATTAAATATGTTGTTTATTTATACTTTTGAAATTACTTAATTAGTCTTTAGATTTATAAAAATATAAATTTGTAGTTATTTTATCAACATTAAATAATCATTACTCTCTTAGATTTTGTATATAAAGAAACACTAAATGTAAATTTTACATAAAACATATTTTTTTAAAATAATTTACTATAAAACTTAAACGACCTGAAAAATAATTAAATCCTATATGATATTTATTATAAGTTTTAGTGAGTAAGAACATAAAGTAAATAATATTAAAAATAATATTATAATGTGGTAAAACCATTTATAAAATCTTTGTCATCCACTTTTTCTTTGTGTTTGAATCTTTATATGTCCATTCTATCCTCATGAATACATCTAAAAGAAATTTTTTATCTATAGAATTATGAGAATTTGTTGGATGATTTTCACAAACAGAGCCTAAAGAAACATAAAAAAAATGTAAAACTATATTATTTTAAGATTTTATAAGATTATTTAATAATATTGAAATATTATTGAGTTTATATTTTAATATTCCGAAACTCAATTATTATAATGGTATGATCATTATTTAATTATGTAGGTTATATAATTGTATGTTCATTATTCATTATTCTAATTTTTATGATTTATTATTATTATTATTATTATAAAATCAAATAGTTCATTCTTTAAAGTTATTTGGAAAACTTTTCAATGTTGAAGTTTTTTTTTAAATAACTAATTTTTAAATATCTCATTATCTATATAAAATAATATTATGACGAAGTTTTTAAACGTTGGAACTAGATGGACTAAATCAACTCTCATTATCTAAACCAATTAAAGATTGAATCAGTTATCTCTGATTTTTTTTTTTTAAGATTTGTTACAAGTCAAGTTTATAAAATTAAATTAAATATCTCATTATTTATATAAAATAATAAATTTTGAGATACAAGGTCGTTAACATTTAATAATAGTTAAGGTGTGGGTTACATCTACACCACACCAAATACCTATTAAAATTAAGATCTAAATACAATAGAAAAATATATAGCTACATCATATATTGATTTTATTTTTTTGTTCTCTTGGACTTCTATTCAATTCATGTGATGGTGTTCTCAAATTTAGTTTTATCTCTCAAAAAACATTCATTTATTAATATTTAAACGATTCAAGAGATGATAAAGTAACTTCGCAAAGAAACTTCTAAAAAGCAGATTCTCAAATGTAATGGAATTGATGTTTGCCATACTCCAGCTTGATAAAATGTGGGAAAAAAAAGAAAAAAAGAAAAAGATTAAGAAAGTGATGATATCAGAAAACGACATAACCTGGAAAACGAGTCGGGGAGAACAAGAGACAAGAGTCCAACAAAAACATAGTAGGAAGAGGAAAAGAGGTTATTAAGTGTCCTACGATTCCCACCTCACAAAAACCACGCATTGTAAATACCGAACTAAATCTCCTACGACACCCACACACAAAACCTCAGAAAAGGAACCTCGAAGCAAGCAGAATCAGCATCACTCGTTCATTCCAATGGAGAGCTTTGCACTCAATTCTCTCTCACCATCTTCTCCCTTTTCCCAACTCCGTCATCGTCATCCTCCTCGCCCCATTATCTCCAGATCCCAATTCTCACTCGCCACCCCATTTTCTCTCCGATCACCCATCATCATCTCCCAACCCTTCTCCTTACCTTCCAAAGCCAAAACCTTTAAATTCAACCCCTTTTCAAAACCCCATTACCCAATTCAAGCTTCTTCATCACCTCCTCCACCTTCAAAGTCCCCACCACCACCACCATCACCACCTGCAACAACAACAACACCTCTCCAGGGTGCAAAGCCCGGGCCTTTTTTTATTTCCATATGCATCGGCCTCATTGTTCGCTTCTTCGTCCCCAAACCGGTGGAAGTTACCCCCGAGGCCTGGCAGCTCCTCTCCATTTTCCTCTCCACAGTCGCGGGCCTTGTTCTCAGCCCGCTTCCCGTCGGGGCATGGGCCTTTCTGGGTCTCACGGCCACTGTCCTCACCAAGACTCTCACTTTCTCAGCGGCGTTCAGCGCCTTCACCAATGAGGTCATCTGGCTCATCGTCATTTCCTTCTTCTTCGCTCGTGGATTCGTGAAGACTGGACTTGGGGATAGGGTTGCCACTTACTTCGTGAAGTGGATGGGAAAGAGCACTCTGGGTCTCTCTTATGGGCTCACATTCAGTGAAGTGCTGATTGCACCGGCAATGCCTAGCACCACCGCCAGGGCTGGTGGGGTTTTCTTGCCCATTATCAAGTCACTCTCACTCTCCGCTGGTAGTGAACCCGGTAGTCCCTCAGCTAAGAGACTCGGGGCTTTCCTCGTTCAGAATCAATTTCAGGTCTTCTATTTCTGTTTTGCATGTTAGATCTTATTTAATTATTACTTCAAGTTATAACCTGAAATTCTGGCCTCAAAGCAAGTACTTAAAAAGAGGAAAAAAAAAAAATTGCATGGAAGAGTGTAAAGTGTTTTACGCAATAAAAAACTATCATGAATGAAAAGTCAGTTGACTTTGATATTGACTATATCAAAAGTTACAGCAAACAGTGTATACCTATTAAACTTTTGTAAAATTTTGAAGGAAAAAGACGTGCAAGGAGAGGTAATAAAGAGGTAGGAGCATTTGATTTGACCCAAGGGACTGATTGATTTTGCATTTGCTAGATGAGTGTATCGGTTGTATGACAGGAAAGTTTGGATATTTGATTGCTTGTGGTTTGCTGAATGTCTGGAGATTAATGTGAGAAAAATCATTAGACGTAGATTTTAAGATTTAAAGGGTGTTTTCAATTGGTGAATCAACTTGTCTGCGTTAATTCTGATGTTGCTGAATTTTTTTTAATGTGTTCTGTGTCTTTTTGCAAATTGCTATCATGTGATAATAAAGTGACTTGTGCATTGCCTCTTTGACCTATGACAGTCTGCTGGTAACTCTAGTGCTCTTTTCCTAACTGCTGCAGCTCAAAATCTGCTGTGTATGAAATTAGCAGAGGAGCTTGGGGTGATAGTTCCAACCCCTTGGGTTACTTGGTTTAAGGCAGCTAGTTTACCCGCGTTTGTTTGTCTTCTTCTCACACCATTGATTTTGTACAAGCTCTATCCCCCCGAAATCAAGGACACACCAGAGGCTCCTGCCCTGGCTGCCAAGAAACTGGAAAGTATGGGCCCTGTCACTAAAAATGAATGGATTATGATTGCCACAATGCTTCTTGCAGTTTCCTTGTGGATCTTTGGGTATGTCACCTGCCTACTATTATATCTACAACCTTATGTATGTGTATGGACGAAAGTTTTCTTAGCTGATTTTTAAGTTTGTTGACTTTTTGGTTGAGAACTTGGTCCTTGTGGAGATGATGAAAATATAGAATTTTGAAGGAAGGGTGGCTTTTTAATAAAAAATCTCTGATTTTTATAAATGTTCTGGCCACCTAGTTTATGCTCTCTGGCTTATTATGGATGCTATTTTAGGAATTCTTTTGTACGCATATGAACTTATGATAATATTGTTATATTATTAGTAATGAATAGTATGTCTAATTTGATGTCTGCCAACAAACTCAAACTATGCTTATGAGTCATTACATCTTCTGTTGATGACTATGAAAGAGTCCACTAGTTATACCTGTCTGTGTAGCCATGTAGATTGTCGTTTTCCTTACAATTTCTCTTAGTTTAACTCAAACTATCCATGTGTTTTTTGGTCCTGCAGAGACACTATTGGCATAGCAAGCACTGTAGCTGCAATGATAGGTTTATCAATACTCCTCGTATCAGGAGTCCTTGACTGGAATGATTGCTTGAATGAAAAATCGGCATGGGATACCTTAGCTTGGTTTGCCATTTTGGTGGGTATGGCAAGCCAGTTAACAAACCTTGGAATTGTGAACTGGATGTCTGATTGTGTGGCTCACAACCTTCGGTCGTTATCTTTGAGCTGGCCGGCTTCACTAGCTGTTCTTCAGGCAGCTTACTTTTTCATCCACTATGTTTTTGCAAGTCAGACTGGACATGTGGGGGCTTTATACCCTGCGTTTCTTGCCATGCATAGGGCAGCAGGTGTTCCTAGTACACTGGCAGCGCTTGCTTTAGGTTATAATACAAATCTTTTTGGTGCAATAACACACTATAGTAGTGGCCAGGCTGCTGTATACTATGGAGGTTTGTCCCTCTCCATAATGTCATTTAATTTCTGTGCTTTCTATTTTTCTGTCCTGCTTAGCTATATGATCAGTTGGGATGTGTTGGTTCAGTAACTTTTTCAGTACCCTTCTCTCAGAATACATACAAGTAAACTGTGTTTGATTCTAAAACTTTATTTCTGTCTTCTCAATCTTGAGACTGCTGTTTGTTCAATAGTGTATTGGTTGAAAAGAAAATTTACTGTAATTCGGAAAATCCTTCTGAAGTAAACATTATAGGTGAATATTTGTATTCTTGTTCTGCTGATTCTAGTTGCAACAGGTGATTTCTGTTATGGAAAACCTTATATCTTTATTCTTTGCATGGGGCATGATATGATTGATTTCAATTCTTGTGTTTCAACAGCTGGTTATGTAGACCTTCCGGATATCTTCAAAATGGGGTTCATCATTGCTGTTGTTAATGCTGTCATCTGGGGAGGTGTTGGCTCTTTGTGGTGGAAATTTTTGGGCTTGTATTAACTTTTCATTTCCATGTAAGTAAATAACACATTTCCCGGTTTCACTAGGCCTTTCTTTTTCCGGGCCGAAAGAAAAGGTCCTTCAATTGAGGACAGCTGAGCTCAGTCATACATGAAAATTTTCTTTCTGCTTTTGGCTGTTAGTTTCAGCATTATTGTTACCCTTTCTTTCTTTAGTTTATTTATATACACTCATTAACAATACAAATATTTATAAAGGTTTCTCAAAGGAACCGAAAAGATTTGCACTTGCCGTCAACAAAAGGAAATTTGACGCTTGCATGATCTTCTTGTGTGGTTTAGCATGATTTCGTGACGTTAGCTTTATCAACGACTTCCCAATTTTCTGATCTATTCAGTTGTGAGCCCTATTCAGTTGTGAGCCCTATTTAAATAGTTTTTATTTAAATTATTCTTCTTTGTTAAGAAAAAAAAAATATTAAATTGAATTGAATGAGTGACATCTACACTCCCACATGCCACAGCTTTGTGATTTGTTTTTAGCAGCTACACCAACGAACGTGGGTCTATTTTGCGGATCTGATCTAACAAACTATACTTTACAATATAATGAAATAAATGAAGACTAAATTACACTTAAAATCTTGAAGTAAAAATATAGTTATGATTAGAACATACAAAGGCTAAAATTAATTTTGAATTATAATTCGTTATTGGTTATAGTTATATATTGTTATCAAAAGTAGCATAATAATAGATGCAACAATAACTTCAAACTCTTAACCGATAGTTTAATAATTATTACCCTCAATAAATTCTTCCTGTACCAATTTGAGATGTTTTTTAACTTTCGGTATAAAAGCAGTTGCCACAATAAGCAAAAAACAATTTAATGTAACTTATGAAACACTTTAAATAAAAATAATAAAAAAACAACAATAATTTAAGAATAAGCATCTTTCCTAAAGTAACTAACAATAAGTTGTAAATAAAGCCTTGGTTTATGAGCATCCATTATGCAAGAGAAAAAAATGACATTGTCCGTACCATAAATTAGCTTGTTATTTTGCATAGAACAGACATCATATTTTCCTTAAACTTTGACAATATCCTATTATAATTTGTGAAAAAAAAAAAAAAAAACTCAACCAAAGGAAATCTGTGCACAGACAACCACTTTTTTCCACTACTTTTTCTCTTGTCAAAAGACTTGATATCTACAAAATGTCTAGTTTTGTCTTAGTTTGTCATTATCTAAATGCCCTGTGACTAGAACATCCAACCACCCTTCAATTAAATCTTTAAAAGTAGAACTAATAAACACCTCAATATGTACAGTAATTGCAACTTCATATTCCCAAGATCCCTTCCTCTAAGGAGGTATTCCAAGCTTAAAATCTACATAGAGATATAGCCAGGAAGAAAATAACTTCCTGGCCTTTTTGAGCTGTCAATGATTTATTCTGCAATATTCTTCAATCATAGCACGAACCAAGAGGAAGTATATGAAATAGAAAAAGGAAATTTATGATGTTGTATACGGTTTTTAACTACCATAGCGCTCCTTGATTTTCAAGCCAATGGCATGATAATAAAGCAACAGGGATATATCGGACTTGTTAAATATGTATGTAACAAGTTCAAAAGAAGCCTGAACAGCAGAAACCATAATCTGAGTGTGCTACATGTTACAGTTTTTATTGCTAAAAACTTCTTTTCTCTTTTTCTCTAACAGATTTAGAGAGTAAGCAATACATCAGTGGAAAGGCTAATACGAAGCATATCATATACATGTGATGCTTTCTGGTACATATACACATATTTTACTTTATTTGAGCATAAAACTATTTGTCCCCCACCCTGACTAAAAGGACATAAGAAACTTGTTAAGAGCTGGATTTGGCTCGCTTCACTGGAGCTTGAAGGGAATTTAGATAAAAAGCATCCCTTTTGTCAATTCCATCAAACAGATAGCTAAAGGGTGGCATTTTTATATATCTCCCAGTTCCAGGAGCAACCTTCAGTTCATTATTTTCCCAGACAACTCTTCCTCCTGCAATAGTCACTTCAATTTTCCCCTGAAAAAAAAAATTAATATTGGTATTACATAATATGGATTCAATTACTGCACTAAACACAAGTTGAATGGACCTGTAGGACACTAACAAGGAAAAAAGAACACGGCATTGAGTGGTGTTACTCAACCTAGAGGTGATGGACGGAGAGGGAATGATGTACTTGAATGGAAAATTTCACTATTAGTATACAACCCAATTTTTAAGAATGATTCATTATTCAATTATTCTCATTGATAGCACACAAAACATGACAGAAAATTATAAAATTATGAATAAATCCTAATACACTAATTAATTTCTAGCTGTCTAATGTTATCCATTGACTGAACTGATGTACCAAATGCCAAACCAAAGTGCCTTACGCCTTAAATTGAATAAAATAAATCTGTCTCCCTCTTATTTTACAACAACGATCTATGAACATTAGGCTTGATACTAGCGAAAAATTAATTCCAAAAAAGATTAATAAGCAAGCACGAGGAGTGACCGTCCCTTGTATTGTATAATAAGCTTAGAAATAAAATATATGGATGAAAAATCCATATTAAACCAAATGAAGGAGATTTGTGGGTAATCAATCATGCAGTCACTAAGTAGTTAATAAATTTCAATCTTTTGATGGACCATATTATAGTTAAATAAATTTCAATCTTTTGATGGACCATATTATAGTTAAACCAGTACCTTTCCTCTCTTTCCCTCATAGACATTTGTGTCCAATTTGGAATGGTGGGACTTTGCAGTTATCTCAAAGCTTGAATTTGGATTGAGGATGATAATATCTGCATCAGATCCTGGAAGAATAGCTCCTTTCCTTGGATATATATTGAAGATTCTAGCACTAAAATTATTGTAGAAATAGTAAAAAAAATTTAAAGAATTTTACCATTCATCAAAATAATTAAATACTATGAATTCTGCTTATTGCAATAAGAACTGGAGCTAATTTTTAGTCTGATTAACAAAAAACATACCATTCAGTGCTTGTCAACCGGACATAGTCAGTGACAGATATTTGGCCAGATTCCTGTGAAATATTTAACGATAAATTCTAGTTAAAATGTTAGCCTCTCCTCCATTTCATCCCAATCTTAATATGAATGGAAGGATCTGCTGATAATTTATTATCTTACCACCATGGTATCCCATACCACATGCATCCTTTCTTCAATACCTACAAATATCAAGTTGCAAAGCGCATCAGTAAGGGAATATTTCAAAATCAACCAGAATGTATTTAGGCTAGAAATATCTAGGACCATCCATCATGTGATTACCATTGACACCATTAGGAATGTTCCTGAAGTCATCAATTCCAAGAGCTTTCTGGGTGGAATTGAAGGCACAATGATCAGTTCCTATTAGCTGCAAAGTTGGAAAAGGTACCCTTGGTCAAATAATCAGTCTTAGGAAAAAGAATTAACCAACCTAAGAGTTTTAGATAATACAGACTTCAGAAAGAATGAAGAGTGCAGAGTGTGCATTTCATGATTGAGTTGAGACTATCCTAATTACTTTCTCAAACTCAAACCACCCTTACTGATTATTGAACCTAAGCCTAAATCATATTGTGAAACCTGCAAAACTCCCGTTGAAAGGGCAGCTTGAAGGGCCTTATCATGTCCTTGCTTCCTAATAGGGGGACTCATCACATACCTAAAACACAAGAATTAATACAACTTATGTTCTTAAAACTGAGGACAATAAAAGAATAACGACAAAAAAACAAAGAAACAAGTGCAAGCACTTACTTTGCAGCAGTCTCAAAGTCAGGATGCCAAAGCCAAGATTCATCAAGGGCTAACCCAGAGGCAACAGGTTCTCCAATTACCCTTTGTCCTGCAGCATGAAAGCAATTAGTGGAACAAAAATGTCATGGAGGGAAAAATATCAACAAGTTCCAAACAAGCAAAGGAAATCACTAAAGTTAGTTATCAATACAAATTAAAACGTCACTGCTATGAATCCCACATTAAGAACGAAAAACTCAATGTGGTACAATTGGGCTCTCCTTGAGAGTTGGTCAATGAGAAGGACTACCAATAGGCTAGACTTGCAATTGACCAAATAAGAGTTCTTTTTGTTTAAAGAGGCAGAAGCAGGAAAAAAAAACAGAAAACTGCTTTTTTATAGAAGAGTTTTTTTTTTTCTACTTTTGTTTTTTACAATCACTTTATTTAAGCACTAACAAATAGACCCAATAATAGATGAGTAAAATGTCTGAAAAGGAAAGAATGATCACTAAATCAAAGTTGAAAGAGAGAATCTGTGGTGAACATAAATTCTTAAAGGAGGTGGCAATGTTATGAATCTTATATTGAGTAGAGTAGAAAGTATAATGTGATGCTTAAGTTTTGAAGCAATCTTACATAATTGATGTTGGACTATGTGCTAAGTAAAGAAAGTCACAATTGAAACACATGAATCGGACTCAAATAAAGGGATTATCAATCCGATTCACCTTTTTTATTGTGTTGGTTTGGTGTCCTCAGGTTCGGATGCATAGGTAAACATAAAATACATGTGAAGTTTATGTCAACTTGAAACCGAGGATACAACATGATGCATAAATTTGATCCATCTTCGTGTCCAAAAAAAAAAAAAATTCAGCCAGAAATGATGCTTTAGTTCATCATGAAGAGGTGGGAAAAGAAAAACACAAGGAGGCACTGATTGTAGAACAAGTCCACATAATACAATTTTAAAGGGACCAAGAGTGATAGTGTTCCACTTATATTAGTCGTCTGGTGCTAAGGACAACTTATTTCTAGCATGGGTAACAGCTTTAAGTTTATAGTCTCATCTCACAGGACATCTGTGTCAGTATAATTTCCAATTTTTCATAATTTATAGGTTCAAACTTATTCGGTTATCACCTGCCCATGTTAGTTGAGAAGATAAGCACATGCAGCAATAAATGCCATTTTTTTGTCCTTAAATCTTATATCTTTCAATGATATAA